CAACAACTTGAATTTATGCAACTAAAATAATATTGCAAAAATTTGTGAAGCGAAAGCCAAAAACATCGGAATTTACTAATTCAATATGTTTTTAATTTTCCGATCCAAAACTAAAAAAATAATTTTTATATATTCTTAGATTATTTAATCCGAGAATTAATCAAAATTATATGTTTTATTCACCTATCCCAAGTTTTGTTGGATTCACTTTGGACATTCCAAGATACTTTTTTGATTATCAAATTAGAGAAATAGATTAAGATAATATTATCTTATATAATAAATATGCTGGTGTAGAAGAAATATGAGTGTAGGAAGGAGAAAAAAAAGTGAAAGGAAAAGATTTGATATGTCAAGATACAATTCCATTCTTACAAAATGGAGGACATTTAAAAAGAAATTAGGCATAATTATAAAATGATAAAGTTAACAAAAATAAATAAATTATTTATTAAAAATAAAATATTTATGGTAATTAAAAAACATAACCGTTATTTGGTATCTGTCTTTTCAAGTAATTGAAAGTTTTTTATATAATATATTAAATGTTCTTTAATCAATGTCATTATAACAACACGTAATATAAATCTAAAAAAGGTGTATTTATTTGAGGTGATTTTGTACTCTTTCTAAAAATTAATAGTTATTAAAAGGGAGTGAGTTAAGTATGACATCATAAAAAAAATTCAATTTAAATTATATTTTAAAATATCCTTATTTTTAACTTAACTTAGGATTGGATTGGATTAAGTTCACAGATATTGAATTTTTTTAAAAATATATTATATCAAATTAATTAATTAAATAAAAAATAAAAAATTAATTTTTATTTAACATTTAGTGATTTCATATATAAATGATAAAAGAATATATCTATTTAATTTTAAAATAAAAATAAAAATTTTAGTTTTTATTATTATTATTATTATTTATTTTTTAATAATTTATTAATTTTAAATAATAAATCATTTTAATCATTATATCTTTAAAACACATAATTATCAAATATTTATTATAATATTTATTTTTATAATAAGTGAATTTCTTTTACAATAAATTTATAATATATATATATATATATATATATATTTTTAAATAATATTTTTTTATTTTTTTAAAATAATTATTATTTTATAAATTAACTTGTAAAGCTTACGAGTTAATTTAAGTTAAACATATAAATCAATTTTTAAATAAGTGGAATCAAAATTAGAACTAATTTAATTTAGGTTATAATTTTTTTTACTTCTCTAATCTATTTCTTAATTCTTTTAAATTAACCAGAATGAGTATATTTTATGACTAAAACCCTTAATCACATTGCATTTTGAGGGTTACCATTACTAATAAAATAATAACTATTAACGAATAGATTTTTTAATTGAAATCAATAAATATAAAATATATTTTTTATTAATATAATATATTTTATTATAAAACACAAGTTTTAAAAAATAAAGGGTGAGATTGCAGGACATACAGATTAAACCCAACTCCAGGTGATTATAATTCATGAATTCAAGCTCTACACTTCACATTTTGTAAGATCTATGCATGAATGAGTGAGAGAGGTTGAAAGTTAATTCTAGCTTAACTTAAAAACTTGGTGATTTTTTAATAACATCATTTTCTTTGGATACATATATTAGCTCGTAAACTCACTCACTTTCACATTATTGTCACCAAAGTAGCTATCAAATGTGTAAGCACCCAAAACGAGGTTTATATATTATTGTTGTATTGACAATAAAAAAATATTAGTTTTTAGTAGATATTTAAGTTTCAACAAATACACATTCTAGTCATAACTATTTTTTGCTTATGCAATTATGTTGTTATATTATATATACAACAGATTTCTTTGAATGTAGTTATGCTTCTAGAACCCTTTTAAGTATATTAATTATATATTAGTGTTTAAGTTAAACTGAGATATAGAGAAATCCTTATAAGAAAATAATGAAAGAAATGTTGAATAAGAGAAAGGTGCATGCATGCAGAGTCTTAAAGTTATTAGATTGACAGTGAACAAGTTTGAGTAATTCAGGAAGCAATTGGTGAGACTTTAGGGACATGAACAGGAAAGTCATGAATCTCATCCATCCAAGGATTCTTCTCCTTTGCAGGATTGATGGTCCTCAAAGCCCTCCAAACAGCACTGTTGCACTTAAACCCTGACCCAAATGCAATCTGCCAAGTCCTGTCACCCTTTTTGATCCTCCCCTTGCCTTCAGTGTAGGCCAACTCATACCACAAGGAACTGCTAGAAGTGTTTCCAAACCTGTAGAGGGTCATCCTAGAAGGCTCCATGTGCCAATCACTTAGCTCAAGGTTCTTCTCCAGCTCGTCCAACACTGCCCTACCTCCAGCATGAATGCAGAAGTGCTCAAATGCCAACTTGAAATCAGGGATGTATGGCTTTATCTTCATCTTGAACACTTTCCTACCCACCAAGGTCACAAAGAAAAGGAGCTGCTCTGACATGGGAAGCACTAGGGGTCCTAGAGTTGTGATGTTCGTCTTCAGGGCCTCTCCTGCCACTGCCATCAAGTCCTTTGAGAGTGACACACCAATTCTCTTTGTCTCATCCTCTTCTTGGAACACACACCCGTACGACTTGTCATCTGCTCCCTTGTGCGTCCGCACTGTGTGAACTAGTTGGTATTTGGCGCGCCGCCGGTCGCCGGAGCGGTTGGAGAGGAGGATCGCCGCTCCTCCCATTCTGAAGAGACAGTTTGAGACTAGCATTGATCGGTTGTTGCCAAAATACCAGTTCAGAGTTATGTTCTCCATGCTCACTACCAACGCATAAGAGTTGGGATGGACCTGTGTTTATCACAATGAGTCGATAGTGAATGAATATAGAGTTTAAACAAGTGACGCTGAACTTTCCAAGGTAAAACCTTGATTTAGTCATTATTATCGTAGATTGCGGGTGGCATATTAAGATGAGTGATTAATTTAAAGAACATGGTTCTCCAATGAGGTAGTTGTTAGACACGGAGAAATAAAGGCAAAGGGTCCATGTATTTTGGGAGGGTATTTATTTATTGGGTTGCGCTAACCTAAAAAAACAGCTAACAAGAGGAAGCTGTTATTGAGTCCCCTCATAAAGTAGTGTCTCACTGTGATTAAAACATGCTATAAATTTGGACTCCGTTCCCCGTGCATGCCAGTGCCATGCACCACGTATCGTGTCAGAAATCCGCACATTTATTTAACCGTGATCATTTTTACACCTTTCAAGACCATACTTATTATATGTATTTTTATGGATCAAACTATATAATGGTTTTTCTTGGCACTATATATAGTCAGAGTTTTGAACTTTGAACGGTATATAAGAGATTACAAACCTGGAGAAGCTGTTTGGCTAGGTCAATAGAGATAAGGCCAGCACTGCAACCCATGCCACCAAGATTATAACTCAGGATATTCCCTCTAAGCTTGTAGTGATTCACAATCATGGCAGAAAGGGATGGTGTGGGATTGAACAAGCTGCAATTCACCACCAGAATCCCAATATCCTTAGCCTTCACCCCAGTCTTTGCCAGCAGCTGGTCAATGGCTCCAAACATCACTTCCTCAGCCTCCTTCCTAGCCTCAGCCATGCAAGGATTTGGTGGCAAACTCAAGATTGCAGGAGGAAGATATGTCTTCTGTCCCAAACCAGACCTCTCTAAAATCTTCTTCTGAAAGGACAAGTTCTCCTCAGAGAATGACCCTGTGAGGCCAGACCTCTCCACGAAAATCTCCCTTGTGCACGTGCAATCGACGTGAGGCTTGTAGCATGCAAAATCCACCAAGTACACTCCCCTTGGACGGGTCATGAAGTAAAGGGTGGCAAGGAACACCATGAGGCTGGAACAGACAGTCACTGACACAAGGTTGAACTTGAGATTCTCCCACAGTTGGAGAAAGTCCTTGATGGAAAGGGTTGATAGATGAGCTGAGGCTATGCCAAGAAGGGGTATGAGCATAAGGTACATAGCATTGGATATCACATAATGGTACCCAAGCTTCACATACTTGAGCCTCACAGATAGCAGAAAGTTGGGAAGTTTGTTCCTTCCTTGTGGTGATTCAACACTAACAGTCCCCGAATTCGAGTTTTGATTTTTCTGATCCGCCATCAAGGAAATAAACACACTAAAACTAGTGACAGAATAATTTATAAACTGTTAGTCGCTAAACTTTTTGACTAATAATTTTCGTCGCTAACTTTTGTAACGGTGTATAGTTGTTATATTGAAGTAGGTTGATTGAGATGATAATTTGAATTGATAACAAAGTGAGAAGGAATGGTGGAAGAGAATGGGAGAGGCCTAAGAGCTTAGAAAGAAACAAGGGAGAGAAATATGAATGAGTTGAAAAAAGTGATGAAGAGGGGAAGGTTATAAAGAATGGAAGAGGGAAAGGAGAGATAGGTGGTGGATACAACCACCCCAACCAAGTTTTAATGGTGAACATGCACTGCCATTCAATACCTCCTATTCTTTCTTTGGGGGGCCACCCTGCATTCCCACTCCTTCCATATTTTTTCTTTTTCTGTTATCAAATAACATCAAAATTTGTTCATCACTTCGCAAGGAACAGTTTTTTCCAAATAAGAAGAAAGATTTAACAAATGAGAATGGTTATTAATATTTATGCCTGTGAGACTGGTGAGAGGGCCATTGGTTGGGTCAAAACTGTACGTTGGTAATTGGTGAGCTATAAACATGATGTATATATCAAGCTTTCCTCATATATATACTTTTTCTCATCCTTCTAACTACAAACTTTGAATGCCCAAAGTTTATACGATTTACTAAACAATTCATTAACTTTTGTGTTAACTTATGAATCATAAGAGATATTGTTGACTTGGATAGCAAATACTTTAAAAGGAAAAGTTGTTATATAATTTTGAAACCTAAAAACCCTGAATGCGCAGCGTATCCTCTTATTGAAAACGCAAATCCATTGGTTGGCTATGGCGTGCTGAAATGATATCCATTTCATTCATGAATTCGCATCTTCATCCATCCAACAACAAACTCTTTAACTATTTCTCTCTTAAATGCTAAACCTTCCCACCAAACACCTACCTATTCTATTGCTTGCAACCTCATTTCCAAATTAACATAATTAATATTCTATTATTCTCATCCTTCTCACGAAACAACCTACCACATATATATCACTTTCCTCTTCTTCACACCATAATAATATCTTTCAAACCAAAGTACTATCATATTTCTCAACGCAACAACCAATTCACACATCACTACCAATACCTAAAACTTGTTGCTAATCACATCTAAAGAGACGGACTAAGAATCTAATGACATTTTTACGAGACAAAATATAACTATTAATGCTTCATTATTGATGATTTAACTGACAAAATACCATAAATATATTTCAAAGTTATTTCCCATATATAACTTCACACCATTTAAAAAAGTAAAAACGAGAAAAAATATATAAAAAATTATTAAATGAGGTTTGCTACCTCCAAAATTGTTCCTTATTAAAATTGATACCTTCATTTTTTTTTCCAGTATTTTTGATATTCACCATTTAATAAATATTCAGATTCAGCTTTGATTCAGGAAAATAGGATGATTGGTATGAAAATTTGGTGAAGTTTGCAAGGATTGATTGAGTGTACTCAAGAAAGCATGAGTTTGTCCTTTTTGAATTGCTGCGGAGTAATGACGAGAGTGATGGTACGTAATTTTTTTAAAATAAAAATTAAAAATAAAAGGAGTTTTAATTAAATTAATTAAATAATAAAAATGTCAGTTTTTGTTCATTTTAACTTAAAATGTTTAAACATTTTTATTAAGAAAATTAATTTCTTTTTAATTTTAACAACTAAATCAAATAGAAAAAGACGGATAATTAATGTGCAGAAAAGTGAGATATAGTCCAAATTTGCATGTATATAATTGCATTATATTTCAATTTATGAAAAAAATGATAAAGAATTAATTATAAAAATATAAGTAATTAATTTAAACATATTAAAAGTAATTTTAAAAGAACTTTACAAATTATTTACAAAGTTAATGTAATAAGTAAATTTAAAAGATATAAATTAAGTGAGGAAGTCTTATAAACATAAAAATATAAGTTAATTGAAAGAGTGTTGTAAAGAAAAATGGAGAAATTGCATGAAAAGAGACATGGCTTTAGGCACGAGAGGTCCAAAAGTCCACGTTCATAACCCCACTCCATATTAATCTGAAAGTTTTGACTTTGGAGACATGATGTAGCCACCATGTCTAAAACATGCTACCTGTGTTGCCCCAAGTCCTGGGCTTTGTAGCTGTAATGCAGTACCCATCAAGAATTGTACACTGTGATATGTTGGTGAATATGGTGGAGAACTTCAAAATCAGGTTTCATGCAGGGAATATAATTTTAAGACAAATGTTTCTTGACGTAAATGGTTTTACTTCAAATTCAATTCTAATTAAAAAAAAAAACTGTAAAATTAAACTTCCAAGTTGTGCTCATTCACTCATTCAATACACAATACTGGTCTTGTCATCACTCCTCTTACTGTTTGGTTTCACATGGCCATGTCTCATTCAAATTTCAATGAGATTGTGAAGAGAAGGCATCAACAAACATAAGGAAAAGAATTAACACTTTCTTGATATTTTCAGTTTAACTGTCTCCCATGATCCTATAAAAAGTAATAGGAGACAGATAAAAGTCGTATTTTTTTCTTAACCAAGTTAAGTTGAGCAGTTATAATACATCAGTTAGTTTGGTTTTATTCGAAAAAGTTGCACCCGCCTTATCTTTTGGAATTAAATGGTAAGCTGACAGATTCTGAATCCACCCTCCACCTTTCGTTATGACTAGTGTCAATGGGTTCCCACCACCAATTGTCAAGCAGAAAAAATAATTGTTTCTCTCATGTTCAATTTTAACATGACCATATATCATGAGTAAATTTTGTGTCCACTTCTGTCTTCATAGAAATTAAATAGTTGGGATCGTAATGAAATTTGTGTATATGAAACCCTCCTGCCTATGGTCTCTACTTAGTTGAAGCTTGGTCCCAGCTTAAACATTTGCTTTAATAACCAAATGGATCAGCAAGCTGGCAGAGAAAGTCGTAGTCACCAACATCAAATTAAAATATGGGAGGAACATATGCTGCATTTAATGAGTGAAGTAGATTTAGAGGCCTGGAAAGTAAAGCTAACTACAAGTTGAAAAACTTTTTTCCTTTTCAAATAAGTACACCATTGATCCACTCCCGAGTTATTCTGAAAGTACCCCTTCATTTTAAGTAGGAAAATTAATGTAGAGAATTGGTAAAAAATACTACGCAGAATGGATTTAAACTTCATTAGGGACTTGATATTAAAGAGATTACTATTTTATCAATATCCAAGATATGAAACAAGAGATAACTAGTTTAATTGACAACTACCCAATAAGTTAAGTGTAGAAGATTTTTAGTAAATTCAATTCCAAGTTCTAACTTTTGGGCGTCCAAAAGAATTAATTTTTCACTCCAGAAATCCAGAGATTGAAGAAGATGAAGACTTTGAATAGTAATCAAGCAATGGCAGAACCCTGGCAGCCTTTTTCCTTAGATGGCCGCCCTCATACATTCATGCCGCCGGTCAAACCAAACCAAGTGGGCGTAGTAGTTCCATAGTATTCAGCCATTTCCTTGGACACAAGCCCCCCTGCCATTAAAGAATCAGTTCCCAAATTGAAAATCTCCATAGGGGTCTAATTGCATTTGACTCATGCAACACACAAGCCCCCCTTTGGGGATAGTCTTCCAAAACTAACTGTGGAAAGAATCTGTATAGCTTCATAAGCAGTTGCATGAACCTCCCCATCTTACAGCCTTATCAAGCCAGGCAAAGCTTTTGTTATTAACAGACAAAATGTGGAACTCACACTGCATACACTTCCATGTGCGGAATATAAAGTAACTTATGATGATCTAAAACACCACCTGCAAGTGCAACAACCATTTAGAAACAGCTGTGAGCTTTGTAGTGCTGCTACAAAAATCACCAACTGTTCTTGCCTTTGCTGTTACTGAACAAGTGTTAAGAAATTTACAAGCAAAGGATATATTCCTCATTTAACCAAATTGCGCTGTGATTCGATATTTGTAGTGCACTGGGAGCACTTTCTTTTGCTTCTATAATACCATTGATCAAAATGCTTATGATTGCATCAAGGCTACCCAAGTCAATCAACTTCATGTTGAATTCACGCTCTGATTTTGGAAGGTTAGCTAGTAAACCAGCAGCTGCCATGTGCACATCATCATTGTCATCGTTCTCAAGAAACCAAACTAAAGCTTCTAGTCTTTTTGGCCTGAGGAGTTCTGGTTCATGTTAGGAGAACAGAACGAGAATATTTATGGCAGTTTTCTTGATTCTGAGTCAGAATCATCAAGAAGTGAGGGGGTTAGAGATCCCCCATTGGCTGCCAGACTGCCTTCTTAAACCAAACCACTCTCAAACTTGCAAATGCCGAGAATAGTACTTAATGCAGGCTTTCGGTAGTGAACTGAGTTCGGACTATGTTAAAACTAGCAAGTTTGTGATGATGTTAGCCAACTCAAGGTTCTTCCCTTTTCGATCAACAAAGAAATCAATTACATCATCATTTGATGCTAGTCTTTCAAGGATTTCACAACATTTAATGGTGATGAATGGCCGCATCATGCCAGAGAACATGACAGATGTGGCAACAATCCCATAATTTCCATGCAATCTTGCTAGTTTAACCAGGACTGACGATGACAGTTCTTTAGATTCAATGCTCTCATATAGCATTTCTAGCGAAGGAAGGATAACTCCTTGTTCACATGAGATTCAAGTTTAAATCTTTCAATGTGCAGAAATTTTCAAGATGCAAAATATAACGGGGAAAATCTGTCCAAATTTTTAACTATGTAGAAAATAGAGGAATCTCTATGCATCTGAAAATGAAGAAAGTATATGAACAAACTAGCCTGTGATTTCAAGCAAGTCAATGTTTGCAGGGAAAATTATAGGAAACTTCGTTTGTTCAAGATGACTATTTGAAGTGCGTTTCACACCGCCAGGCATCTGAAGTTCGTGAGTCCATGCAAAACGTATAAAATTTTATGTTGACTCGTTTACTTCACAGTTCATTAATTTCTCAGCGGGGAGTTTCATTGAAGAAAGCTGAAAGAAACCAACGTAATGTAGGCAAGAACGTTTCCATTATAAAATAAAAAAGGCAAGCCATTGTAAATTGGTTTCATTGTTAAACCTTCACAGGATGACTGATCCAGAGATGCAGAGAATCAGCCATTGAATCTTCAAAGGAGAATATCCCATCTTGTCTACAAAGGGTTGTGGCTGCATTTTCTACAATTGGGGTGTTTCCAGATCCTTGATCTTACCTAATAAATAAGACCCACCACTCAACCAAAAAATACGAATAACAGGACCTCTAATGATTTATTTGAATACGAATAACAGGATCTCTAATAATTTATTTTTCTTTAGATTTGATGGTAAGAGAGAGGAAGTTGTGGACAGTGCATGGCACCAAAGCTTTGAGAAAAAAAAAAAAGCATTCATTTGTACGTAGAGTAGTTTATAAATCCTTATTTATTTTTATTACACATAACAATAAACATATTTACTACATAACCGGTGATTCTGTTTCACAAGCACTGCCATGCAACCAAACTAACCACATGGAATATCAGGCACTGTTCCTTTTACGTGCCATCTCCCGTGCCATTTCCCTAAGTTCCTCTGGTGATGGTGGCCTTTCTGCCTCTGGTGGATATTCAATGTATGATTTCTGTAACATAATAACAATAAAATATGATATATAGAGTCAGATATTATATTATAGTTAAAAACAATTTCAAAATTGCAGTCATGCTCATAATGACGAGAATTCAAAAGCCATCAAGATAAGACAATTGATTTGGCAAACATTTATTGAATTTCTGTATATGTGCATTTAAAATTTTTGGATAGTTATATCTGAAATTGAATAATCTGGTTTCAGGATGCTTAAATGTGCAAAATTGATAAATATATCTTTATATAGCTTATCCACCATTTATGACAAATGAACTATCCTTCAACATAACACTACACTTTTGTGATTATACCAATATTTAATATCAATAAATAAATGTTGCACATACATTCTTTAAAATTGTTGAATCCACACAGTCCAATGTATTTTACAAAATTCTGACGTTTAAAAAGTTTCATTCTCAACAATCTTTGACTTTTCACATTTAGGACTACTTAAAGATTATAGTGGGGGACTACATCTAAATTTTTCATGGATTTTCAACATAGGTACATGGTAACAACACCAGTACTTTGCCATTTCGGAGAATCAGGAATTCATATGACATTCCCTTATTTTTGTTCAGAACTCCTTTTTTTTTGTTCAGAATTGAAGAAGCGTCCTATGATTACATTACATCTCAATAATTCCTCTACTCCTGAACTCAGATAGTCAATAATATTGAAGTAAAGCAACACTAGTGGACTCTTACTTTGCAAAAGACACATACTGCTGTAAAACAAATCAACACATTTTCAATCTTGATATTCATAGTTAAGTCCCAATACTTACATTATTAGTTATTATTGTGATATGTCAGGAAAGCATATCACAAGAAAATAAATGATTGTATACGAAAATAACAAAATTAAGGTAGTATGGCCACATACAAATAAAGCTATCCAAGTACAAGTGAGAAAAGTAAATTACACGGTTTTAGCCCTATGAAAGAAGAAGTATAGTGTGACAAAGTAGAATACATATCCCTAAGAATTTGGTCTTTAACCAAGCTCAACAGCAGCATCATGTGACACATATAGCCAAACTCTCCTAGCCAGTTAATGATTTAGTTGTTGTATGTTATCCAAAGAAATGGAACGAGCTTATACTCTGACCAAAATGCAAATTTAAAGCATTTGATTTGATCCATCTGATCTTAATAATGATTTAACAAGATGGTTAAACATAAAATTTATTTCCTACATATGCTGTCAATTCTCAACTTCGTACCTATACGTTCTCTATAAACATTATCAGTGAGTCATTTTTGCCATATATGGATTGCTACTCCCTTTTGCATACTTACTTTAGTCTCTATACATATAATGCATTTAGAATTTAACCCTACCTATAAGGATTTAAATTAAGAATATACTGGGACTAAATTAAGAATAGATAACGAAATTGACTGTAACAAGGAACCGGTAACCTTTACACTGTTAGAACTAATTTAATAATATTTTTAGGTAAAGAGGCAGTTTAAAAAATTTGTGACAGATATTGAGGCTGAATTATATTTTTAACCTAAAAAGAGTGTGAAAACACTAGAATAAGCAAGTAAAGGGATTAAGAAACCCTCGATCAACTGAACTAGTCCACTCAACAGAGACACATAATTGGAAATATTGACAGTAAAAATGAGGAAGGCAAGGGTTTAACATTGCCATGGCCACCCAATTGCTCATGAAATGAAAAAATACAAAATTTAGAAAGAAAATATTTTGGTCAGCATTGATGGAAGTACATAAACCCTGAAATGCTTAGATATGAGATATGAGATATGAGAAGAGGGTTAAGGAGAATACATTTCCCATGAACTTGCTGATGTTGCCGGGATTGTTGGCGAAAGTGTACATAAGAATGATTGGTACGGTCACATACACACCGAACTTGGCAATTTCTAGAACCCCTTTGGAAGTGCCCAGAGACGACATCGTATATTTCCTATCACCAACAAATATCAATAAACCAATAAATCAATAAATAAAGAGGAAAGTCGATCTGAATCAATGGCCATAAAAAACACAGAAACAGAGATATCAAATATTTCACCTGAGGGAACCACGATAACATAACACAATTCTGATATGCTTTATTAGATTACCGATTCATATGGACCCGTGAAAAGAGTCCTGGGTCTAAAAGGCTGAAAATTCTCTCTGGGCTGATTCATCCTACACTCCCATTCTTTCTTTCCACACCTCCAAATTCCTCTAAAATGATAATATTATCCTAATGCAAATAGGTTCGGAAATCTCACTCTAGACGTTTTCTAGATTAATATTTCAAAAAACTGATTCTGGAATATTTCTAAAAAAAATTCAGAAAATTTTCAAAATTTTAGAATATATTTTCGGAAGACAATCTATAAATGAATTCTAGGTTGTATTTTCCAGGATTCAACAATCCTTCGGACTACATTTTTTTGAAAAACACACATCTAGAAATGAGTTATAAATTATTAGATTCGTAATGTATTTATCCGAAACTCATTTTTAGGTGTGTTTTGTAGAAATATAATTTGGATTTAATAATCTATAATATTACAAATGCATTTCTTAGCAAGATTTGTAGATACATATTATATAATTCAAAACATGAATCACAAATAAAATTGTAATAGTAAAATAAAAATGGTGAAAAAGTTGTACAATCTTATCTAATAACAAAGCAACGTTTAACCAAAACAGACAAAAAAAACACCCTCATTGTTATGTTATGTGACTCTAATTCAACCAAAAGGGCACTTCTTAACATTGTCTCTTATTTTGGTAAGTATGTGTTTGGCATATGAGAATTAACCCAACTTAATTATGTGACCTTTGATTGATTGTCTACATCAAATGGCTTTTCTTCATTGATGATGACGAAGATAATAAAGTAATGCGAGATGATGTGGACTTAATATCTGATACTCTCTTCTCAATTCTCTTACCCAACTCCACCAATACCTCTCCCCAAACCATTCCAAAATGTCACACTCTATATTTAGCTTTCCACAAGTTGCTACGTTTTATTTTATTTTTTGTTGCAGATATTTTTACTTTGATGTTGAGACGTGGGTTCAAATAATTATAACCTCCATTAACAAGCGATACAACGCTGTTTCAATAATCTACGTAACAAACACATACTATATTTCAAAACCAAAGAGATTAATTGGTTTATTGTTTATACAATCTTTTACACACAGTTTGATCTTTAGGTTTTGTTTTCTGCCTGAGTTTGACATTACAATATTTAAATAAAATAAATCAAGATTTTAAAATATATATTAAAATAAGCTTTATTTAACATAAGATGATAATTAACTAGTATTAAGTGAATAATATATATTATTTTATAGTTTATTATTGAGAGAAGAAGGAGAAACATATTGAAATGAAAAATTGTTGCATGGCACCTACCCAGCAAGTGTGAATAATAAATTTTGAATGGACAAAGATGTTGTTGCTAAAATCCAAAAGCTACTTTGATTTTTCTATTTTTATTCCTCTGCCAAATGATTCTCACACCATCTATAACCAATAAATGGAATATGAATATGATTTCTATTATTCAAAATTATTTTATTCATATGTTTATGTTTCTTATTTTTTATTCAATATTGTTATAATTTTTTTTCCTAGAATGAGGTATGGGTGAACCTAATCAATAATCATTAATTAAAAATTTTCTCATTGATTTAAAAACTATATCAATCTACCGAATCAATCGGTTTAATTGAAAATCAATCTAGTTTAAAAATTAATCTATTATTTTTAAATAATTAGTTTTTAATTAAATTAAGATAAAATCAAAAAATTCAATACAAAATCGAGAAAATTAGATAATTTTTTCTATGAAATCGGTTTTGATAAAAAAATCAATTTTTTTAATATAATTATTTTATAAAAAATATAATATATTTTAATTTTTTCTATTTTTTATTTCATATTAATTACATCAATTTTAATTAATAGTTATTTTATTGTATTTTATATTATTTTAATAATTATCTACTTTATATTATTTAATATATTTTATATTTGTAATTTTTATTATAATCATCATAATAATTTTAACTATTTTTTCTATAAAAAAGTTGTTACTAATAAAGATAAATCTTAATAATTATTTTATTAATAAATACTAAATAAATATAAAAATTTTAAAAAAATGAAAAAAATAAAATTAGAAATATAAAAAAAATATTTAATAATCATTAAGTTTAGGAAGAAAAATTATTATATATATATATATATATATATATATATATATTATAAAACTTTTAAAGATCATTCTTCTTTCAACTCTCAAAAATAAAGTTAAAAAAAATGAATCACTTTAAACTCTGAACGCTGTTTTCATCTATGCAATTTCAAAAAAATTGTTTTTGTTTTACTAGTTTTTCTCTTATCTTCAACAAATTATCATTTTTATCCTTAATGTGTAGTTTATTTTTTACCAATTTTATATATTCTTTTTTTTACACTAAAAATTGTTCCATTACTTAAAAGATAAAATGAGAAAATTACATCTGAAAATTTTTTAATTACATTTTCATTCCTTAAATTATTAATAAAATAGCATTCACACTCCTTATTTTATAAATATCATATTTAAGAGAGGTAAATATCACTTATTGAAAAGATAAGAAAGATTTTGAATGTTATTTATTTTATTAAAATCACAAAAAATATGAGTATCTTTTAGAAATGATAATAGATAAGTGTCATTTAGTATAATTTTTATGCAATATAAATGTAATTTTTCTTTAAGTATATGATAGAAATAGGTACATCTAAGTTATTTAGAGTCTAATTTTATTGATAAAATAAAATTATTTAGAAATCTAAGCAATAAGAGACGAGCCCACCGTTTATGTCGATCAAGACTGGATTTTTTAATAACTTCGAAAATCAGGGTCCTTCATTTTTCTGCAGAACTTTGGAGATAGTCCTACAAATTTTAGTTTTCTAGATCAATTATAAATTTCAGCATGTTCTTCCTGTTTAAACTTCCAAAAATCTATCATGCATAAAGAAATTTTAAAAATATTGGCGAAAAGAAAATAACAATAATATAATAATATTAATCGATTATAATGAAAGTGAAAGATGACGAAAAATTAAGAGGAGATGTAAATATATATATATATATATATATATATATATATATATATATATATATATATATATATATATATAAACCCATATTTTTTACCATCACTAAAATATTGTAGTTAAGGTGATTAATGTTTGGGTATTCAACTTATCACGATTAAAATATTAAAAAAAAATACAAATTTTTGAAAGAAAAAAAATAATTTGATGATCAGAGCTTTTAAGGAATATTAGTCATAGTAAAACTTAAAATGATTGTTAGAAAAGAGGGGACATGAGGAAAGAGTGATAACGAGTGTAGAATTGATTGGAAAAGAAAGAAGAAAGTTTAGATTTTTATGGCGTCACATGAATGCATGGTGGCATTGAGAATAACGGTTGAAGGTGGCATTGATGTGGTTTTAATTCATAGTATATTGTGTTGTTCCAAATTCATAGTATTCTTAAACCTTCAAGACACGAAGTCCTCACCTACATTTACGTCACGTGGCATTACATGGACCATAAAATGAACAAAACTAAATTAAGAACACATGAATGGTTTTTGGAACATAGCAACCACTCAATGGAATTGCAAAGTAGTCAATAATTGTTGGTGTGGTGGGGTCTGAGGCTGTTCCATCACCTACAACTTCCATGTTGACATGTATGAATTTTGAATGAAGATTGGGTGGATTTGGAACATGAATTTGAGTTATATTTTGTATCTTCGTATGTATAACATAATATCGTTAAGTTTGACTAGCAACTCATGTTCAAAGTATGAAGAGAAAGAGAAAAATAAAGAGTTAAAATCGAAGTTGAGTGAGACAACAATCATTCTAAGCTTCGCAATTATAACCACTCTTCATTTTATAAGAGGATGCTACTTTCCACACAAATTTTTCTTTTCTCATTTCATGCCTCTAACCCTAAATTATATTCAAAAGAGATAATTAGATGTAAAACTAAATATAGTATTAAATTACATATTACTGTCATTCATTAAGGTTGATTCAGTGAAAAATATTTATATTTAAATTGAAATTCAAAATCATCTATTTTACTTTTTCTCCAATTAGTATGATTCATTCACAACTTGCACTTTTCCTATAAATAAATTATTCTCAGTATTTTCTTTCTTGTCTCAAATGCTGTGTTTTCCTTAAAAGAACTTTCCAATTATATCCTTCACTGACTATGATGTGGTCTAATTCATTGAGTTTAATTACTAAACAAAAGTAAGAACAGATCGTTGGAAAATTGTAATAACATCTGTTTCTATGGATATTTATTTTTTAATTTTTAATTAAACTTCTTTAATTTGTAATTTTACCTTTTCAACTATTCGATCAAACGGCCGTATAAAGGACGAAAATAAAGGGTAGAATGGGAATTATGAAAAAGGACAAATTTCGAAACGCTATATAAAGAGCATTGGCAGTGGCATATACTCTGTCCGTTGGCTGGCAGCGTGATTAATTCTCACTACGATGGAAGCGTCGCCGTCGCCGCCGCCATCACCGCCGCCACGCACCATCCTCGGGAAGTACCAGCTCACGCGCTTCCTTGGCCGTGGCAACTTCGCCAAGGTGTACAAGGCGCGGTCCCTAGTGGACGGCACCACGGTAGCCGTGAAGGTTATAGACAAGGCCAAGACTGTAAACGCCGCCATGGAGCCCCGTATCGTGCGCGAGATCGACGCCATGCGCCGCCTTCAGAACCACCCGAACATCCTCAAAATACACGAGGTCCTGGCCACGAAGACAAAGATCTACCTTGTCGTCGACTACGCCGGCGGCGGCGAGCTCTTCTCCAGGCTCTCCCGGCGCGGCCGACTCCCGGAGCCCCTCGCGCGGCGCTACTTCTCCCAGCTCGTCTCCGCTCTCCTTTTCTGCCACCGCCACGGCGTAGCGCACCGCGACCTCAAGCCGCAGAACCTCCTCCTCGACGACGCCGGCGATCTCAAGGTCTCCGACTTCGGCCTCTCCGCTCTCCCGGAGCATCTCCAAGATGGCCTCCTCCACACGACCTGTGGCACGCCGGCCTTCATCGCGCCGGAGATCCTTCGCCGCGTCGGCTACGACGGCTCCAAGGCCGACGCCTGGTCCTGCGGCGTTATCCTCTACAACCTCCTCGCAGGTCACCTCCCCTTCGACGACTCCAACATTCCAGCAATGTGCCGCCGAATCTCCCGCCGGGAGTATCAGTTCCCGTCGTGGATCTCGAAATCCGCGCGCAGCCTTATCCACCAATTGCTCGACCCTAACCCTAAATCGCGAATTTCGCTGGAAACCGTTTTCGATTATAGATGGTTGAGGAATAAGAAACCGGTTTGCAGTAACGCGTTGGAAGAGAGTGTTCTGGAGTCTGATTTGTATAACAAGTGCTGTGACGGTTACAAGTTGGGAATGAACGCGTTTGACATAATATCGATGTCGTCGGGGTTGGATTTGCGAGGATTGTTCGAATCGACGTCGGAGAAAGGGAGAAGGAGGGAGAAGAGGTTCAGTTCGGAGAAGAGCGTGGAAACGGTGGAGGCGAGGGTGAAGGAGGTTGGGGAGAGGTTAGGGTTTAGGGTAGAGGTTGGGAAGAATGGTGCGATTGGGTTGGGAAAGGGGAAGGTGGGGTTGGTAGTTGAGGTGTTTGAGATTGTGTCTGAGTTGCTGCTTGTGGCTGTTAAAGTGGTCGACGGTGGATTGGAGTTTGAGCAGCTTCATTGGGATGATTGGAGACATGGCCTTCAAGACGTTGTTCTCTCTTGGCATAATAACAATAATGATGGTACCAACAACAACGACTTTGTGCCAAACTAGTTTCTTTTATTACAATTTTAGAGTTTAGAGCGATGCAGTCTAATGTACAGAACCAGAATCTGAACCAAAATGGTGTTAGCTAGTGTTTATGTCATTAGTTCCTTTCGAATCAATAACAGACTTTCATTCCATCTTTTTTGTTAGTATGTGCATGTGATTAACTTTAATAGTCACTCTTAGTAAAGTAATAAATGTCGTGGACTTCTTGTTTTTTATTTTTTTAATAATTTGAATGGTATTAAACTAATTGTAAAATCTTGATATCAATGTCTTCCCCTAAATAATAAGCACAGTGATGCTGGGTAACGACATTTTGGTTTTAGCTAGAAAATGGCTCAATGAATTATACGACAGTGGTTTCGATTCAATCATTCAGACGTAAAAGGATTCTACGTCCATAAGGAGAAAGGAAAACACTTGGGAACAAAGTAAAGCTTTGGAATTCCATGAACAAAACACCAGAGTTGTACTTGTACCTACATGCATACAAAATATGGAATTTTATCTCTAATATATTATCCAGTTACAATAAATTTAATATGACCTAATATTAGTAAAAAGATAATTAGTTTCTCTATAACATGGATCCCATCCTATTCCACCTGGTAACCTTTTTCCCAATAGCATGTATTGGTACATCTTCACTTGACTTTAGCAATGAAATACCTGGTAATTTAGTGTTTTAACAAGTAGTCAGATAATAATGTAAAATATGTATATGAATTAAAATTAAGCTCAATGTAAACCAAACTAAATAGATTTTTTCAAAGAGTATTCATGGATCCGGGCCACAGACAAACTCGATATGCTTCAAACTAATTTAATGATGGATTAAGTTTTTTTTTTTTTCTTTTATGATGTTTGAGTTGAATCTAACCCAACACATTCAAACCCTTTGTATAAGGGTTAGGTCCCGAGTTCTAATATTAAACCTCATGACCCATGAACCCAACCTGTTTGATATGACATAATAATAATAATAATAGTAAATTATTATAATTATTGTATATTTTTAAATAAAAAACAAATATTGGATTATCATTGAAAATGAGATTTCTTCGTATAAACACTCACTTGGTTAGTCGCCACGTTGTATGAGAACTCTGATCTCTATCTGTTCATTGTCTGTAATAACACATTTTACTTTGTCTTACATATTATGGAGTTGAAATGAGAAATCCCGGCATCTAGCTTCTGACTTGATTGGGTGACCAATCAGGAGGGGTGTTTATTGCATCTTTTGATTCTTTGGGTGTATTAAATTCAATTTTTTTTTACTTTGTTTCTATCCTATAGTTGGATAATCATGTTAGAAAATCTATTAGTATACATAGGATATGAAATCTAACATCTTAACATCCTAAATTCCTAGTTTGTTAATAGTTTTTTTATAAAATTTAAATGTTCTACTCGACCGATCCGATCTAATTCAATAACACATCTATCTTTGACCAAACTGAACTGAACTCAATAACACATCTATCTTTGACACAGTGAATTTAGTAATGCTACCTTGAAAGTTGAAACATCCATCAACAACAAATCCAGATTAAGAGGATCAAAATCAGTTCTTGGCAACCTCTCTGATATGGGGGTACCGATGAGACCATCGAGAGAAGCCTGCACAAAGAGAGGTTAGAAAATGCATCTACCTCAAAAAGCATTTAGCGCTCTAATAACTAGCATTACAGTAAACATAATCACCAGAAGAGACAATCTCCGAAAGATCCATGTCCTCTTTAGTATCCTGCAACAGATTATAACAAGCTTAATTATGACATCAAAACAAAAAATGAAAAATACAGTTCACTGCGAACTAGATTTGGATGCAAGCAGGCACGCAACAAACTTTCTAGAAAGTCAATGTTGGTCTGAGAAATGAAGAATAAATTTTAACTGAACAAAATCAATGTTGTCAAACTCGAGCATAGTTTGAGGATTCAATGATGAGCTTGTAACTTGAGAACCATAAAAAGATCGCCGCGGATAGTAAAATTCTAAGAATACATAATTATATTTCTATGCATCTATACACATAAAAATAGCATAAATAATAAAAAGACTAATAACTCTTAATAAGTCAATGGAAAATAATAATAGGTCCAAACAATCAACATACCCAAACACACTACGAATACCACAAATCCAAACCCCACATTCCCTATCGTTTTGTTTTGTTAATATGTGAACCTTAATCCCTCACTTGACTCATTTGCTTAGACTCCCCCGCCTCTACTACACACTAAAATCTCATCACCTCTGCCATGCTTAATCTGCAACTCAAGACTCATAACCATGGCAACCGTGAGAAGCAGGTAACCGGATGGTCTGCACAGCACACCATCACAATAGCATTTTCTAGTGAACCTGCAACAGTATCGGCATCCAGGGTGGCAGCAATGGCGATTTTCAATGACGACAATGGAGTGATGATTGTGTTCATTTGTTTCAAAGAATTGATCAAATTGGATTAACATCCAACTATTTTCTGCTAAAACTCGTGATCCAGAATCCCCGAGTTAGGGCGGAACCTGCCCAAAACTTGTAGGATTGTACAATGCTAGTTTTAATCAAGATTTTGACAACATAGGACAAAATAGCATCAAAATCAATGCATGAGATGTATATATATTATGTATGTGGAGTTCATAATAACTTTTCTTATACGATTTTTACAAATGATGTAGTTGTAGTAGATGAGACGCTACGACCCAAGGATCAAGTTCAACAAAACAGAGGAACAACAGTTCAGTTAAAATTAACAGTCAAAAGAAACCCAAGGCTGATATTAAGCAATTTGATATCTCGAATCTGAGTTAGAACATGATATGTTTATTTTTACTGTCTCAGTAATTCCAAATAATAGTACTGGAAATACTTCAGAATGATGAACAAATTATAAAAAAATATTTCTTCATTTTAAGGTGCGAAGTAATGACATAGCTGCATCTTATTTTGATAGGAAAAAGGTTTAAGTAGTGACCCTGAAACTCATGCAGACATGTCAGCAATTTGTACAATTCTAGTGAAAACATTAGCTAACACAAATTGCATGAGATGTAATGAAACAGTAGAGACAGAAAGAGAGACCAAAGGATTTTCAAAAGTTAAAGGATCATATCTACCAAAGATTGCTACACAGCCTGTTGTTCTTTTTGTTCTGGAAATCATAGTATTAAAAGGGAATATGTTTTTGGTCCCTATTAATTCAGTCCTCAAACTTTTGAAAATGTGATTTTAATTAATCCTTCTTTATACCTAAAACATTTAGTGACGATTTTTACATCACAAAGTGGATTGAAAGACTCAATTCACAAAATATGTGATTTTAGTTTTTTTTTTTAACCTAAATTTAACATTTAATAACAATTTTTTACCATGACAAAATTGACAAAATGACTAAATTCACACATTTCTTAACGTTTAAGGACTAATTAATCAATTTCTAAATAAAGGAACCAAAACCACGTTTGACGAAAAGTACAAAGACAAAAAAAATACATATTTAACCCTTATTAAAATTATTAAACATAAACAAAAACATAATTAGGGCAAAATTAAAGAACTTTGGTTAATTCCTACAAAGTTGTGCAACTGCAACAGTATTTTATGAATAAACAATACAACCTAGACCAACTTTTACAAATAGTAATGAAAGGGAATTAAATGCACCTGTTCTGATGAAGTCAGACATCTTGCAATGAGTAGATAAAGACTGTTAAGAGTGCTATAGTTAAAACCAGGTCGATTCAAAAGAGCCTCTTCTGATGTATAATCAAATACCAGTGCACAAATGCTTGAAGCCATCATCATACTTGACATTTCATCAGTGTTGTCTACAAACCATGTTTCAGTAACTAAGTTAAGATAAGATACATGCTTTACTTCATAATGTCCATTCAACGAATAAAGTAACAAACAAATGATGGTACTTATCAGAGATAAGATCAACAGTATAAGGATCAGTCAGCCACATCCACAAAATTTCCATGGTTAAATGTTTCTAAGCATTCCAGAAACATTCCATCCCATTTGCTAGGACTTTCTAATTTGAAAATCATCATTCTCTCATGGGGCCTGATCACACATAAAAAATACTGGACCAAGCACAGCAATATCAAATATCAAGAAGAGAAGGCTTTTCTAAAAACCAATTTTCAAGGTTTTGTCAAGATTACTTCCCTCTTTCCTTTGGAGATTTGATTATAGTATCTCAGCATGATTAAACAACTACCTTGGTATGTTTTCACTTTTCAAGAATTTTATGTGTTTAAATTCATCGAGATTTAATTATGAAAAACTATCTTCTCTCACACTCATTGAGGACACAATACTAGTTTTGACATTAAGAGTTTCACTCGTTATTCCATTCCATATCGGCCAAAATGATATAACTAAGAGTACAAGATAAACTCTGTTACTATCACACAAAAGTTAACCATTGTAGTTTGAGACTAAAATCTCATGCTTCCAACATGTCACTTAAGTCATACCTTACACTTATATCATAGCATCACACCATGCTCTGCAGTCCTGCACCCACGTGGGCAAGTTGTGCATTTTCCTTTTGGCTAGTAACAAGTGAGCACTGCAATGTGGGCATCACCACTTGCACTACTTGTAAGTAGCTGAGAGGCATGGTAGAAGACTCTCATACTAATTGATAAGAACCTTGAGAGAACCACACTACAAAAGCTGGCCATTGTAGTTGGAGGTCTCAAAGGTACAATCAAATAATTCCACTGTGGAACTCAAGTCTCACACCTTGCAAGTGGATTAGAACATGATTACATGCTTAGCTTATCTTGTCTTAAAAGAAAAAATTTCTTGGCTTTGTCTTATCAACAAAGTACAATGAAAAAAAATCTTTGTTCCTGTATTTCTGGACAAAACTTCACATCCTCTCACAACTAAGTTTAAATTCTCATCTGTACATGTTTATAACCCTAACGCTATTTCTCGCAAATTTACACTTAAAATTGAACTGAAATCTAGCAGTTAGTACTAGGTGTAAAGCCCAAGAAACAGAAATCACTTTCTTTTATAGATAAATGCTACTACATTTGCATTATAGCTCCTGTCACTTTTTAAATATGCATAAGAAAACACTCATTTTAATGTTGCTGACAAGTATGGTACCTGACCAATAAGCTAATGCTTTAAGAAGATGAACAATAGCTGACTCATCCAACATCATCGACACTTTGTCTTTCTACAGTAAAAAAGGTGCAACTTGTGTGAAAATTTTGCACAACCAATAACGCTGGTCATTATGATAAGAAAATCACCTTCAGTAGTAGGTTCATTATTGTATCACACGCCAAAAAGATGCAACCATTATCCTCAAGAAAAGCATTTGACCCAACTAATTTACTGAAGCAATCTAAAACCTACAAATAGATACAATATACTTAGCCAAATGATAAAAAACTGTTTTGTTACTACCATAATTGAATGATGTCATTGCAATTACTGAAAGCATTACTCGTAATTGTGTATCTTGTAAACAGGTGAGTACTCTTATTTTTAATGAAGAAGAAATATAGTAATAAAGAACAAAATCAATAACTAATAATGAGAAATATTTTCTAAGATGTTTTCCTATTTGATGTAATCATACCATATCATATTTCCCTATTTAATGTAATTAAAGCATATCTTTAACAGCAATAAATGTGATGTCATGCTAGAATATCAAAATGAACTATACATCAATCAAGCAATCATTAAAATCTTGATTTACTTGTAAAGATCCACCTTTAAGTGAATTCAATTATAAACCAATATAAAAAAAGAGAGAAATGAAAATTTTAAATTTAAAAATAAAGTATTGGAACCAAAAAATAACTTACAGCCTCAGGTCCTTTACATGAAGCCAAAGCTTTGCATCCTTCAATCTTCATAGTAATTTGAGATAACATAGGTAGTAGAAAGCAAATGGCCGAGAAGGGCCTGGAATAGAGAATTAGATTAAGCAAATGCTCCACTATAAAGGATTTTTTTTTTTTCACCCATATTTATCTATCTACAGATACCTTTGTTCATCTTCACCTTCAACGGAAAGCATGTACCCTAAAAGATCTTGAACCTTCTCATTGCATGCTTGGGGTGCTTCTGCAAGATAGCTGAAACAAAAACATGAAAAATAATCGTAATATTTCCTCTCTAAATTTAAAGATTTAGAAAGTAATCATTTAAAGAAGAAGAACAAGAAGAAAATAAGTTCCAACCTTATATCTTAATCTTAGACCAAAATCTGCTACTAGAAAGTTCGTCCTTCAACAAAATTACCTCCTTTTTTTGAAGGAACGGGATGAAAATTGATGAAACAACTATCTAAATTAGCTTAAGATGTTCTATACAATTTGCAATTAGGTTTAAGAAAATAAATTAAAGTTGGATGTTTCTTTCTTGATACTCAATTGCAATGGAATAACAGTGAAAGAATGAATAATATACAGGTTAAAAAGGTTAAAACTTTTATACAACAACAAATGCGACACTAATATATGAAAGATGTCTTCCACATGATTTGAAATAAATCATTGTTAATCAATCAAGTGTCAAACATAAGTAAAAAATAATTCAAAAGAAGCACAGTAAAACATTATACCTCCCAATAATTCGCACTGAAGCAAGTAAATCATCCCCTTTTTTTTGCCCATGTTCCTGTATAATTTCACCATTATAACTTGCTACAATATGTTTGTAAACAAGGTAAATAGAGTAGGAGAGAATCATACAATAATGGAATGAACTGTATATATTTAATTGTGTTAGTACAAAGTATATTATTGAGAAAAACAACTTGTATAATGCAATTGAATTGTACAAAAGATATCGAGTCTCTGTTTACACAGGTACTTATATTACAGCAGACTCAAGAGTAGTTATAACTATTTAACCAAGGCTGTTACAACAGCCTCAAGAAAATTTAGTTGAAGTACATATGTGCTGATCTATATACTCTCAATAACCTAATGCTAAATCTTGACACCAACAATGACTCTGAAACAACACTTTGAATTAAAATTAGATTAAGCAATTATCATCAGCATTACCTTTGCGTCTTCCAAATACTCTAATACAACCATGATTGTCTCATTAAGCTGAAGAATCAGCTTTGTCAATGTGCCTTCATCAAGGAGGTCTCCTGTAAAAGAAAGAGAACGATGAAGGTGCATTATGCCCAATTAACAAGAACTTACCCACAAACACAAGTTTTCAACAGCGCCAACACCAGTTTCAAAACATGACACGAGTATCACATTACCATGTAATTAAAATAACAATAGAAGAAAAATCCAAAATTCCAAATAGTATCCATATAATTTACAATTGACAATAGTATTGGCGTACAGACAACTAAACCAGCATAATTAAAAATTACATTATGGTGGAAATCTTTTAGTATCATCTGAAACATAATTGAAAGCCTGTATTCATATTCTCACCCATATATGTTCAGAAACAGCTATGAAAATACTAGCCAACCTAAAACCAAATGATACCAATCATCAGCACAAATAACAGATACAAGAATTGAGAAGAACCCCTCCCACCCAAATAATTTATATATATATATATATATATATATATATATATATATATATATATTCAAATGATTGTTTGGGATAGAACCTTAAATGTTAAAGTTAGGCCCTAAAAGTCCAGCAACACTACAGCTGACCAAGCCCAAAATTTAGAGAGTCCACTCTCGGAGAAATAAGGGGCAGGGAATGAATGATGAGGTGGCAGAGAGAGAGAGAGAGAGAGAAGGTTTGTGATGTGTGAATTTGGTTATAATGGGCATGGAGAGGAGAGATGGAGGATATCTTTTGATCATTAGGTTAGTTATTGGGCAGATAATTTTTTTTCTCTGTAGTAGGTTGACTCTGGGCAATTGAACTTTAATTACTTTGAATTACCTTCTTCCTCTAAATAATATATATGCTTATTTTATCTCCAGCAATTATTTGATTCCTAATTTGATTTCCTATTGTCGGTATTGGTTTCCATAAGTTGGTAACACAATGTGAAAAAAACTCATCATCTGTGTTGAAATATCCAGAACTTTTTCATAATATCATATTGCATCAATGTAGTCTCCTTTACCCTCTGCCTATGTCCCTATAATTTTAACAGTATGATCACAATTATAGACCAAGTGACTGAATTTGAGCAGAGGAACCATTTTCATCTTGTTACATTTTTCACTAAAATCAAAAGACATAATTTAGAGGCTAAGGGAATTGTGTTTCTTTGAATATACCATCAGTTTCCTCAACATTTGATATTAATTTTATTATCTTCTCAACCAAAGAGTAAGCAACAGCAACATTATGTCGCTTTGAAAAAATTGCTTGAGCAGTAGCTGAAGTATCCTGAGGGGCTTCATATTTTAGATAGGCCAACTCATTCAGAAGAACAGCAATTTCAACCCTTGACTGCTCCAAGACAAGCAACAGACACCTAGAATGGGAAGGGGTGAGAAAATGAAATAACAAGCCCACAATGCAGATGAGTTAAAAAATTAAAATTAACAAGCACAGCTTACATGTCAGCTGAAACTGGATCTTGTGCATCATTTGTGTTTACTTGGCTAACCAACCAATCTTCTCCATACATGGAAACCATAGACTCAGCTAAAATGAGAGCCTGCAGCCTTTCAGCAGGAGCTGTACATGAATAACAAATCAAGCAATTAATACAGCTTAGTGTTTTATTGTTTTTAAAAAACCCATAATGCAGTACAGTAAGATTAGGACATCTGTTACTTCTATAAAACTTCAGATTATCCATGTGAAAGAGGAAAGAAAAAGTGTCTTTTCATCCACAACCTTTCCCTCAAACAATTCATCTTATTAAAACTAACTTTCCAGACTATAGAACATGAGTTAGTGCATCAAGAGTGCAGTTTCTTGCCATAACAAAGCCTGCTGACTTAAAACCTTTAAGTATGCAATATCAAACGAATAAATAATTTATTACAACATTTATGTGGTGTCATTTATAAATGCTGTAACTTGGACTTTATTTTTTCATTTCCTACTTTATAGCTACTATGTTAGCACTTTTATTTGGGTTTATTACTTTTAATGTGATTTGCTGATATGGCACTGATATGAATCACAAGGAGTAATTTAGGATCTTTAGGGTTAAAACCTTGTAAGAAATTTAGGAATTAGAAAGAAGGTGGAAGGAAAGAATCACTCTTCCCAAGGGAGACAACACACAAAGGATGTGACAGTCCTTTGATACAGCCAAGGGTTCTTGAATCACTCAAGAATTTAGGAGAATCACTCTCACTAAGATAAAAGAGATAAACTCTAATATTTTTGAATAAAATTCCACTTGTTCTAGCCCTTATCATAGGTCATATTCACATCACAATGCACAATCATTAAAAAAGGAAACTGGGAGGTTGGTTACTGCTCTTTCTTTCCTGTGCATATTGTAACCACCCAACGAATATATGTGCTAGTTACGTTCTGCAATATAGACAGATTACCATAAAAAAAAAAAAAAAAAAAAAAAAATCTCAGTCTCTCGTCTCCATTTTCTTATTCTTGAACATCGGGAATAATTCCTAAAATTTTAATTCCCCAGTCCAATGGGTTTTCTATACTCTGAGTTTTTCTCCCTGGAGAAGTTCCATCTAAAAAAATTATCAGCTGAGAGATATTGCTAAAATTACAACTTTAAAGAACCTTATAAAGGAACAAAGAAAGAGAAACCGAACTAAAAGATAAAATAGCTCTGTGTACATAATTAAGCAAATTGTCTCAACATACCAACACGGTTCTGCAAAATAGCCCTTATCCCAATGCGGATATTAAGTGACCAGTTATCTTGAGGAAGTAATTGTAAGGCATGACGAAGTTGTGACTGAAAATGTAAATACATATAGTCAATTCAAGGTGAATGAATCAAAGAAGGTCAAGAAAAATAATTCAATAAATCAGTTCATTTTATAAAACTGTGGTCATCCACATAGCACACCGGACATATTGCTCTCCCAAGGAATATAAACCATCTATAGCATGAACCAAATATTTTAACAAGCAAATGTACTGGATTTACACTGTAGAGGGATGACCCAAATATGGAGAAATCTAATTTCTTATCTAGAAGCAGTTTGATAAAGTATCAGGAAAGAGACAACAACCCTAAATTCAGGTGCCATAGTTCAATTTAAAATAAATTTTACCTTCAAGTATACTAGAATATCACTACACCATAAAACCATGAAAGAAGAAAACAGTAAGACGAGATGACATACTGAATCTTTTGAGGTAAGAATGGCATTTAGTAAGTGGAGAGCTTCAAATTTCAAGGAATTGTGCAAGACAGCAAACAGCCTTGCTATTGCTGCCATCTGTAGAGAGGCGTGTCAAAAATATTGCTCCACCAAATACATTATACATGTTTATTAAGGGAGTACACTTACAATAACTGAGATGTCAGATAAGTCATTATTCTGGATTATGTCCAAGGACATCCTACTCAGAATCAATTGCAGAAGTTTAAAAGATAATTCCATCAGATGTGAACCTGCATAGTGTTTTGGAATAATGATGTGTAAATAACAATTAGGAGCAGTTTCCCATGTTAGTGTACATGTATGCACCAAAAAGGTAGTTACTATAAATAAGAACATATAATGAAATCTCCATAGAGAAAAATTCTAAAAGACACCAAAGAAAATCCTCAAGTGCGGAAAATAATTGATTGAATCTGCAAAGATATAAAAATTAACTTTTTTTGGTAATGAGCATGGGATCAAGGCTTGAAAGTTGACACATGGAAATGATAAAGAATAGTCATGTTGAGAATATGCAGCATTCTGGACCAATATCTTGTTGATATCAGTTCTAGAGCTCAGACACAGATAGTTATACATAAATAGTACAGCCTCGTTTACCAATAACTTACAATTCCTAACTTTTGTACATATGTATTACCCCAAATTAAAATACACTAACTGACAATGGTTTCATTCAATCCCTTATATTCATTCCACTATGGTGAAACCAAGCATTACCAGCAGACAATGAAATCTTACCGTCTTGTAGAGTATGCATTTGAGAAGCAAGTACCTTGATGCCTCCAGATTCACAAAATCTTGTGATTCCATTTCCGGATGCAGCTGATACTAAGTATAAAAACTCATAGCATTCTTGAAGAACTGATGAGCCGGACCTAAACAAGAAATTAAAAAATAAACAAAAAAGGACTTGCTCAACAAAATAAAGTGTATGAAACTAAGTGCAGATCATTACTGGGTAGATATAACTTCCAACACAAGTGGGATATTCAAAACCATGTCCTCCGAGGAAGCAATATCCGGAACGCGACAAAATGCAGCAAGAACCGTGATGGATAGGCTTAAATATGCATCCCGATTCCCATTGGTGTCACTTCCCATACCTAATTCACAAAAGATAGTGTCAAAAATAAATTAGAAATGAATAGAGAAGGAGGATAAAAGAAGTACATACCAGTTCTGAGAAGTCGATACAGAAAGCGAGGGCCAACTGCATCATACACCCTCCGAAGTGAGGGGTGATCCTCAGCTTTGCAGAACTTGGTTACCAGAAGAAGACCAGCAAGACGCTGTTCGTCTCGCTCTCCTTTCAGCAGTTTCAGGCAGTCCTCCAGATTCGGACTCTGTGTTCCCTTCATTCATGAACACCAATTACAACTTAAATATTTAGAGTACAAAGAAACGAAAATAAAAGCAACCTATGTTCCATCAATTTACCATTTGAATAATGCAACCTATGTTTCCATTAATTTAATTTACTGGTTGAATAATATAAAAACGTAAAAATACTAGTTAAATACATCCATTAAAGTGGTCAGGGTAGTACCTGTTCAGGTTCAGTGGAAGGCTTGTGGTCTTGCTGCACAGTCATCTTGTACTGGGACATTGGTTCAGTAATTGTTATTATGGGATTCAGACGATTTCGGCCTAAATTAAACCGCAATTACTGTTATCACATAGCAGTTAAATGGATAATTATCAACTCAAGTCCACCGAAAAAGTAAAAACTTTGCTATCTATTGTATTCAATCGAATTTAACAAAAAGAAGAGAATCACATTAGGGTTGTCTATTATTAATTTTATTATTGTATTACCTTTTTTCTCTACTGCGTACTCTACTAAGTAGAAAAAATGGAGCCAAATCAGTGTTACTAATGGCGAATGAAAGGAAAATAGTGCCTCACTGGAAATGAAGGAGAAAAAGGGGAGAAAGTTCGTTCGCGGGAACAGGGAAGTGAAGATGTATCGCCGGAAAACGCAGCAAAGATGGAGATTAGAGAAGAAAGCAGCAAAGGGGTTTCACTTGTGTTCTAGAAATCAAACAGAAACAATTATGTTCATATTCCTGAAAATTAGGATAAATCCATTCTTTAAATATAAAATAATTATTAATTTTGAAATAATATAATTTTAATTCTCAAATATTAAATTTAAATAACTAAAGAGATTTTTTTTTAATTTAATCACCTTTTTTTTAATATTGAAACCATGTTTTTCTAAGTTTGAAATATTAAAATGATTTTTTTAATTATATATATTAATAAATATACAATTATAATTGTTTTTAAGAAACCAAAATCATGTTATCCAGAACTAAAAATAAAACATTTTTTTAGAATTTAAGAAATCAAAATGAGATTATCTCAATTTTAGAAACTAAAAATATAATTAAATTCAATGAAAAAAAATGTATGCTAATAAATTTAAATAAACCTTATACTAACATAAAAATTACAAATAATAAAACTAAAATAGATATTAAAATGTTAAAAAAGTATAAATAACTTCTATATTAATATTGCAAACATAAATAATAGAAAAAAAATTCTTTTGCCAATTATTTAAAATATCATCAATAAATATGTTTATATTTTATATACAGAAAATTTATATAATATTACAATGTTTAGTCCAATATATATTAAATAAATACAAATATAATATTAAGAAAAAACATTACTATAATCATAACCGTCTAAAATGAAATATATTAGTAAAATAAAATAATTATCTAATGAACTCGTCTACAGAAATTCTCTTCAGTTGAAATTTGTGTTGGATAATATTATAATTTATGATTTTTTTTTAACTTTTAATCATTGTCTTTTAAAAAACATTAATTTGTTGAATATTATAGTTTATTAAAAAAAGTGTAGATAAATATCATAGTTTATTAAAGTGATTTATTGAAAAGTTTGTAAAAAATATTTTATTTTAATAGAATTTTTGAAATGTTTTGCAGTAGAAATAATTTTGATTATTTGTAATAACGAACCATCTTTTGATTAACACTACAAACTCCGTGAGAGATTTGGGTAACACTCAATTTCATCATCATGCTTCAAAACTTCTGAAATATGGCGTGGAGGCTTTTGGCATCACGCGCTCTCGCAAAAATTCCCTTCCACAACAATCTCTACTCCGATTCCTCATTTCCAAAAACAAGGTACCAATTTCAAACCCTGTTTTGCAGTTCCAGGACTAGTCTTGTTTCATTACCATCCAATCTTATTGCATTTCATTATCTTTACTTGTATTTTTGCCTGCCTAAGTAAAATGGGATGCTAGAAAGACAAGCTTTAGATTTGTAGTATAAAATTTTTAAAAAGATGGAAGGTAATATTTCAGTGTACTACACTTCTAATCATTTTGAGTTATTTATTATTTATTATTTTTTTACCTTAGCTTTAGCTTGTAATATTGTGTGAGAAGCAGAAAACATTGAAACAAAAGTTTTCTTCAATATTGACTTACACTGCTATAGCTTGAACTATGTTGTGTGCAAGGTTCGTGGCCAGGAACCTATTTTTGATCTGCTCTATTATACGAAAGCATGTTCTTTCCTTGGAAACATAGGCTTTCATTCATGTCCATTTTTAAAGTATAATAGTGAGGTTGTGGAGCAACAACATCAGGATTCTGAGAAGGCTTTAAGTGCTAATGAGGGTGATGGTAATGCCAAAGTAAAGAGGAAAAAGTTTAAGGGGAAAAGAGCTGTTGTAAGATGGCTGAAGTTCTTTAGATTTAAGAAGAAGAAAGAGTATGAAAGGATGACAGCAGAGGAAAAAATTTTATACAAATTGTTAAAGGTAAGTTTTATTTTTTTTATCTTCTTACTTATATATTGTCCCTTTCTATTGTTTTCAATAGTACTTATGGTTCTATTGATTTTTTTTTCCCCTTTACCATCCTGTGCTTTCTATATCTATACATACGTCTGGATTTCTTACTAGTATTTTCCATGCTACACATGGCTTGTGTTTACATTTTTAGCATGAAGAACTAGGATTGTCTCACATTATAATAGTGATCTGGAGACTAATTTTTAAGATCTTATGAATTTCATGGAATAATTCTAATCTTGACAAAAATAAATCTATTGTTGTTGGAAACTTTATCATGCAATAGTGCTTTTTTATAATGTATATTAAAGCCTGCGGCTTTAGAAATCAACTGGAGCACCAGAAGCCTTTCAAGCAATATTTTGTGCAAAGAATTTGGAGATAAAACTGCTTAAATTTCTTATAACATTTTTTGGTGTCAATAAAGATAAATTAATTAATTCAATATTGAAATCTGGCTTACACCATACCTATTCAAATCTTAATACAAAATTTCAGTTAGAGAAACATACGTTAAATCTTTCAGTCTTTAACAATGATTTACAGAATTATTTTAGTGCATTCATTGTTAGGTAGTGAACCAGTAATTAAGGTAAAAAGTATAATCTTTGTTTCTAAAGAAGAAATCTCTGCCCAGAATCTACGTGATACAGACAAAGATATGCTGTACATAAAATTCTCTTCTCACCAAGGTATTTTAAAAAAAACCTGTATTCTCACCAAGGCATTAATAGACATTTAATTACTTGAATAGGAAATTTGCATTCATTGTTACTGGTTCTTACCCCTACTTAACTTTAACCTCACATTTTCAAGATTTTAGTTGCTTACTCTTTGTTAACTTCAACAAACAAGGGTGAGTAAGAGGTCGTGTGTTATTAACCTACAACAAGGAAGGGTAAAATGGGACCATGAGTAGAGTGAAAATTAGGAAGAAAACAGAACATGTAGTATTATTCGGTGGACATTGTTTTGATCAAAATGATCCAGAGGTAGGAGAGGATACCTGAGATAAACCCCTCTTCCAGGTATTTGTGAGACTCTGGTTCTGTCCCAGTCTTCTGAGTGGACCCCAAACTTCCCTGATCTGGTTTCATGTTTCTCCAGTATGACAAAAATGCCAAACTAACTTAAATTAAAATTAGATAAAGAATGGATCCTACCGTAGATTGTCTTAAAAGGGGTAAGCTTCATAGAACCATTATAATTGGCGTTGAACCAAAACTGAGACCAATAAGCTATGTTGGCCGTTGCTGTGATCCGGAGATAAAAGTATACACCAGACAAACCTGTCTTAAGGGTTTTGAAACCCTCTCCCAATGTGCCTACTCCCATAAAATTTCTCGTCTTGAACTAACATCATGTGTTTATCAGATCAATTTTTTGTTCTTTAAAGAAGTTTGTTCCTAGTAGTTTTTGCACAAACTGTTCATTCTGTGATTGAATACATCATTACAGTTAAAAGTGTTATGGAAGAACTCAATTTGATTCTGTATGTCAAAAGTCATAATTCCAATGGACCACTAATATGGTTATCTATTCTTAAATGAAGGGATCCAAAAGTTTTAGAATTCTACAATCTGTGAATTTTAAGTAGATCAACAACACTCATTTGATAATCAATGCTTGGCAATATGTCATTGCAATTGCTCGCTCATATAGACCTGGTCCGATAATTTGGCTAGATACTCATTTTTTTCCTTGATATTGTTGAATCAAAATTGCCCTTTAATAACCAAGATCCATATTTTTTTGATTTTTATCTGTGCTAACTAGCATGTTTTACCACTTTTATGTTCTCTGATGACAGAGCATGAAACAAATTCTGTTTCCCATTTTTGCTTTCCACACTAGTGAGAAAGCTTTAACGTTCTCATTTACTTTATTTTATCACTGTTTTGAACTAAATAGTATACTGGTTTGCACTTTATGTCTGTTGTATCGGTTATTGAACATACAATGTTTTCTCCATCATTCTAGGCCCGAAAGAAAGAAGAGAGACTCTGTGAAGCCCTGAGAAAGATTGAGCCTGCTGAATCTTCAGAGACAACCCATGATCCTGAGATATTGACCCCAGAAGAGCACTTTTTCTTCTTAAAAATGGGCCTCAAATGCAAAAATTATGTACCAGTCGGAAGACGAGGAATTTACCAAGGTGTAATTTTGAACATGCATCTGCATTGGAAAAAACATCAGACTTTGAAAGTGGTGGTGAAGACATTTTCAGCAGATGAGGTTAAAGAGATTGCTGTTGATCTAGCAAGATTGACTGGAGGCATAGTGCTTGACATTCATGAAGATAACACAATAATAATGTACAGAGGGAAAAACTACTCTCAACCACCAACAGAGATAATGTCTCCACGAGTCTCTCTCTCGAGAAAAAAGGTACTGTGTTGTATACTCAATTTTTAGTTACTTTTAAAACAGAATAGAGTATGAGTTTAATTGGGTTTTCGGGTATCAAAATTGTCCTACAGTTCTTGGTCTTTATTCTCCAGAATTTTATGGTAAAATTTCTCCTACATAAGCTTCAGTTGCCATGTCTGAAATTTTGCATTTGTAGACCTTGGATGTGTATATACAATCTCTCCTGTTTCTGCTACTTGTCTATTTCACAAAAGTGTATGTTTCTTTTCATTTTTAAAAATTCTTCAGTGCCTTGTTGATGTTGATTCTCATCTTTTGCAGGCATTGGATAAATCCAAATACAGGGATGCCCTCCGAGCTGTGAGGAGACATATTCCAAGACTAGAGCAAGAGCTTGAAATTCTTCGAGCGCAATTTAAAAGCGCAGCTGAAAGTAATACTGATGCTGCTGAGGCAGTCCAGAACAGTGACAGAGAGAGCATTGAATATGGTAGCATTTCAAATTTTCAGTCAGAGAATTCAGACAAACACCAAGAGATGATGAATGATAAGATTGGGTTCACAGAGGATGATACAGATATGGACTCTGAATTGGATTCTGATTCTGATAAGTTGTCAGATATATTTGAGACAGATTCAGATACAGAGAATTTCATAAAGGAGGAAAAACCTCTTTATTTGGACGAGTTTGATAAGTTTCCAGATCAAAGCGATGGAGAAATGAATGATTTTGAGGAGCATCTGCGACAAATGTCTCTGAACTCAAAAAACATGGAAAAAGACGAAAACTTACCTAAACTGGATGAAGTTGATAGGATTTTTCTGCGTGCTACATCCTTTTTAAAGAAAAAAATAAAATAAGAAATTTGCAAAACACAAGTGTAATCATTATTTTACTTAAATAGAGTAGCTTTAGAGAAATTACAATGTACAACAATGACGTGGGTGTGCGGTTGATCATTTTTGAAACTAGACAAATTTAGATTAGTACTTTATTTGTTTGTATAGTATTTGTAAGTGTCATTAGATCACAAGTTATTTGTGTTGAGGGAAGTCATTTACGGTTATGGATAATGTTCTTCCAGAATCCATTTTTTACAAGCATTAAATTTGAAATTTTACTAGAGGGAAATCAAGTTTTTCCTATTTATATCAGGTAATGGTGGACTGTTCCCATTTTAGTCTACGGCGTGTTAAAAGTGAAGAAAGGAATAAAGTTCCAATTGATAATTTGAGTCATTTTGATTTTCCAGTGTTGCATTAATTCTCTTCAAACCTGGTCTCTTTATCAAGGCATATAGGCTTAAAAAGGCCCTTTACTGGTCATTAGGAATTGTTATAACGAATTCACTTCGGACAAGTAGACATAGAAATGAAAAGATATCCACCTCAGACAAATAGACATAGAAAGGAAGAGATTATATGTTAATAACGGAGGTTGGTAAAAAAAGAGGACATTTTTATGTTAAATTTAAATTTAGATTTAGATTAAAATTTGTTTGTAAAAACCTCAATAAAATAATTAATGTTATAGATAAATAAAATTTGATATATTTCTATATTACATATATAGATAGACAAATTATTCATTGTCTCATTTATTTTAATTGATAATAAGTATTAGGTTCGAGTATTAGAGTTTGATAGTCATGAAATATTACAATGATGTTACTAAACTCATTTGTTGTAAGGGGGAGGAGTAAAAGGATCAACGGTGGCATGCGTACCTCAACATAAAATATAAGCACCTCCTGAGATTCCATGTACATTCAATAAGAAAATATAAATATAAAACCAAGAATGTAATAAAAAAATAAAAAAACCGCTACACATACATACAGCTATTCATCAAGGATGTTTGGGTGTTCCAACCAAAAGGTTGGTCCAATAATGTCAACATGTTCTACAATGACCGTTCCATTACTTTCAAAAGTGTTTACATTCTCATGATGAATTAGATCAGTGTCTATCATATCCCTATAAACTGAGGATCCTTGTTGGAACACGACTGGTAATTTATTGTAGTCAATATATAACTCCTCAGTTTTCTTTTGCAACTGAGCGCCCTTTAAACATTTTGGGCTTCCCTTTTGCTTTTTCCAGATGCAACTAGCTTCCAGAAACAAGAGTTGTATTGATTGTTGATGTGACAATCCACCTGTCTCCTTGAAAGGTAGTCCCTTAGAATGGCAGTAGATGGATAGCACACTGCTCTTCCATCAAAGCAAGGAGGATACTTTAACTCACTCCATCTCATCACATGTGTGGATGTGAAGAAAGACACAATTGTTGAAACCATTTTATTAGCTCTCCTTTGATAAGGATAACTGGTTTTCTTAAGAATAAAACTGTACTCATCACTAACCCCATAGGCAAAGACTATATCCTCCCAAAACTTTTCTAAGACAGAAACTGCACACAAATTCATTAAGTTAAGGGCTCTATCATCATTTGGTTTCACAAATTCATGTAGCTCAGAAAACCTGTCGAAGTGGCATCCATCTATACGAACTACAATCCATGTAGACGGCATCAATTTGCTATGAAATTCAAAGGACCTCACATACTCTGGAGTCACATTGTTAATATCTTCAACAAAACCACCAAAATCCTTCAAAAGAACAGTATGCTCATTCCAAAATCTCTTACCAGCTATTTTCTTGGAATGCACAGTGATAATCTTCCTTCTGTGCCATTTAATTGGAGCACCATTATCTTTGTATTTCACTATGTCCTCAACCACTGTCTTCAGAACACAAGACACTTCTCGGAATATTGGCTCTAATGTATTGTAATTGACATTGAACTCATCAAATAAAAGATTGTTTAGCTCACTTTTGTCAAAACCCTTGATGATATCCCATGCTTCATTCTCATTCATTCCATGTTCAACAAGACGCCAAAGACATTGCTCATGTTGATCACTCAAATGACATATTCTGCCGCCACAAAAGATACGCTTGAAGGGTTTCCGGGGATGCACAAGGTATGACTCGCCCGTGGAAGGAAGGAGAAAATTGTAGTTCCTTGTGTGGGAAGAATTCACCCCATTTTCTCACAAAGACAGATGAGAAAAAAGATATAATGATGGATAACACTTTGCTAGCATGCCTTTCGTAAAACTTGGAGGTCTTCTTGAAAACAAAAGTATACTCATTGCTGAATGCGTATGCAAGGACTACATCTGCATTATCTTCAAGAACTTTAACAGCACAAGAGTTCATCAACTTCAAGGCATTTACATCATAAGGTTTATGGATGTCTCCAGAAAATAACATTTCAAAATTGCACACAATTTATCTGAAATTTCCATAATAAATATCATCCCCGTTAGTCGCACATTTTGAATTAAAATTACAGAGGAAAAATGCATTCCAAACAACCACTGATAATTAGATATAGAATTAATTCATTGACACAATAGCCTATGAGATGAATTTAGTTTCAAAGTCTTTTTTTGATTAATTTCCATATTTATACATTTAAATATTGTTATAATATTTCTAGATTTTTTTCTTTTTTATTTCATTCTATCCACACTCCTCGTGTATACTAAATTACTTATGTCTTTGAAATGAGAAAAAAGGGGAAAAACAGTTCATTTAGTTCTAACAAAACCAGTTTCAAAGATCCAATCCCCATTACTGACCTTAAAGAATACTCGTAGAAGGGGTCAACTTTCTCCCATCGAAGAATCAAGCAAAACAGCTGAGAGCTGTAGCCATGATAAGGTAAAAGCATGGCTGTTTCAATTCTTGGGATTATTCTGGCGGAGAAAATTATCTTTAAGAAATGAAGAGCAATGTTCAGCAACTCTGGAATAAAATATAACTGATATCAGTTTATCCTATCTTCATATTTAGATATTCCCATATACTTTGCCTCATTTCATGGACCACTACTCAAACTACCAAGCCATATTATAACAGATTATTATAGAAATTACCAGTAGCAATTCTAAATACCGCGAGTGAAATGCTCCAAGCATAGCCTAAGCCAAGTACCCAAATTAAATGAATACCAGCTCCAGAGGAAAGCCAAACCAGGTAAGCTCCAATCATGCTTTTATACCTGAAGCACATCTATTCATTTGTAAAACTATCTCCTTCAGATACGCATGAGAGTGCCAGCATCCATGCTTGAAAACCGTTAGGAGCATCCCTTTTCACTATTACTTCTAGCTTGCCAACAGCCTGCTTTGAAACTCCACAATACAGCAAAATGTTTGCAAGAGCTCTAAATGTGAAATCGTCTGGTTGAATGCCAGCTTTTATCATTTCCTTGAAAGTCTCTGTAGCTTCCCTTAGCCTCCTATCCATAGAATACAAACCAAGCACATTATTATAACTCAATACATCGGTCAAGAGACCTAGTCTTCTCATCTGTGTAGCAATTTGAATGGCTTCATCCAATCTTCCAATTTTCTTATACATACATAGCATCATTGCATATGAAAACTCATTCGCAACTTCATTCTTCTTCAGGCTGTCGAATATCTCTTTTGCTTGTTCAACCATAAGTCGTTCAGTATAAAGATCAATCATACAGTTAGAGGAAAATATAGAAGGACCTTCATCTGACGATAGAAGTAACTTGTATGTTTCTTGTGCTTCTTTCAGGTAGCCTACTTTAGTATACAACTTTATCAAAGAGTTATATATAGCTGGATTACCTGACAATCCTGACTTTTGCATTTCGTTAACATAATTGATGGCTTTTTTAACACTTCCTGCATCAGCAAAAGCATTGATAAAAACACCATAAATAATGTCATCAGGCTGCACGGCATATCCAAGCATCTCCTTGTATAATTCTTCAGCCATTTCCAATTGACCTAACTTTATGAAGCTTGATATCACAACACAATATGGAACACAGTCACTCACAAGTCCTGCACCCTGCATTCTTTCAAGATAAGATTTTGCAACATGCGGCCTGTCAGCCTTGGCCAAAATATGTATGAGAGAACCGTAACTACATTTGTCTGCAACAATACCAAATTTCTTCATACAATCAAACAATTGACATGCTTTATCGTAGCATTGTCCTATCCCATAAGCTTTAATCATCACATTAAACTCAAGGACAGTGAGCTTCTTTTTTTCTTTGCAGCACATAAATACTTTCTCTGCTTCTGAAGTGTACCCTCGCTCTCCATAAGCATCAATATTGGCTGAATAACTGACAGAACTAATATTCCCAGCTAGGTGAAACCTCTTGAACCACAACCATGACTGCTCAAGCATGCCTGATTCTACATACATTCTAGTCACAGCAGATTGGGTGAATTCATCAATTGCAAGATGCCTTTCATCCATCTCCTGTACAAGCTCTTCTGCTTCTTGGACCATTTTCCTTGTCGAGTATGCATACAAGAGGATTCGATAACTCACAACATCTGGCTCAAGGCAGGCCTGTTTCATCCTTGCAAGACATTTAGCTGCCATGTTGAGATTATTATTCTTAATATGAGTAGAAATGAGGATGTTATACGTCCGAGTGTCTGGTAGGCACCGAAACTCTCCCATCTTCTGGAACAGCAAACAAGCTTGCTGTAGCCGTCCACAGTTTCCATATAAATGAATCATTGAATTGAGTGTTACTGTATTCAAGGCCATGCCTTGTCTGATCATCCTAGCAAAAGTTTCACATGCTACGCGAAATTGACCACCCTTCCCATATGTGTCAATCAAGGTAGTATATGTATTAGAGCTTAAACAAATATTGGCATGTGATAGTTTATTATCCACTGCATGATTATGATTAACCCCTAATCTAACAGGTGCGACTCTTATCCATCTTCTGAAAAACTCTTCAGCTTTTCGGAACTCTCCAGCCCTCTTGTACAAGAGAACAACAATCGCCATGGTGACCTCGTCAGGCTCCATTCCTTGACTCTGCATCCTATGAAGCCAAGAAAGAGCCTCTTCTTTGACTCCACCCTTGCTATAGGCATCAATCAAGGTCCCATACGTGGAATTCACAGGTACAACCCCTTTTGCATTCATTTCCCTCCACAAACTCTCCACAAGCCCCCACTTGCGCGCTCTGCCAAGGGTCCAGAGCATTATGTTGTAGTGAATAACGTTCAAGTCATAGCAACCCTTTTTCTTGAACCACTCGAAAATTTGCAGAGACCTCTGCCAAGAAACCTGGGCTTTCAGAATTGCACTGATTTCCCTGCTTGAGAGAGTCTCCTCCCATTGTCTGAGAGCGTTATCCAAATCGTGAAAGGTATTAAGGGCGTGGAGGACTGAAGAAATGCGTCGAGAAACCCATTTCTTCGAACAGGTGGAGTGCACCTTGTTATTGAACATCTTCCTTAGGGGGGTGGAATCAGCATTTCTATCCAAATTAAGGTTCTTGGATCGATAATTATTAGGAGCATGGGTAGTTTTCGAGGGAGTGGTAACAGAGGTATTGGGTGGAGAAGGAAGTGTGGTAGTGAAACCCAAAAGATTGGTATCTGAAAGTTGAAAATTCACCAGCATTGGTGTCAAACCTCAATTGATGCAGAGCAGGACGATAGGAATTGGCTCTGCCGCGTTTCGAACGGAATATGGGTTTCTTTTTCTCATTCTTTCTTATTTTATGTTATGAACAAAAATGGTTGGGCTTTTCTGCCAAGAAAGTCCTTTGGACTCTCCCCTCATCCTAAAACTTAGAAAGGGATTATATGTCAAAAATAAAATAGTTAATAGTACTGATTATATATATAAAAACTCGTATTTGATATTTATAATTTAATTGTTTAATTAACTACCTTTTTAATTTAATTTGATTTTTTCTTAACAATCATACAAGGAAGTAGACAGAAAGAAATCAAACAGAACCTAATATATGCTTAATCACCACCAACCAACTTCCACCATAGGAACTTGATCAAGAATGCAAAACCACCCAAAAAAGAAATATGTTGCGCTTAACGATGTTGGAAGATCGACATAAAAAAAATCCTCCTTGGTTCGTAGAAAATCTCATAAAGAAAATTATCCGCGGATAATAAACAATTTGTAAGATCGAAGTGTCTTGTGCAAGCTACAATATGACCTTCACTGAATTATTATTATTTTTTTCATAAAAAAAAGATGACAATTACAATTCCAGATACATGCTACACTCTTTTTCAGATATATATTATTCTGCCCCCAATAGCACATTAATATTCAAGTCTGAGAATGCAGCTCATTTGCAATACTTGTTGAACCAGATCGCAATGTTAAGGTAGCTTTCAAAGTCGGATTGTGGTCTGGACAAAAGTTAAACCAAACAATATTATCAATTACAATTATTTTTAAGACAAGAAAATAAGAAAAATGGCAATCTTTTCTATAAACAAAAAGATTTAAATCTTGTTTAGTCCCTATATAGTTTCACAAATAAGTAATTTTGGTTCCTATAAAATTTTGATTGCAGAATTGGTCCTTCAGATTTTCAAAATTATGCAATTTTGTACAATCTAATCACTTACAAGAAATGATATATATATATATATATATATATATATATATATATATATATATATATATATGTTGGTTATAATAGTAGATTTGAGAATTAACTTTGGTACATGTTATTCTCACCGATATGTTAACAATTTTTTTTTTAACAATTGAATGATATATTAACAGTGAACTTAATTTTAGAAAACTAAAACACCAGATCTACAATTGAAATTTTATTGGAACCACCATTGCATATTCGCGAAACAACTGAACCAAAAGTGGATTTAAGCCAAACAAAAATTAGTTTGTCTATGCTAATTGTAACAATTCTCTTATATTAGTTTTATCAAAATTGGAAATTAACCTAAAGCATAAACTAGTTTTAATTTGTATAGAAAACTATTTCACTATTTTCTTAATAATTTTTTTTCTTAAGAGTACATGTCGATAAATTACCAAAATAAGCCCTTATTAGACGAATGAAATGTTTATGTTAAAATTTGTTTACCTTTCAATTCCATGAACATCATTTGGAAAGACGATGACTTTAGTTGGTACTCCTTTCTCCCTTAAAGCCCGAGCATACTACAAATTTAAACAGTATGATTTTATTTATCTGTCATACTGTTCTAGTTTAAGAGGCAAATCACCCAAGAGTTTTCAGTTATTTGAAACTCAAGATACCTACTTGTAATCCAGTCGAAATTGGAACACGGAGATCTTTGGCACCTAGTAGAAAAAGCGTTGGCGTTTTTGCCTGTACATCATCAAGATATAAATCATCAATGCAATATTTTAACAGCAAACAGCAAGAATAAATAGGCTTCAATTTTAGTTTGTGTGTGGTGCTGCATTAACATAGAGACCAGTTCTTTGGATAGTACAACTTCGTCAAGCAATTCAAAGGAATAAGAGAAAAAAAGGAAATAAAATCAAAATTATAGGCAACAAAAGTTTCAGTACCTGTGAAAAATTTAAAATAGTTAATGCATTGAGGGCTCATGCATATTGTTATTTTCTAATCCTTTAGTTAGGAGCATGCTTCAAATACTTTGTATTAATATAACAACAATTTAATATTTCAAAACCATATCTAGGTGTACAGACCTTTGAGAGGTGTGAAATAGGAGATTTGCTGTAAAATAGAGTTAGATCCTCTGCCGAAGGTGCTTCAGTGAACTTATCCCTACCCTTGGTCCCATATGTCTCCACATAGCACCAATCAGGGATATCAGTTGTACCAACCATCAGGGCAAGGTTACACACAGGATTTCTAGCAGCTGCTGCAACAAATTTCTCAGGTGCCTACAGCAATAAGCCCGAACTTTAAAATGACAAAGTCACACCAATACCAAACTGAATATTAGTTTTGCAAACTGTAGTTAATTGCGAACATATATACACCTTTGTAGTATTTATATATAATATTCAATGTTTTTATTTTTATATATATTATCCAATTATATGTGCATTGTGCCTACCCGGCCCTAAGGATTGGGGGATAACATAAATTGCTAAGATATTCGGACGAGTATCTCTCTGTAGTCACCCAAGATATTTGATATATACTCAATAAAATATGGATAAAATATATCGCAATTCTCGAACAGATATAGTTCTAGTATTACTATAATTCATTTTACTCTTTCTACTTACTGATATACTGACTTCATTTTACTCTTTCTATTTACTCATATACTGACTTAAGTATCGGAGAATCTTTGACTTAAGTATCGGAGAATCTTTTTCAGGTGTTCCTCCCTCGCTCTCAGCATATACAAAGAACTCAGCCACTTCGTAGAATCCAAGTAAAAATATCTTACACCGTAGGGTAAGGTAAAACTTCTCCCACATTACCACCTAGAGTTCTAGACAACGCAACCGACTCTTCTTGCAACAATGGAGTCAACCGCCCTCATTGATAACCTCAAAGCATATATAGCAGAGCTGCAGCAGCAAATCAATGAAAGCCACCCTTGCCACACTCTAGTAGAAAGCTAAACAAGACCAAAAACAGTATCAACAAGAGTTGAAAGAGTTGAAAGCCTTGCGCGAGCAGCTAAAGGAGATCTCTAAAAATCCACGTGATCAAAAGAGACTATCCCCATATGAAAATGAAGCCACACCAAGCGCAGAGTCTCATTCCAAAAATTTGATATAAAGAGGGAAAGTGAGGACTTAAAGAAAACAAAAAAAGAGTTCCAATCTGCCATATCCACCCGAGCCACGCTTACCAAGTATGAACACCCCGTCCATAGCTGGAATTCTTGACGAACCACTGCCTTAAAATTGACGGAAACTCCATCAACACCTATACCAGGACCTTAGATTCCAAGGAGCATACCTCAAACATGTCTAAGTATATTCGACCAAGGACTCCTTCAAAAGTAGAATATTCCCGACTGCACTCAAGGACACCAAGTGCAGAGTCTCTTTCCAAAAATTCTGCGAAGCAAAAATTTGATACCGAGAGGGAACACGAGGACTCAAAGAAAACAGAAAAAGAGTTTGAATCAACTATGTCCACCCGAGCCACGCTTACCAAGTATGAACACCGGTTCATAGCTAGAATTCTTGACATAAAGATGATTCAATTAAAGGACAACGAATATAATTAAATCTAGCATTAAACGAAAGTTCAAGAATTAGAACAGTGCCTTTCAAGAACCATATTTGCGTGATTGTACATTGAAATTGACATGGAATCTTGAATTTGCACCGTTAACCAACACAAAACATTCACAAATGAAAATTACATGACAGAATTGGAAGAACAATCAATTGAAGTAAATTGCAAAATTAAAATATTTGAATAGTAAAAACAGAATTACTGCGATTAATATTCTTGCATGATTTCTTTCAATTCGATTGATACAGAACAATGTAACATTGTAATGATCTTCAATGCAGTTGGAAACCGGATCAATTTGGTGTAGAATCAATGCAAGAACAATGGATTGTAAAAGAAACTAAACGAAGGATAGGAAAATTGGAAATGGGAACTGCAACAGAAAATAGAAAATAGAATTTCTAAAAACGAAAATCGAAACAGAAATAGAAAACAAAGAATTTCTTCAACTGAGAAGTGTAGATAATGAATCATGCAAAAATATAGAAAATGCGTGTCTAAATGTCTCATTCTCTACTCTATATATACTATTCTGAAGGAGGGAAAACTAATGGGACAAAGCTGAATCAAAATTGGGCCCATACAATACAGAAAAATCCTAAACTTTTACGATTTATTAAAATTAGGTTTAGACTCCAAACAACACGTTTCGTATATCCAAATTGAAGCTTAGAAAGTAAGGAATCCAACACAAAAGAATCAACTAAAACAGATATCTGTAAAAAATAATACAAACAAAACTGTAAGCAAAGGTCAATGCTAAAAAATACAAAAATACAATAGAAAAATACAAAAAATAGTACATATTTAAAAAAATTTCCTATTGATTATAGAAAATACAAATACATGCTAAATGAAGGAATTAAGAAAAGAAGAAATACTTAGAAGATGCAATAAAATTATAAACGTGAGAACAAGATATGTGTTATCAGTAACAAAGTACCTTGAAGATAATGGCGATGAGGGAAAAGAGCAGAAACGTGCACGGAGCAAAGAGGATGTGCATGACGCAAAGGAGCAAGAGAAGCACATGCAGGGTGTGCAAAATAAGGAAAATGAAAGATGATATAGACAAAGACAAGCCGCCATTATTTTGCAGCATTCAAAGCAAAATAAAAATTAAAAAGCAATGATTACAAATTTTCTCCTAGTTAATGTGATGTTAGAAGCTTAAAAGGCAATGTGGCGAGCTTCAACTTCACTCGTTTGCCCACATTAAATATTGCACTTGCAAACATATTTCAGATTCCGAGTTCAAGGGCTTGTGTACCTACTTGACTCCGAGGAGTGGGGGATAACATAAACTGTCGAGATATTCAGATGAGTAACTTGGCATTATCCAAGATACTCGGAAGTCATCCCGAGATATTTGATACATACCCAATAAAATAAGGTTAAAATATCTCGTGATTCTCAGACGGATATAATCCTTATATTACTATAAAAGGTTTTGTATCTCCATTTCATTCATTCCATTTTACTTTTGCAGGTGTTCCTCTCTCGCCCTCAACATATTCAGAGAACTTGGCCACTTCGCAAAATCTAGATAATAACATACATCATAAAAATTAATTGCTTAATTATTTTCTACCATTGATAAGTACCTTCGAATGCCAATTAAATTCTAAATTCGAATTTATTATTCTATATTATAGTGTATTCGATGTATTGTTCAGCAAAACTTGCAAAACACAAAACCTGGGTTTGTTGAAAATGTTCAAGAAATTCTGGATATCAATAGATATGAGGATTCAAACCACCTTATTTCAAGGTGCATCTAGGAAATCACAACTATAATGTTGAGTTGTCATAATAATGTCAATCAACAATAAAAATTGATCAGCAGCCCTCAATACCATAAACAACTAGTTTGTGACTGTTAAATCTTCAGCACAAATAATTATGTGCCATAGGCCATTTTAAAGTTGGTAAAAATCCATGGCTCAATTTTGACAATAACTGTTATTATCAGAATTTAAAAGTAAAGTACTAATTGCACCTGGCCAATCAAGTGGGTTGTTAGAAAGCCACCATGTGAGCCACCAAGCACTCCAATCTTTGAAGGACTGGCAAGTCCCAGGTTAATGACATGATCAATAGCAGTGAGCACATCATTGACATCCTGCGTGTAACACAAATCATGATCAGATCCAATCTCAAGAAAAAAAAATTGGCCATAATTCATAAGAGTTTTGGAAGTTGGAACTTGCTGTCGAAGGTGAGCTGTTGTTGGATAAATAACGCTATCAAGTCAAGAATTTAGAAATTAGAAGAAAAAATCACCAAATACCTGAGAGCCAGCTTTTCCCGGAAGAGATTGCAAGGCTTCCTCACCAAATCCAATTGAGCCTCTGAGAAATATTATCATGTAAGAAGCTTCGAACAGACTATATCTAGACATCTCTTCATCTATAATTGGATAGCTAAAGAGTCTTTAGGAGCTGTGAGATCATACACGCTATCACATAAAATATTAGGGTTAATGTTAATGAGTCTTATTCCTAGCAAGCTTGGGCTTACACTAGTACAACACAAAATTAGTATAAATAGGGAAATAGGATAGGATATTAAATAATATCGTCAAGCTAATGTTATTATTCATAGTATCATTTTTATCCATTTTACCATTTTTTCTACTCAAACCAATAATATTAACACTTACAAACATATTACTGAGGAGGATATGATGCTTAACAGGTTTATGCTATAATAAATTATCTATTACAAATACAATTGAACATTGAATATATTAAAAAACTATAGTTGGGGAATACTTGAACATCAGTTGGAATAATTTGGCTTTTGATACAAACACACCTAACGTACAATTCAATAGCGACAGGAAATATCAGTTTAAGTTATCTTCAACGATCACATAATATTCTAAGCTATCATACCACTCCAAGTTACATCAGTGAAAAGAGCCCCCTAAGAGGTGAATTTTGGAGACTTAGCTGTGAATGTAATGAAGGCTTGAATTCTTATGTGCGCATCCTATAAGTCAAAACCATAAACTAGAGAACTTCGAGCCTTGAAATGAGAATTTTAACAGAGATTAGAAGTTTACATTATAAACTAGCATTTCACTTAAAACTAGAATGATTTGAAAGGAGGAGACTACAGTAATTTTATTTATAATCTTGTAGGCAGATGGCTTTTCCACCCAATGAAGAAACTTCAGAGCAGTACATCTCTGAAGTCCTACAAGAATCACCCAGATATGGATTTCTGTACTTTTTCAATATTATGGTTAGATTTTTTTCAGAAGGAAAAAGAGAGAGAGAATAAGATAAAATAATTAACAGATACGTGAAAAGTGCAGGCCTCCTTGGCTGAAGTATTTTGTCAAGGATCCTAGCTCTCTCTTGTTTCTTTTTGTCAATTTCATTTTTCATTTATTTCCTCTTATTGATCTGGAAGGACAATGCAATGAATATTTCCTTTGGAACCCCATTAACTTAAATGATAGGCACTTTAGTTTTCATTTGGTCTCCATTACTCTATTCTTCTGCCCCTTGACCTAACCAAAAGGATTTTATTTCTTGATCCTTTTGTGGCTTGTCATGCAAATATATATATATATATATATATATATATATATATATATATATATATATATATATATATATATATATATATATATATATATATATATACTTCCAAATTTCTCTCTTATTGAATAGAGCTACCTTTTATCTAGATAAATCACTTTAGAAGTCCAAAGCTCCCTCTAACTTCAGGTCTATCATTTGAACTATAGTTCATAATAGAATTAATACTTATTATAAATGACATAATGCAGGTTTATAGACCTAGTAGGGCTATTTCTTTTGTGTGGTTCGAGCTCCGAAACACTAAGTATTTCTAGCAATGATCTGAGACAGCATGTGTGTGAGAATAAGAATCCATCTCCTGATCAAACAGTACATAAGGAATCAACAGGAACATGATTGAACACATAAAACTTGTGAGTTTAAATTGTATGGCCTTGATCAAATGCTCGGGCACCAAGCACAATATCATTTACCTGTAATTCACAATTAACAAGCTATATCCAACGGAAGAAAGATAAGCCAATGGCTTTGAAAAGCTTGACAATGAGACAGAGTGCGGTCCCCCATGAAGGACTACAATTAGTGGATCACATGCATCACTTTTCATAGTTTTTGATGACACAAATATAGCTTCATAAGGTTGACTAGCACCTGAAATTGAAGAAGAAAATAAATTCCTCAACAAAAATTTGACTATAACCTTATATTGTGCAATCAAAGATCAAGCAAATAAAATGTCTTTAAGTTTTCAGATTTATTTTTGTTCAAACTCAACTCTGATATCAGTTTTATAGCTTTAGGGATGATCAAAATCATTTAACCCATCAAATGACTTCAATATGACATAGAAAAGAACTATCAATTATATGTTGCTACTGTTTATTCATGCATGTTCGGCCACACATAACTCTAATATCCATAAAGGAAAAGGACTGTAAGTTCTACTCAAATTTCTCCATCTTCATTTTCTATTGTTCCCCACTTTATAATTTAGCTTTTCTAAATTTCCATTTCAGCACCTTTATATAGGTTCTATTTAGAGCTTATATCTTCGTGAGCCAATTAGAAACTTTTTTTCTTTACTCTTGATGAAGGGAAGTAAGACGGCAGAGAAGAATGAATAACATTTATCATATACCACACTACACAACATTAGATGTCCAACAAAATTATTTTGCAGGGTTTCTTCTTCCTTGAGTGTTCAATTGGTTTCTGTTGCAGAACTATTGCTTTAGCAATTTGTACTAAGCAGAAAATAAGAGCTATATTAAGGCAAATCCATGCATTTAATCAGCCAAAAGGCTCCAAATAAGCCAGATACCCTTTGTTAAGCTTTCAGAAACATCCTTGACTGGGACCTTCATTACACTGAAAGTATGAGAGGAGACCAAGGATCTAACCTGTAGCCAAATTCCAATGATAGAATTTTAGTATGTAACACTTTCTTTTAATCAATTTGTACAAATATTCCAAAAGGCATATTAACAAAACCTTGTCTGAGCACTTAAATATAGGATTTGAGACATCTGACCAACTCCATTCATTATTATTAGTTGCACTTTTAACAATAGTCCCATACTTGATTTGAGGAACATCAACTGGACTGCTAGAAACTGTATAAAGTTGAACAAGTTAGAATAAACTAACATGCGTCATCACTCCAATAGTCTAGGGTCAGATAAACTGAGCATCAATTGGTTAGTACCGGCAAGAATATTGTCCCCATCCAATGTAAGGAGACTCCAAGAGAAATTAGAGTCGGCAGGGGTGATCCGCAATATTTCTCCACTACATTAGATGAAAATGTAGAAAAGTTGATCGTCATGATTTGCATAAGGATTTACACAAACATAACAAAAATGCATTCCCACTGTCATAGCTACCTCAACACATTGATGGAAAGTAAAACTTGTTTGCTGTGCCAGACAGAAGCTATAACCAATCTCTGGCCATCAGAAAGCCATGGATCACTGAGGATATTTGAACAGTAAAGCCCAGGAAAGTTGCCATCCTCCGCAAACAACACAACTGGAATCTTAAAAAAATGATACAAAATAATTGCCAAAATCTTAGTATAGGTTTGGGAGACAAAAAAAAAAAAACATTATCATACAGCAAAAAAAAAAAAAAAAGAATATTTCCACATCTATTTTGAAAATGTTTTGGAAAATATCACAATGAGTTCACAGGTTAGGTCTTGATGTTGCCTCAGACAACTAGCATTTGGTTTTTAAAACATTGCTAACAGCAAGAATTCCTAGTACTTCACCTCCTGATTCATGAAATTGATACTAGACATGAGTCTATGTAAGATACCCATCCATTATTACAGTGCTGAACGTAATAAGCACAAAGCCCCCATTGGAAAATTCCTGTTCTTCCAAAACCAATTATATAAGATTTAGAACACCCACCTCCAACTTCCCACCCCCCACCATTATAGTAAAAGCTATAACATACTAATCAAGGCATGTATTAAAATAAAATTATTTCATGTAAAACCATAAACATACAACAAACCATAGATAACATTTATAATAGCCAAGGCATGTTCTTTAGCATAGGATAGTTGAGATGTTCATACTCTTTGTTAAAATTAATAAATAAAAGATTAATAATAGACATAAATCTCAATGGCATTTGTTTAGATTAAAGTTAAACTAGTCAACAAGGACGAAAGAAAAATTACCACTTCATGAATTTTACAAGATTGATAAAGCTTCGTATCATTAGGCCAATCAATTCTATGAAGTGAATCTGTAGCAGAATGGGCTCCAGAATCAACTGAACTACTTGCAGATACAAATACAAGAAAATTTCCATCTGGGCTGGTAGAAAATTTATGCAAAGGAATCAAGATCATAGAAATCAAATTCACACACTTATCACTGATAACTTATTGCTTAAATTTCGGAAAAGAAAAAAGATGCATGTGACTAAAACAGACAAGTATTAACGTGTACCATATTAGGAGGTATCTAAAATTTCACGAGAATGTTTGAAATGATTTTGACAGATTTTAATCGAGTATCATTATTCACAGAGCTTGCTAGGGAAAACTGATAAGGGACACTCTAATATATGTTTCAAGGACTGCATGACTCAAAGATTACTTTCACATTGTCCAAGTATTGGCAGCTGGCACAGAAGTCTGGGAAAAAATGAGAAAAATATTACTTTTATAGAAGTAATCTTATTAAGAAAAACTGATAATAATGGATAATCTAATGAATGTTTCAAGGAATATATGCCTGAACGATTAATTCTGTACTCTCCAAATATTGGAAGTTAGCAAAGATATAAAATTCACCTACTTACTACTAATAACTCATTGCTTAAATTTCATAAAAAGAAAAAGATGAAAAAGTTCCATGTGAATAAAAGAGATATGTGATAACGTGTTCCATTTAAGGATGCAACTAAATTTTCAGGAGAAAGTTTGGAATGATTTTGGAGAGCTTTAAATCAGCATAGTTTCTCACACAACTTACTAGGAAAAACTGATAATGGAGAATGCAATGTACGTTCAAGGGATATATACCTCAAAGGTTACTTTCATATTCTCCAAATATAGGCAGTTGGCACAGAAGTCTATAGCCTTTTCAAAATAGAAAAATATAAACAAACAACTTGTTTCACATCACACATAATACCCCTATTTTTTTAACGTTTACAACAACCATCCTCATGTAATATTTTTTAAACAATTAAGGTGGATTAGTGTAATGTAAAAGTAGTAACAATGTGATGTCTCTAAAACAGTCAAGAGGTTTTCTGTAGGTCTCCAAAATGGTGGGGTATTGGGCAAAATCTAAGAAAAAGACAAGGGGATGGATGAGTGTAATTTACTCTAGCCTTATGTTATTTGTTTGCACACCAGAAACTCGAAAACTAAAACTTCAAAATTTTGGGGGAGGAAGGGACTTTGTTCAGCATATGAAATAAGTAGAACAAAAGCAAAATGAGCTATTACCTGAACCGCGGAAAGAAAGCACTACTTATATTTTGAGTTAGGTTAACAGCCTGAACATCTTCAGTTGAGCTACATCAATCAGTACACCTTCAATGTTTAGTTCAGCACAACCAAACGTAACAGAAAAGATACTCACCTTCAAAAAGAAAAATAATACAGAAGTGTCTTACCGTGTTTCAGTTTTATTATCTTTTGACTCATGCTGCGGTGCCTTAACAGCATATAATGCACACGGCCTGTTATAGCAGTATTTAATACCAAGTTTTCTTGTCTCAAATGACCATCCAACAAAAATCAAATAATTCACAGAGCCTTCACTTGATGGAGCCCACACAACTTGTCCAACACTCAAAGAGTGGTCAATTCCTTTGACGGCCTGTACCTCTCCACTGTAAAATCACTGTTGTAGTTAGCATTTCCTATTAAAAAAATTAGATCAATCATTATCAAATTAACATAAAACCATATGTTATATAAAACCTGGTAATGTTAATGACAAAAAGAGCAGGCTGCCTCTTCCCTGCATATGTCTCTCCCCACTCCTCCTCCCACTCTCCTTGACCTTTCCAGGTACCACAATCCTTGTCTGAAGAATCACCTTTCTTGTAGTCACCCAGATCATTGAATGTGGGCTTTGCAGGGGCTGGCTCTTCAGCTACATACGCTATACAAGTTTCATCCAAATTCCAAGAGATCCCCTCAAACCTACAATAATCCAGCTCATACATTTAAGTTGGTAATAGAGTATGGTGCACAAGTTTGATTTAGCGCATTTTGAATAAATAATTACTCAATTTACACATCTTTCTTGTAAAAACTAAGCAATTATTTCTCCAGAAATAAACAATTCCAAACAATTTTGTCAGTTTAATATTACTATTACACCTGCAGACTGCTACAAAGCAGTGGACAATGGATACAAAATTAGAAGAACTAATAACAGTCTGACATTATGGTAAAATAAATTCACCTTTTCTCCCGTAACATAAAATCAACTTATACAACTAACTTTTACGATATGTTTGTTTGGAGGTGAGGAAGTGAAAATAGGAGAGATGAATTTAAATGGATGTGTATGGTACGATAGATAGGAAGGAAGGAATTGAAAAAAGAGTGAATTTTAACACTACTTTTTCACTCTATTTCTTACCTATTTGCATTCATCTTTCTAATTCTCTCCTTGTTTTTTCTCCATTTCTCTTCATACAAACACTTTCACTTTCTACTTTATTTTGCATTCCTTTTTTATTACATCCACCCTGTTCCTCTCCTCTCTACACCAAACTGACCTTATAAAATCTGTCAGTTAACTTTTCCAACAGTTGAAGTGCATAATAAGTTAAATTTAGAAGCTCAAATATTTTTACTTTCTTATCTTCTAATGTCTTATAAGTGTCATCTATGAAAAAAGTGTATCCCAAACATAGCCAAAGTAGTATAAGTATCTCTTTGAATAAACTGTTTCGGTAGCACTTACAGGAAAGCTTTTGTAAAAGATGAATTTTATTTCATTTTATCTTGATACTTTATCTAATGTCTAAATAAAAGTTATCCAGAAATGCAAAAGAACAATAATGAGTTTACCATCCATCAGTGTACACAGAACCGTGCTTGGATTGAGGGACATGGAACTCCTTTTCCAATTGAGAGGAGCTCCAAATTTCAAAGCGGCAAGGACCTTCAGTCTCGGGATTCCGAACAATTAGCAGCTTGGAGACAGAAGGCGACGGAACCATTGCGGAGACTCCAGACATTTCGATTGGAAATGGAGGCCACTGAAACGATACGGAGCCGTCGTTTTCTCTGATTACGGAAGCGGAGATGATGGACTTCTTCCTCTTGTTGGCCAAAAGGTTGGGTTGACTAACGCAGAACATTCCCTGCGAAGCCAAGCCTGAAAAATAAAAAATGGTGAGCATGGAGAAGCGAAGTGAAAGATGAAGGGAAGCGTGCGTGTGATTTATGAATGGTGTTATGTTACTGACCGGAGTGGGAGTTGAAGAGCCATGCCTTGTCGACGGTGGGGATGGCGGTGAATTGGTGAAGTAGGTTGGAGTGAAGGGCGTATTCTTGGTCCGTGGGTTGGAGTTCCTTGTCCATGGACGAAACTGGTGAGCCCCTTCTGCTGCGGATTGAAGCAGTGAGAGGAAGAGAGCGTGTTGTTAGAGTTGTCGTGATGAACGTGGAGGACAAATAAATAGGATTAGGAATTAGGAACCTGATTTGTGTCATGTGATTGGAGTTATATTTTTCAACTTTAATATTTCTCTTTTCCACACTCGCTAGTTTCTTGAAGAAAGTTGGTTCTATGCATGCAACGGTGAATGCGAGGCAGTACCATGCTTATTTATTGGATCCAAATTGATGCACCTCATCTCTTCTAAGATTCTATACGTTGATTCGCCTCAACTCTGATTTTTTTTTTTTAAGAGAATAAAATAAAATAGATAAATAATAATATAAAAATCTAAAAATGATTTATTGAATAGATGTTTTAAAAAAATAAGTTGTGAAAATATTATAACCCTTAAATAATTTAATCGAACACATTTAATTACTATTGTCGACCACGACTTTGGATTTATTTCATTTTTTGTGTTTATATAAATTGGATCGGAGTAAAACGAGGGATGAACTTGATTATGGAGCAAGAAGGCACAATTTCTTTTTTATTTAATTTTTAACCAAATATCATATTTTCTTTAACACTCCCCTAGTATGTTAGTAAAAATTAAGGAGAATAAACAAAAATTAGTAAGATAAAATATGTGGACACCATTATTTCCGTTTGAAGTAGAAAAATAGTTGGTGGGTCCTGCAATCCTTCATAACTCTCCATTACTTGAGCGTTTACGTGTTCAGGAAATCTTGTGACTCCTTTGCCTCGTATTTACAGTACTTATTGAACCACACCCCAATGTTAAGGAAACATTCCAAGTCAGATTGTGGCCTGCAAAAATATAAAATAGGATAAGTTAAAATTCAGGACTGATTCTATCATTCTGTGTAGGCTTTGTCTACCTTTTGAGTGCATGAACATCATTTTGAAACATTATGATTTTTACATCTACTCCTTTCTCCTTCAAAGCCCGAGCATACTACACATTTAAACATTGCGCAAGTTTTACTGTCAATACAGTTCCAATAAAGATGGTAATCACCTGACTGTGACTATCTTAAAGCTCCTGAGTACTTACTTGCAATCCATCATAATTTGGAACTCGAACATCTTGAGCACCTAATAGGAATAGTGTTGGTGCTTTTACCTGCAGAATTTATCAAAATACAAACTATAATGCCACAATTCAACTGTATCCTCAGCATGTATCTTAACGATGAACAAAAACTACCTAAGAGGTCCATTTGTCCATATGAGAAACAGTATGGTTCACTCGGTTTGCTCAAAAGATTAAGCGTCAGGTAGACATTAAAAAGCAAAGGGTTGCAGGGTTTATCATGAGTTACAGATGCCTATGCCTCTACACTCTTGAGAGCTTCTTATATTGCAACTAGCAAAAGGTTTTTTGTGGTTTTCTTTTTACTTCAAGGATGATTTCTTTTCCCTTTCAATATGATTTTGCTAAGTGTTCTTATAAATACCAGTGAAATTCAATCTACAAGTGTTTAGCTCAATATGCATACCTTTGAGACGTGTGAAATAGGAGACTTTCTATACAATAGAGTCAAATCCTCTGCGGAAGGTGGTTCAGTAAAGCAATTTCTGGCAGAGGTTCCACAAGCTTCCACATAACACCAATTAGGGATGTCTGTTGTTCCACTCATCAGTGCAAGGTTACAAACAGGATTGATTGCAGCTGCTGCTAGAAACCTGTCTGGTGCCTGCAACAATTAGAAAGCCATTAAACATTATTATATGGTCAGCAAAAGCAATAAGACAGCAATTCGTATAATTAGAGTCTCAAACTTGAAAAATTGCCCTTATCCTTAACGTATATGTTCTTTTGTAGGCCATACCAATTGGTTTAGCATATCAATATATGTTAAATTTCAATACATAATTATAACCCACAATTAATTACGATATCCGTTTTGTTTCCTATGTCGCCAATATTATTCATGATATTTAACCTTTTAACATTACACAAGCTTTTCTTAATCCTTTATCTCCCAATAATAAGTAATTTCTACAATCAGATAATCTAAAATTGCAGTAATATGGGTAATGAAGTTCAACTGATGTTATGGATCACAACAGATGCAAGGCATACAATACGAAGTTAGTAGCAGTATTATAATCGGTTAATAGATGCTTGACAGGCAAATGCAGAGTTCATATGTTACAGCAAATTGATATTGCAAGATGAGAGGTAACAAACATATATTGATATTTGGATAGGACTACTAAGTGGACTTACTGCACCTGGCCAATCAACTGAGTTGTCAGAAAACCACCATGCGAAATGCCCATTACTGTAATCTTAGATGGACTGGCAAGACCCAGATTGATGACATGATCCATGGCAGAGAGAACATCATTGACATCCTATACATGAAAAACTAAAATTAATATCCGACCCAGAAAATCCAGTATATCTATACAACTAAACTAGTTTATAGATAAAAAGTTCGCTATGATGGCATAGCCAAATCAAAGTATCTACAATTAAAAGTAGAAAACAATAAATACCTGAGACCCAACATTCCCTGGAAGAGATTGCAATGCTTCCTCACCAAATCCTAATGAACCTCTGAGAAATAACATGTATGAAACCTCAAAATGGACAGGTAAAAATTCTTCATCCATGTTTTTATATCTAAAGACTCTTTTATGTTATATTTGATCATATTGGGCTTCCTTTAAGGGTGTTGACCTGACAATCACATTTATTTCTAGAAGTAAAGCAGTCTGAGTAACACAAACTGTTAAACAATATAATGGGGGTGCTGATGGAGTATGCAACACTTCTGTCCAGGAAATTTAATCAAATTATATTTTTTCAGAGTCAACATAGCATAACAAAAAAATGACCAGCCTTTCACTTTGAACTCTTCAATCCCTCTAGACCCTAAACATCCTTTTGTTCCCAACTCCCAGCTCATAAATAATTTCAATTTATAAATTCCTAAAACTCTTAGACAGGTGTTCACATTTATTTCCCATATCAGATTGAGTATTGTTTGACTTCAAGGGCTGCTTTTAAACTTGTATATGCTAGCATTCTTATTTAAACTCTATAAACCTACTTTGCAAAGCGTCTCATTTTTCCTACTCTAAACTTGCTTCCATTTTTAGGGATTCAATTCAAATGTTAGATTCTAAAACCAATCCCCGTTAACAGGTACTTCAAGATAGAGAAGTCATTAAGCTTATTTTGTATAAAAAGGCAATATAGCCTTGAATCCATTTTTATAAATTAAAGACATAAATAAGTTTCATGTCCTCAATATATGACCAATTTTTTTTTATGTAACCAATATGTTTTTTTTTTCAAATTAAACACCTAATAAATTAAAAACTTTGATTTAAGTTTATAATGTTACTTCTGTCATATTTATTGCCCACATGTGCGTTAAGTTGAAAATGTGTCGCATAATATAGAGTGGTGAAACTGATGTACAGTAAGTCTCTTCTGTTACCTTCAGTGACAAGAAATGTTAAAATAGGATGAAAAACATATCAGTTATTATGATAAAAAAACAAGTTGAGAGGCAAAAAAAGGGGATATCTAAAAATATTTCAAGGATCAATATAATAGTAGGATGAAATACAACTAATAATTTTTTCAGGGATTTAAACCAACATTTTATAATTTATTAGGTACCTAATATGAAGAAAAAATGTATTAGGTACTCAAAATAAAGATCAGTCATATATTAGGGACCTAAAACTTATTTAAGCTTCTGTATCTGTTTGAGGACTGGCCATCCATCTCTCTCGGCAAAAGTTTAACAATACTGGTCCAAACTAATGCTTGGAAGTTCAAGAGTATGTTGGGCTACCTGTAATTTACAATCAGCAAGCTGTATCCAACTGAAGATAGAAAAGCCAAATACTTAGAAAAGTATGACAAAGACACGTCTTGGGGCCCTCCATGAAGGATCACAATTAATGGATCAAATTCATCCTTGTTATTGGTTTTAGATGACACAAATATGGCTTCAAAAGGTTTTGTAGCACCTGAAATTAATATAAAAATAGATAATACTTTAGTCAATTGACTGTTCAAGAAGTATCATGTCACCAAATAAATGGTTGCATTGTATGAGAAAGGCAATCTTGATCAATTTAACAAGTCAAATGATTTCAATAGTCAGATAACAAATGATCCTCTATGTTTACTGATACATAGTTATACATATGCCCCTCACAGTGACAATTTAAAACTAAAAATCTTCAGTTCTCTAATTTCTTGTTTCTTCTCATTTCATTATCAATAAAATAAAGATTACATGCAAGATATAATACATAGTATTATCTTCATGTACCAATCAAAAACTAGCTTCTGTTCATTTTCTTTGTTGGGAGGGTGGCCAGTGCATGTTGGGGAGAGTGGAGGGAAGAATCAGTATGATTTTCAATAAGTAAATTTATTCCTATATGTATAGATTTTGATCATGTGAATCAAGTTAATTTACCTTATTATTGATGAGCAGTATATAGATTGAATTTCATAAGATTTGATCAGTACCTTATCAAATAGATGCTGAGAATATACAGATACAAATTAAAGCATATCTAAAATTTCATTAAGTCATTCAACTTAGCACTAAATATCCATGAGTTAGAAACCAGAGTAAAACCTTTTGTTTGACCATCATGAGCATTCTTGACTGGGATTCTCAGTATACTACACTGGAGAGAAGACAGCAAAGATCTAACCTGCAGCCAAAATCCAATGGCTCACTTCTAAATAGAATGATATATTTCTCCGATGGTGATTCCTGATAATATCACACAAGAAAATATAACAAACCTTGTCAGAGCATCTGAATATGGGACTGGATATAGTTGACCAACTCCATGTAGTATTATTGCTTGTCACATTCTTAATGGCCATTCCATACTTGATTTGAGGAACATCAACTGGACTGCTGGAAACTATAAAAGGATTGACAAAGAAAAAGGGTAAAACATATTCCTCCACTTCACAAGTCCCAGGTACTGATAAATTGAACAGTTGCTTTTACCCGCAATAATATTATTTGCATCCATTGTAAGAAGATTCCACGAGAAATTTGAATCTGCTGGGCTGATTTGTAAAATTTCCCCGCTAAAATGTGACTAAAAAATTAGTTGATCATAAAGAATACACAACCTTTGATAAATGAACAAAAAGCATTCCTGCTGTTATTTACTTACCTCACCACATTCACGGAGAGCAGAACTTCACTGCTGTGCCAGGTAGATGATATAATCATGGTGCAGTTGTCAAATAACCAAGGATTATTATGGATCGTGGTACAATAAAGCCCAGGAAAGCAACCATCTTCAGCACACATCACAACAGGAATCTCCAAAATGGATTGAAAAGGCCAGAGTTATTAGCTGACAAGAATATGCACTAATCGAAACATGTTTAGATTCCACTAAGAAGAGGAGGAATACAAAGAAGAAAGAAAAGTTTCTTATGCATAGCTCCCAGTAGCGTGTCATGTTTTGTATCGTAAAAAATAGCAAGGATCCACAATGCTAGCATAAACAACCACAAAATCACAAATGAAAAACTACATGGCCTTATGTGTATCCAACACCTTGGACTTGAATCCAGTGTATTTAATAAATAAACTAGATGAGAAAGAAAATAGAGGTTCGTTCTAAGTTATTAAAGAATGCAGTTAAACCGAATACATTCAAATTAAACCAGCCCTATACAAAGAGCTTACAATGTCATAAATTTTGGAAGATTGGAACAGCTTTATATCAGTTGGCCAATCAATTCTGTGAAGTGAATTTGTTGCATTGTGCACTCCAGAGTCCACAGCACTTCTTGCAGATAAAAATACAAGAAACTTTCCATCTGGACTGGTGAAAAACACATGAATAATGGTCAGAATTTTAAGGGCACAACTCATACCAATATTTCTCAACAACTAATATAGTTTCATGAGCTAACACTTGATTAAAAATTGAGACAAGTCACTTTGTTCATATACAAGATGAGAAAATGACCACTGGAAAGTAAGAAGACACAGTGTTATAATAAATGAACACAAATCAAATTTAATGCAGCGTACAAAAACTTGAATTATTTCTGCAATAATCACGGATGCTATAATATAACATTTTCAACTGGAAAAATATGATGTGTGACTGTGAAATGTGGGAAACTATCTAAATTCATTGCGCTAAAGAAGCTCAAATAGGTCCAATATGTGATCAACAATATTGTAGGCAGCACAAAATGACACTAATTTCTGACCAATTAAATTATGCCAACCAACTCCAAGTATTTATCTCCTTCTTCAGCTTTGACCATTGAGACAGAAGAAAGCAAGAAACAATCATGAATCATAACTAACACTACTGACTACACTAAGTTGCTGCTTAATAAACCAATCATTTGACAGATAAAAAAAATAACAATAAAAAGTTTTCTGTACAAAACTTTTCTACATCCCTTACTGACAAAACAGTAATACCCTTTGTTTCAACTTTAAAGGCTAGTAACTTTCAAGTAATGTTTTTCATATTTCCTAATGCTCAGAAAAATAAGCCATGACATCTCAAAAACTTAAAACTTAAAGAAAAAAATGAAAAACTTCTGGAAAAGAAAAATAAACTTTGAAAGAAACCTATCCTTTTGCTTCAACCACAATATACCATACTCAAGAATTTTGATCCTTACTCTTCTATCGTTTTTTGACTTTACATGATTCAAGATTGTTAAGGTTCCAACATAAAACCAATTAGCAATATGTGGAGTAGCCTAACATGTATTTAAGCCATACCAAATGACATGAGACAAGCGCTGTGGGACTTTCAACACGTCCCCTCCAACGAAAGGGCAACTCTTGGCCCAAGACAATAACCGGAAAGATATTAGACTTTGACTCTGATACCATGATAAGGTTTCAACATAAAACCAATTGACAATATATGGAGCAACCTAACATGTATTTAAATCATACCAAATGACATGAGGCAGGCGATGTGGGGCTTTCAACAAAGATAACAATAACCTTAAATCTTGTTGCTAGCCATCTTCATCGTGTCAAATGTTTCCATTTTCTTGTCAACAACTTACATCACAGGTGTACACATAAAAAACTAGAAAATTATGGAAAAATGTTGCCACCCTAAGGCTTATGAAACAAATATCAATATGTGCACTATCAAAACCTAATAACTACTGGACAAAAAGTCTTAAATCATATGTATCTGATTCCACCACTGACCAGCCTACCTGAAACGTGGAAAGAAGGCACTGCTAATAGTTTGAGTAAGGTTCAGTACATGAAATTCTTGAGCTGACCTACATGTAAAACATTGCTTTCATAATTCAGTTCAGAAATAACCAACTTCGCAATAAGTAAATACACTCAAGTGGGTGTGAAAACAAATTAGATCTTAGTAATGTGACCCACTGGAGCACTGTTTCATTGGATTTCGAACCATGATGCCGTGATCTTAGTCGAACAGCATATAATGCACAAGGTCTGTTAGAGCAGTACTTAATGCCAAGCTTTCTTGGCTTGGATGACCATCCAACAAAAACAAGGTATTGTTCTGAGCCTTCAGTAAATGGAGCCCACACAACTTGGCCAATACTCAAAGATTTGTCAATTCCTTTGACTTCTTGTACCTCTCCGCTGTAAAATACAAACCAAACTAAGATTCCCATCTGAGAAACATCAAAATATTATCAACAAATGAATGATGAAAAACCTGTTAATGTTGATCACAAATAGTGCAGGCTGTCTCTTTCCAGCATATGTCTCTCCCCAGTCCTCCTCCCAGTCCCCTTGACTTTTCCAATAACCTGAATCCTTATCTGCACAACCACCTATCTTGTAGTCCCCCAAACCATTAAATGTGGGCTTTGCAGGAGAGGGCTCTTCTGCTACATATGCTATAGATGTTTCATTCATGTTCCACGAGACACCCTCGAACCTACAACATATAAAATAGGAAAAATGAATGACTTCATAAAGCAAGGCACGTGGGGTCTACATTACTGTAATAACGGTTCAGAAGTGGCTTGCCCTACTAACTTAAAAATATAAGTACATATGAAACCAAACAGCTAATGAGCTAAAAATAGAAACAGCCTAGCATTGAACAGTGCAAAATTATGCTGTGCAGGTACAGGTACAATTATTGAATATGATACGAGACATAAATATGTAAATCTGATAAAAAAAACCAGGATACAGATATGGCAATATATGTTAAGTTAAATATAACTATATTATATATTTCTTATATTTTATTTTTCTCTTAATATAGTTAATACTATTAGGCTTAACATAAATAAGTTTTATGTCCCTAATATTCGACTAATTTTTGTTTTGAGTACCCAATAAATTTGTTCTTTGAATTAGGTACTTAATAAATTAAAAATTTTGGTTTAAAATCTCTCATAATCATTTTGCCAATTCTACTACCCCATGTGTCAGTTAAATTGAAACACATATCCCACGATCTAGAATGTTGATGAATTAGATGCATTAAGTCTCGTTCGCTACTTGTACTGACCGAATACATCACCATGTGATGAAAAACTGATTGGTTGTTATGATAAAAAGTAAGTTGGAGGACTCAAAGAAAAATCTAAAAGTATTTTAGGAATCACTTAAAAGAGTTAACATAATAATAGGGAAGAAATACAAATAATTTTTTTTTTCAGGGACTTAAACCAAAATTTTATAATTTAATAAGAAAAAAATTATTATATACTCAAAACAAAACAAAAATAGGTCATATGTTCAGGAACGAAAACTTATTTAAACTATATTAGTATAGTATTGATTTGTCAACTCTGCCTATGGTCACATAATCAGTCCCAAAAGAAGGTTTAGGAGGAAGGATATGTTAGACCCTTGATGATTTATCAAAGCCCCAAAGAGTGTGTGTGTGTGTGTATATATATAGGAAGTTAGAACGTAAAGATTCAAGTTCTGATACAAAGATAGTCACGTTATATAATACGTAGGTCATATGGGTACATAACTAATTTAGAAGTGTTCAAGTATCAAAAGGGACAAAAGACATGAATAAGACATCACTTACCATCCATCATTGTATACTGAGCCATGCAGTGATGGAGGAATATGGAACTCTTTGTCCATTCGAGACGAGCTCCAAATCTGAAAGCAACAAGGACCTTCATTCTCTGGATTTCGAATCACTAAGAGCTTTGAGCCAGAAGGTGATGGAACAATCAGAGACATGCCAGACATCTCTATTGGAAACGGAGCCCAGAAAAACTTCACAGAACTGTCACTTTCTTTTAGAATGTTACATGACATGATGGATGTCCTCCTCGTGTTTGTTAAAAGATCTGGTTGGGAAACAGCAAACATTCCCTGCAAATGCAAGCCTGGAGCTACAGAGAAAAAAGGTAAAATATCAATTTGGCTAGCAATGCAGTGGAACTATCACAGATCAGTGAAATAAATGAACTATGTTTGGCTAAAGTTGTCAACAACACTTGTGCAAAAGCTTAGCTGCGTATGCATAAATACTTTACAAAAGCTCTCTCATTTAGTTTCTTCATCGCTAATTTTAACTTAATGTGGATTATTTTCTTTTTGTTTCTCCTTTTAGAGCTTATCGAAAAAACTATTTCTTTTTCAAAGAGGGCAAAAGAGCAGACTCACAGCTAAACAGCCATGCCTTGTCAATGTTAGGAATACTGGTGAACTCTTGAAGTAAGTTAGAAAGGTAAGCATAGCCATCCTCAGTTTCCTTATGCATTTCCAAGCCTGAAACACAATGATCATTGCAATCAGCTTGTTAGTTGCTTTATAAAGGATAAATACACATTGAGGAAAAAAGTTTATATTTTTATACCGAAAATGAAATAAAAAGAAATAAAAGTTACATTGGAAGATGATATGATGCTAAAACGAAGTTGAATTGAATGCATGAGGATTCAATATTGCAGTAGTTAATGAGGAGAAAGTACGTTATGGTACCTTTGATTGGTATGGAATTGGGACTGGTAAGTACAGGTGTGGACCGTGTGATTGAATGAAGTAGGAAACGCAATTAAAGGAAGAAATAAAACCCTGTTCAAGTTTGAAGGAAAGGGGGAAACATAGGTTTTGTAGATTTTGTCATGTTCGACTCTTAACAAAGAGAGAGAATGAGTTATGAAAACAACACATCACTCTTCTTGCATATGCCCACTGGGACCAATTATTTCATGTCTCTTTCTTCTTTCACCCTAGTGCTTTTTATGGATTTGGATGAATTAATAAAATAAATAAATATGATTTTAGTACTTTAATTTAATATTTAATAATATTTTTTAATATTATAAAGTTAATAAAACAATTAAATACATGTTATTTTTATATTTTAAGAATTAATTACTTAATTTTTTAACATTGGTTGAGTCAAGATGTGGAATTAACAATAATGATAATATTTTTTAATATTTATTTTATTTAGCTTTGCATAAGGTGAACGAAACTGGATAAGTACTTCCAATGCACTATTTATCATGAATTAAAAGAAAGAAATTAGAAATAAATTCAATCCAATTATTTGTTTCGCGTTGGAAGATAATTGTGTAATGAAAAGTTGATAAAGATGATTGAAGGAAGAGAGGGTCTAAAATTGAAGTGGTGTTGTTGTGTGGACTACGTTATATAAGAAGAGAAGGGATAAGAGGATGAGAGAGATAGAGAAGCAAGAAAAGCAGAGATGGCAGTATGTTCCTCACTCTCACTTCTCCCTCCCATCCCTTCTCAACCCAAAACTTTCTCATCTTCTCAAACACCACACAACAAGTGCCATGGCATCTTCACCAACACTAAAACCCCAACAAGGTTCTTCTTGAATGCTGGCTTCAATGAGATAGAGCCTGACCTCAATGAAGATCCTAGAGACGCGGATGCCACCAATGGCATTGATGCTGTATATCTTCTCAACCATGCTTTTGCTTTCTTCTCTCTTTTTCTGCCCTTTTGCTTCCATCGTCACTTTCATTTCTTTCATGGCAATATCAGGATGATTTTGAGTATGGAATTTATGATGGCCACCACACTTACTTTGAAGGAGAACAAGAAAAAGGTGCGTGCTTTTCAATGTTGATCACTTTCTTTCCACTTTTTTCTCATCCACATAATTGTATGTTTTATTATTTCGTAAATATTAATCATTGATTTTTTTTTCAGTTTATCATCTTTTTTTTAGTTTTTACATATTCTGCCAAATCGTTAAATGTTCAAACGGTTAAATATCTAACTGGACCATGAAAAAAAAAATAATGAAGTTAATGATTTGAACATGTAGATTGGTACTTTAGAAGGCGTTTTTAAGTTTTTACCTGTTAAGTTTGATGTGAAGTTTGCGTAAGTGCATCCTGTTTTGTTGACAAAGGTGATGGTGAATATTCATTTCAGGAACATTTTGGGGTTCAGTTATGGAAGAGATAGCAGCAGCAGAACCCCCCACAGGATTCCAGGGTGTGTTTTTCATTTTCAGTTACAACATGTTCATTATAATGCTCATTTTTTTTTATCACCATTATTTATTTTTATGCAGGGCTTATGTCATGGCTCTTCCCACCAGCCATTGCTCTTGGGGTGTACTTCGATGTTCCGGTAACATAATTCTGATTGTTTATTGTTATGAATGAAGAAGGACCAATCATCAAATCATTTGAACATAAACAGTGCATTTGCATTGTTAGTTTGCTAACTTTCTATTCAATTTTTCAGGGGGAGTACTTATTCATTGCTACAGGCATATTTATTGTCGTATTTTGCATTATTGAGATGGATAAACCTGATAAACCCCACCATTTTGAACCTCATATATACAATATGGAAAGAGGAGCTCGAGACAAGTTGATAAATGACTATAACACAATGAACATATGGGAATTCAATGAAAAATATGATGACCTGTGGGATACTACTATCCAGAAGGATGACATAACCAAGAGATAATTTGTATATACTTCATCACTTATAATGACAATTGATTCCAGATATAGTCATTTGAATTTGATATTTTCACTTTTTACTTTTCCATTTTTCTGTTTTTGTTGGATCAAGAGCTGTATATTCCCTATTTCTTTTTCACCTTCTTATTTTTCATTAATAAATATAAACTTAAGTGCTGTTGTACTCATACGTTGACCATTAAATAATAACACCCTACTCAAAAGTTTTATAAAGACTCCATTCAAGCCTAGTATGCAATGATGTCATGGCATCTTTTAGTGATGCCTTGACCATTTCATTGTTGAAGACATCTAGAAATTTGCCTTCTCACATAATCTCTATACTGGAATGTTTGGATGAGTCAACATCATGCCATCAGTATTCTTTGCCAACAAAGTCTAATAGTTATCGGTTAACTCTGTAATCTTTGAAAAAAATGAATGCTTATCTCAGATTTTATGCTATAATCTACAACATTTGTTGCATTGCAAATGAAAAATCTCCAATCAGAGAGCACAAATCTCTCGCAGAGATTAACCAGAGCAAGTGTTTTGAGACAATATAAATAACGATAATGGATGCCATATTAAAGCATATCTTAGTACACGTCTTGCATCTAGAAAGCATGGCACCTACTGTGAAAAAAAAAGGAAAGAGATTAAACTAGAGAATGAAAACAAGTTCTAAAACCTTTGATGTGCTGTTAGATAATGCACTTCACTTGGACTTAAACTTTCATTGATTCTTTGCTTGCTTTAATAATTTCAACTAAGCTCATCATCACGAATATGATCTCAGTCACTACCCTCTCGTAAGTCACAAACCATCAACAAACAATCCAATACCTTTATGACCACTCAGGAGCAATCACAAACGTGTCCCACTTTTTTCATATTATCTAAATAACTTCGATTATTTAGATGAAACTCTAGGTATCAGAAACTCTGTTGTAGAGGCAATAAAAGCATAGTTTGATACAACATTGTTCTACTGTTAAACCATTGATTTTTATAATCACCTCTTTTATGCATTATATATTTTACTGTTAAAATATACCTTAGTCCTTACATTAACAATCCTTATCTGTTACTATCAACTTGTGAAGGTCGCTTTGAATTGTATATGAGGCCGCATAGTGGTCCGTGGTTAAACACATGAAACCAAGTTTGAATTTTCTGCACAAAAACTGTTCAAAAGTTGTACTAGAATATCATACAATATGAAAAAAAAGCTGGATCGGAACAAAGTTATGACCGAGCCAAGCCAAGTCGCACAACAACATTGGAATTCCAAGTGCTATTACATCAATAATGGAATTCTAGATCTCTAAGTTTCAACTTTGAAGACTTTTGTGATCAAGATTAGTGTAAAAGATGATACCAAGTTTGACATTATGTTACATAACATTAATAAATTAATGCATTAATTATTAATCACCTGAAATAATAACTAATCTTGGTCATTTTCTGCAGAGTACAGACTCCTCCACTTATAGTTCTCTACCTAGTTCTACATGACTGAATTTTCTTCCCAATGACAGTTTACAATCCCAAACCAAAAATAAGTATGAATTGAATCGTGACTCTCATGTGATGACCACCTTGATATTTGGTGATAACCTCTCCAATACGGTCAGTTCTTCCAGCTCCACTGCCGACACCAAGTGCGTTTGCAGTCAAGGTCTTTCTATAACGGGACCAAGCATGCTGCCACGGGAAATTTGCATCTTCCTCGTGTAGACTGAATAATGTAACATGTGACCGGTTTTGTTTTCATCTTTTTTTGTCAAAGAAATTGAAAATGTATACTAGGCATCTTTTGCGTAGTGAAGGTGTGTGTTTGGACCATTCCAATGCCCACATATATGAGCCATAAATCACATCAAATTAGTTCAATAATGTAAAAGTTATTTTAATGGTAATAAAATTGAAAACTATTATCATATTATAACGTAATTGGCTACTTGGTTTGAAATGAATGAATGAAGATGAAAAATCACATGCAACCCGCTAGCTACGTTTTCGCATTACGTGATCAATCAGAGAGTGGATTAACTTACAAGACTTTTAAGTTTGATCAGGTATTTCAATATCATTCTACAATAGACAGTTGTCATTTTTGTAAAAAAAAAAAAGTATGAATATGATTAGAATCGTACGGCAGAAGGCGGTTGTTGAAAATTGAACACCGTTGGTCAAAACGGGCCCCACGTTCCCATCTTAGAATCAGAACTTCATTATTCAACCATCTTCACTTCAATTTCAACAGCCAAACACAGCATAACCATTGACCTTGAAGAAGGAGAAGAAGAAGAAGAAGTAGAAGTAGATGATGAAGATGCTTCAATCAAATCCCACTCTCCAATATAAACCCTGAACCCCAAGACAAAAACAACCACCAACAAAATGGCACCCCTCAAACTGCATCACTTAATCTTTCCCATCTTCATCTTCATCTTCTTCCCACCTTCTTCCCACGCCCAAACCCCACGTCAGCAGAACAACACGGGCTTCAAGTGCACCGGCACCCGCACGTGCGCCGCCTACGCCTTCTACCGTGCCTCCGCTCCCAACTTCCTCGACCTGGCCGCCGTCGGCGACCTCTTTGAGGTGAGCCGCCTCATGATATCCACTCCGAGCAACATCTCCTCCGTGTCCTCCCCCCTTGTCCAAAACCAGCCCCTCTTCGTCCCCTTGACCTGCTCCTGCAACCCCGTCAACGCCACCTTCGGCTCCCTCTCCTACGCCAACATCTCCTACACCATCCAACCCAACGACACCTTCTACATCGTCTCCACCTTCAAGTTCAACAACCTCACCACCTACCCTTCCGTCGAAACCGTCAACCCCACCTTAGTCGCCACCGGCCTCTCCATCGGCCAGGTCACCATTTTCCCTGTCTTCTGCAAATGTCCCGACACCAACAACACCAATTACATGATATCGTACGTTGTTCAACCCGAGGACAACATCTCCTCCATTGCTTCAGCTTTTGGGGTTAAGGAACAAGCTATAATTGACGTGAATAATGACACACTGTATGATTATGACACGATTTTCATTCCAGTGGCGCAGCTTCCGGTTCTTTCGCAGCCAGCGGTGGCTCCAGCTGCTCCGCCGAGTGGGAATGGGAGGGATAGGACGGGGACTGTTAGAGGGTTGGCGATTGGGTTGGGGGTGGTGGGGTTGTTGTTGGTGTTGGTGTTGGTGAGCGGTGTATGGGTGTGGAGAGAGCTTGTGCTGAAGAAGAGTTTGGGGATGAAGGATGAGGAGGAGGGAGGGAAGAAGAACGTGTATTTGGGAGGGAAAGAGGGTGAGAAAGGTGGTTTGGATGTGAAACTGATGGCAAATGTGTCGGATTGTTTGGACAAGTATAGAGTTTTTGGGGTTGAGGAACTGGTGGAGGCCACAGATGGGTTTGATGGGAGGTCCTTGATTGAGGGGTCGGTGTACAGAGGGAAGATTGATGGGGGGGTTTTTGCCATCAAGAAGATGAAGTGGAATGCCTATGAGGAACTCAAGATCTTGCAGAAGGTAACTGCTCACAACTCCAATCTCCCTCTGCTCTTCTTCTTTTTCACATTCTTGCATAACAGTAATGACTGATTGTTAACTGTTTGTTCATATCTGCCATGAGTGTAAAGAGTTTTAGGATCATTTGTGATTTGGAACTTGGATTAAGGTGTAAAAAATACATTTACTGATTTCTATATATGTTTGAATTTATATGTCTTTTAAAGTAATTGATTAAAAGATCAATAACTTATGTTAGTTTCTAGTGTTATTCTGTATTCAACAGAAGCAAATATGTAAGAACAGATTGAAATTTGAAACAGTCCATCATAAGGGATGAGTCAAGAGCGTTATTTGGGATAAAATAGGTTGGGAGTTAATTAATATCTTATTATTGATGATTAATCAGATGATATCAAGTGAAGTGACTTGTCTGATTAACGGCCAATCCGGCACTAGTATTTTAGAATTTAGCAGAATCAAACCAACGGAATAAACCTCTAGATACCTGGAACCTGGATATACACAATTATTTTAACCCTTGGGACAAAAAATAATCGGAATCGTAGCATGAGAATTAATTATTCTGTTGTTGCTGGGCGAACAAACAGTCATGAAGCAACTTGTCTGAATGGATTTCTAAAACTTTTTCAGACTGGATTTATTTTGGTGATTATCCATTGTTCATTATTTTTCATGCTTGTATATCAGAAACGCATCAATCAAGATGAATAAAACAATGGTGGTTGATGGCATAGTTGCTTCCAGTTATTTAATAAAAGATGTTTCCAACTTTGTCATATTTTTCAGACCAGGGTTAATTAATTGTTAATGATTTAAAAATAAAGTAAAGCAGCACGTTAGGTGCAATTAAAAGCACAACGAAAGACAAAGACGCCGTTGCCCTTTTGTCTCTTTCCATTTCATGACACAAATTTTAAAATGTATTCCAATTTGGACTGTCTAAAATAATCAAAATTATAATATAACACTACAGCTTCCTCCACTTGAGCCTTCGGTATTGGTTTAATTAAGGTAGTTTCTAATGAACAAGTTTCAAAAAATTATAATAGAGTACGCTCTATATATGTAGAGTTTTAGCACTTGGTTGATTGTACATGCTTAAGTGGTTGATTAACTAAGTGTAATTTTCTGTGTTGAAGGTAAACCATGGGAATCTGGTGAAGTTGGAGGGATTCTGCATAGATCCAGAAGAAGCAAACTGCTATCTAGTCTATGAATATGTGGAGAATGGATCTCTATACTCGTGGTTGCATGAGGAGAAAAAGGAAAAGCTGAACTGGAAAACAAGACTACGAATAGCAATTGACATTGCCAATGGCCTCCAATACATCCACGAGCACACAAGGCCACGAGTTGTGCACAAAGACATCAAGAGCAGCAACATTCTCTTGGACTCCAACAAAAGAGCCAAAATTGCAAATTTTGGGCTTGCAAAGTCTGGAATGAATGCCATCACCATGCACATTGTAGGAACACAAGGTTACATTGCCCCTGAATATCTGGCTGATGGTGTGGTCTCCACAAAGATGGATGTGTTCTCTTTTGGGGTTGTGTTGCTTGAACTAATTTCTGGGAAGGAAGTCATTGATGAGGAGGGAAATCTCTTGTGGGCAAGTGCCACCAGAACCTTTGAAGTGGACAGTGAGCAAGAGAAGGTAAGGAGACTGAAGGAATGGTTGGATAAGGATATTTTAAGGGAGACATGCTCAATGGAAAGTTTGATGGGTGTTCTCACAGTTGCAATTGCTTGCTTGCATAAAGACCAGTCAAAGAGGCCCAGCATAATCGACATTGCCTATGCACTATCTAAAAGCGAAGATTTGGGCTTTGACATCTCAGATGACGGGATTGGTTCACCACGGGTGGTGGCTAGGTGAGGCTATCTGATTAGGTTTTGTTTTGGGTCAGAGAACCATTTGGATTTTTTTGTCTAAAGAAGTCCCTATGGTTTATTCTCTCTTCTTTATCCCAAAATAGGTATTTGAAAATTACATTTCAGAATAGTCATTCTAAAATAAAATAGGATGGAGATTTATATTTCTGGGGCGTAGAAAGCAGCAAGAAGTTTTGTACATATGCTGCTCTCACACGGTGAGGTTGGTTTGGACACATGCTGTACAACGAACGATTTGTCTCTTCTATATAAAAAAAATCCATGAATGTAATTTATATCAGTAGGAATTCAAGGACAAGTTGAAATCGATGGAAAAGTTGATTATTCAGTGTCACGAGTGAGTTAAAGTAATTTAAAGAAATTGAGTAAAAATGAAAAAGTAAGAAATTGTATAAAAATTGAAAAAGTTGATTAATGAGACGAAAAAATTGAATAATTTATAAGTAAAAAAAATTATAATATAATGTTTTAAATTTTAAAATTTTTGATTGATGTATTTAAATTTTTTGAAAATTATAAAACTCTTTATACTCACAAGATAAATTAAACAAGGTTGTTGTACACAAAAAGTAACTATAATTTTATCTTCTTCTTTTTTTATCTGTAATGTGATTTTTAACGGTTTTTATACTATATTTACTAATTTTGTTAACTTCTGAACCTGTATTTAAAGCAAGACCCTTAGTTTATATTTTTCCAAATCATGAATACAAGTAAATTTAATATACCCTAAAAAAATCACACATATTAGTTAGTAATATTCAATTTCACTAATTTTATTTTTAAGCCCCTTTCTTAAACACATGATATAAACATATAAAGAGATTCATTAAAAATATTTTTAAATTAAATGAAAAATAATTTTAAGATAAACTCATTAAAAAAGTAGAGTTAAATGAGTTTTTTATTTAAAAAAAAAAGTTTAAGACTGGCTATAAGTTTAAAAAAAACAAATCATGAATACAAGTCCATCTAACCATTGGATGAATGTATAATTTGCAATTGTGAAGGGGGGATTTTTTGTTCCCAAAAACTAAAGTTGAAAACATATGTTTCCTTTGATTCACTTTTTAAAAGATACTCCTATAAAAGTTGTTTTTACTTTGTGCACACCTATTAAAAAATTAATTTCTTCTCCTAGCCAGACTTATTTATCGTGAACAGAATTTAGACAATACTTGGTAACAAAAACTCGATACAATTAAAAGTAAACTTCAAAAAAAAAAAGGTGAAAGAAAAATTTCATTAACGAATAAACGGCGTCGTTTCAACAAACTTTCTTCAACACGCTCTTTCCTGAACTTGACGTAGAAGTAGAAGCACGCGCACACGTTTATTTAATTCACACCACACCACACCACAATTCATTACTACTAAAAAAGGACACAATAGTTACAAACAAAATTTATGATGTCAATTTACCTATCAAACAGGTTCCAAGTAAAAATATAGTAACCACACTTTTTTTTTTTCAAATAAATGAAGACAATAATAATTTGTAGCATTGAGGGTCCACGATAATTAGAAATAAATACCAACACAAAATACAAGGCCTGAAGTTCTTCTTATGACTATATAATAAATCTCATCTTTCTTTTTTCATTTTGAAAAAAACACCACACATGAGTAAAAAGAAAAAAAGGGGGACGTTCGTGTGCACATATTTTACGGTATAAAGTGTGATGGTTGAGCTTTGCCATACACAAACATGTGAAGTTAATAGTCATTTCATGATTGATCTGAATAATAATGGAATGCTTCAGCTTTTCATTCATTATTTCCAGACAACAAAGCATTGTCTTTTACTTACAACTTAATTCCATGATCCGTGTGTGGGATTATTGGTGGTGCTGATATGACCCATTCATATTATTATCACAAATTCTCTCTTTTATTCTTAGATGGTCATAAACATATTTTTCGAAAGGATGACCCCATGAGCCAAGTCATTTCTCTATTAAATGGATTATAGTAGAGATTTTGAATAATGATTTGTGGGCATTTTACAGTAGGAGACAGTAAGACACATGAAATGAACAATAAAATCAACTTCTCAAAACCAATCAAACTTAAGCATTTACCTAGCTAAACCCACATTAAAAGCTTTTTTATCATCCACCATATTTAAACACGCACATGCATGCGTAGTTAATTTTGTGTCCATTGAATAGCAAAGTATTACATGAATATTACCCCGTGTTTCTGTGTGTGAGACAAAAATAAAATAAAAAAAACTTGGATGAACAGATCGATCCCTTTTATCTCTCTTGTCCACCAACCAACTTGGTTTAAGGCAAATTTGTATGAGGTTGCTCATTGAAAGGGTTCAACGGAAGCAACAGCATTGTAGTGCTAAAATAGCCAGAAATATCAACAAAACTTGTAGACAGACAGAGTCTGTTCCAACTCCAGATTGGCATGCATGGTGAAAGTAAAGCATTGATTCAACATCCCTGGTTTCAAAACCCAAGCTGAAAGAATGATTTTCCTCATCATGGCCACACTAATTTAGCTGTTTTTTCTCATACACCACAACCCAGCCCTCTTGCTTCGGAGCCTTTCATGATTCTTAGCCTTTTGCAACAAGTCATAAACATGCTGCACAAAAAATAAAAATAAAAATTTAAGTTCTCTGTTTATGTTATAAACCTGCTTAAACTTTTTCATAACCACCCATCAGAAATAAAAACAAAGAATGTTTCTGGAAAAGTTTATGTCACTTATAGTTCTTATTTGTTTCATCTAAAACATCTGCACAAATAGCGAAGAGGCAGCATACTAGACACATGAACAAAAGAGGGAGTGAGGGGGAACTTACTCCCATGGAACATCTCCAACTAGCATCCAGTCACCATCCTTGTCTTCATATGTAGGAGCATATTCAGATCCCTTATAACCCTCTCTTTCAGAGTACTCACCTGAACTAGCAAAAACCAGTTCAGGTTATTTCATTCACCACAGCACAACAAAAGAACAGCAAATGAAAACTGGTCTCTCACCTATGGTCAACTTGAACATGGTTTCTAAAGCTTTGAGTAGTTCTGGATAGCCCCTGTAGACTTTCAAGTCAATCTTTCTGAGGTAAGGTGCTCCATCCATGCTCACTTTCACATAGATTCCATCCCCCTCGCCCTCCTGCACACTGTTCTTCCTGTAGGATCTGATTGGTGGCCACCCCACTATCTCTGCCCTGCCATCCCAACAATAAACACATTCAACCCATTTACCTCAAAACTCAGATCCAAACAACACGACATAAGGTTTTAACCAAAAATAAAATAAGTTATATTTTCCAACTAATCCTCTTACAAAACTTTCTACTTATTCTCTTATAAATCCTTCTACTTCTTTGTATCAAATGAAAAAAAAAAAAAAAAAAAAAATATATATATATATATATATATATATATATATATATATGATACTAACAAAATTGGAATCATCCTCCCTTTTTGAATGAAAACTCCAAATGCCAAATCAATCACGCAATATCACTAATCTTCCAACGTATTCTATTACTTCTTTATGTTAAATACAAAAAATAATGAATTTAATATGCATCATACAAAGACTAGCAGCAAAATATTACTGGCAGAATTTATGAAAAAAAGCATGATTCTTGAAAACTAATTTGGAAAACTTACTTGAGCTGAGGGGCTGCAACAGCGTGCACATGTTGTTGGTCAAGTGAGGCCTTTGAAATGGAAACAGAGTCTTCAGAGGTTTCGCGTTCTGGCCTTTTGTTGTTTCTAACAACAGCATATGAATGGGCGGTTTTGTCTTCGTTTTCCTGTGTCCCTGGCAATCCCAATCTAAGTTCTGTTGCCTTGAGGTTGAGATGAGTCTCAAACACCACTCTGCTTTCCATCTTTCCCTGTGATGACAATCTTAATATAATATCTATGAATTTCAGAATTGTTGTGGCAGTGTTCTTGTTGAGATGTTAACGTTGGAAAGTTGTAATTGGAAGGATGTTTTATAGGAAAGTTGAAAGAGGTGTCGGTAGCAGTCACAGCGGCTTTAAAGGAACATGTCCCCCCAGTTGGAGGACAGACGTGGGACACACCCACCCACCCACCCTTTGGAGGCAGGAGCATGTGAACTGAGGAACCCTTCTCAGGGTTAGTGATGACCCCATTCATGGCATGTGGGGGCTTCAAAACGAGTTGAAGCCATCATCTTTTTATGCAGTAAATATAATTATCACAACGGAAAATGTTCTAGTTACAAACATTAAGAATTTAACAAATGTCACGGCAGTTTCATATAAATTCTTTCATTTATGAATGATTGCTCTAATTATTAAAGTCTCATATTCTTGTATTAATGTTTCTTATATCAAGGTAATTTTCCCAAATCTTTCTAAAAGTTCTTAAGAACATATGTATGTTTGTCTGGACAATGTAAGGTAAATAATATGTAAGACTGTAGCGAATTACATGCTAATTTTGTTAAAAGATGTCGAAGTAGTGGGAGGAATTGACAGATAATTTTGTATTTACTACAAATATCATCAAATTCTTTTTGCAAATGATTTAATAATTTAATAATAAATTGATAAATTAAGAAGAATCTCCAGTGTATGGCTTCAATTTATATTATGATTATGTTCCAGATATATTCAACTCCTTCGCATAATTTTATCATTGAATAAGAATTCAAATTTGTTGGTATAATTCACTAAAGCTTTTCTTTCTTTCCAATATGTGGAAGTTTTTTATGTGAAAAAATAAAAATAAAAAAACTGAGCGGAGGGTTTAGGCAGGGTTGCGCACGTGATATATAACAACGAGGGGGTTTCTCTAACTAGGGTTTAAGCGTGCACCCTCGCTTCCTCCCATTTCCATTTCTCGCACTTTCTTTCCATCTCTGTTCTTATCATGTGGACACTTCGTCGAGCTTCTCTTCGTCTCAGGTAACCAACCTACTCGCTCTCTTTCATTCAGACACAGATCCTCAAAATTACGATGAACACCAACACTCTTTTCTTCTCCACCATGTTATGTTCAACTGTTAGTTGTAGTACAGAGTGCTGATTGTATAACTTTTGTGAGCTAGGGTTGGGAGTGCGATTTTGCTAATGATTCTCTGAAACTGTGGGTTTGTTTTTTATTTTGCACCTCTTTCTTATTAGTTTATGCCTGATGTTTATTGTGGTAGGAGCCAAGGGCTTAATGCGGGAGCTGCCCGTGTTTCTTTTGTCAATTTAGTGCCAACCACTTGTGTGGAAAATGAGGGTGGTACGCATCAGTCTGGTCAAATCACCAACGGTAGACTTCTATCAGCTGATGCGTTTTTCGGCACGGGCCGTACTTCACTGAACTATGCTGTGGCCAGGCGTGAGCTTTCCTCGCAAGCCGGTTCTAGCAGCACGAAAGAGGATGATGATGTGTTGGAGGGTGGGTTGTCTGAGATGGATTTGTCTCATGGAAGTGATGATGACGCGCACTTGTCTGATGGGGACGAGGATGCTGGAAAACTGAATGATGAGCTGGATTTATCAGATGGTGAGATTGATCCTACCAAGAAAAAAAGTCCTGGTAGACTGCCTGAATCGGAACTATTCAATGCAATTTTGAAGGCTCCTGGTTTGTCGATTGATTCTGCTCTCAATAAGTGGGTTGAACAAGGGAAAGAATTAGGTCGGAAGGAGATCTCGTCTGCGGTGCGTAATCTTCGTAGGCGTAAAATGTATGGGAGGGCTTTGCAGGTAAATTAATCAAACTTTTGTCTGCTGCCAATTTATCCTGTTAAACATTTCAAATATTTTGCTTATAATTTAGGTTGATGATGCTTCATGTTTCTGGATGTTTCAAGCTTATTGCTTTCCTTGTCGACCTTAACCACACATTTTCCACCCAGTCTGCAGCTCACTCTCTGTTTACACCCATGTGACAGTTTGCTGATCTTTTCTTTACATCACCCTTTATTCTGCTGCCCAACTATTTTCCGGTATTTCCAGATTGACATTGTTTATAAATATTTTTAATTTTTGTATAGTTCTTCTAAGCATGTACACACGTTTTGAACACAAAGTAGCTACCAAGCTCAATGTGAAGTTTTAGTGTATTATGGTAGTCAACGCTGGAGTTTAAAGAGATAACCAGAGAAAAAAATGTTAAGATGGTGGTCACAAAGGATAAGATACGGACAGTTAGGACACAAGTAGATATTACTGTAACACTTATCAATGAAAAAATGACAGAATTGGCAAGGATGATTTGGATTTGTGTAAAGGTCAGTGAGTGAACCAGTGAGGAGAGTATTCACTTGGTTTTTAGTCGTATCCTATGGAAAGGGTTACTGGGAAACTTAAAAGAATGTTATAAGAAATTATTAAAACGAATCTCATAGTGGATATTATTGTTGTGGATCTATAATCTTATTATTGCAATCATCCTGACAATCTGCCATCGTGCTTCTACATTTTTTTGTCAATCGTTGGTAACTATGATTTGTATCCCCTGCTCCCACTTACCCAGACTATCTGCTGCATACAGCATTGACACCAGGAAAACACCATAGACAGACCTCAAATATTTTTTCTGGATTATAAATTCAGAAAAATTCTATCTTAAGCATGATGGTGACTAGGGAGGTAATTTTTCTCTGAAATATTATGAAGCTACGAGTGATAAACTTAGTATGGAATGCAAGCATACCCCATTAGTTTTGAAGTTCTGTACAATAATGCTTAAACTATGAGAATATTTTCAAGGAAAACTTCGCTAGGATTCCTTCTAGTATTTAAAATGAGTTGAGATCTTAAGAGAAACCAAAGAATCATACAGGTTCTGTGGAAAAGTAATAATACTTTGCAAATCATAACCATGTTATGATACTAAGCAGTTTAAAAAATTCAAGTAAATCTTGTTTGAAATCATAAATTAGATTAAGCGCTTTTACCCTCAGATTAGTGGATTATTTGATTTGAGCAACTCATTTTAAAGAGGTAATCTGATATAGTTTAGATGATAATGAAAATATTCAGAGAAATTTATTATAGACAAGCTTCACTGGCTACTTAGAATAAAACATACCTGTAACATAAGATAAATTGTAAAATTTCGTGAACTTATATAGCACTTTTTGTAGTTTTCTGCTCCACACTCTTTCCAGGATTTGATAAGAATGGTTAGGACTGCGGAGTAGGGGGAATGGTTCTGTTTTTTTCCCCTGCATATAGATATGTTGCGAATGCTTCAGTTGATAATAACATAGGAAATATCTTGCATGGAGGGTTTTGTTCCATATATGTATTCTATGTTGTAAGTAATAAGTATTATATCTGTTTAATTGACATTGATAATGTATTTTACCTTTTTGCATTTCCAGTTTTCCAATACGATGCTTTATACTGTAATGCTTTTTTTTTTTGGGGGGGGGGGGTGTTGGAACTGTAGCTCTTGCAGTGGTTAGTGTCAAACAAGAAGCTTGAATTTGTGAGAATGTTCTTTTTTGTCCCCTGCATATTGATATGTTGCAAATGCTTTTAGTAGCGCGTAATTTTTCTTCAGTTGATAATAACATAGGAAATATCTTGCATGGAGTGTTTTGTTCCATATATGTATTCTATGTTGTATAAAAAGCAATAACTATTATATCTGTTTAATTGACTCGTGACATTTATAATGTCTATTTAATTTACCCTTTTGAGTTTCCAGTTTTCCAGTAGGATGTTTTATTCTGTAATGGTTTTTTGTTGTTGTTGGAACTGTAGCTTTTTCAGTGGCTAGAGTCAAACAAGAAGCTTGAATTTGTGGAGAGTGATTATGCCTCTCAACTTGATTTGATTGCCAAGCTACGTGGCCTCCTAAAGGCAGAGAAATACATTCAGAGTGTTCCAGAATCTTTTAGAGGTGAGCTATTATACCGAACGTTACTGGCTAACTGTGCTAGTCAGAACAATTTGGCAGCAACAGAGAAAATATTCAACAAAATGAAGGACTTGGATTTACCGCTTACAGCATTTGCCTATAACCAGTTGCTGCTTCTGTACAAGAAGCTTGACAAGAAGAAAATAGCTGATGTGTTACTACTGATGGAAAAAGAGAATATCAAACCTTCTATCTTTACTTTCAGAATCTTGTTAGACGCGAAGGGCCAGTCCAATGATATTGCTGGAATGGAGCAAGTATTGGAGACAATGAAGGCAGAAGGCATTGAACCAGACGTCCAGACACAGTCAGTCTTGGCTAGGCATTACACGTCAGCTGGGCTTAAAGAAAAAGCTGAAGCTATAGTGAAGGAGATTGAAGGTGAAAACTTAAAAGAAAATCAGTGGGCGTGTGCGACTTTACTTCGTCTTTATGCAAATCTGGGAAAGGCTGACGAAGTGGAGAGAATTTGGAAAGTTTGTAAATCAAAGCCTCGGATTGTTGAATTCCTAGCTGCAGTTGAAGCTTGGGGAACGTTAAAGAAAATTGAAGAAGCTGAAGCAGTTTTTGAGATGGCGTGGAAGAAATGGAAACTTAATGCCAAGAACTGCTCTGTTCTTCTGATGATTTATGCAAATAATAAGATGCTAGAGAAGGGTAAGGATCTTATTAAGCGAATGGCAGATAATGGGTTGAAAATAGGTCCAATGACGTGGAACGCACTTGTGAAACTGTATATCGAAGCAGGTGATGTCGAAAAGGCAGACTCTATTTTGCAGAAGGCAATTCAACAGGGTGAGTTGCAGCCAATGTTTAGCACCTATATGGCTATTTTGGAGCAGTATGCAAAGAGGGGTGATATCCATAACTCGGAGAAGATTTTTCATAGGATGAGAAAATCTGGTTATACGTCTCGAATAAGTCAGTTCCAAGTTCTAATACAGGCATATATAAACGCCAAGGTTCCAGCCTATGGCATTAGAGAGAGGCTGAAAGCTGATAACTTATTTCCCAACAAAACATTGGCTAACCAGTTGCTTCTAGTTGACGCATTTAGGAAAAATGCAGTTTCCGATTTACTTGATTGATAAAATTGGTGTATTCGGTACACTGTAAGGGTTGTTTCTATATTTCCATGCAACTATTATATCGTTAGTTAGTCGAATCGTAGGTTGCACAATCCAAGTTTGACTGTTTTGTCTTGTAATGCTCGTTATAAGTTGGATGCACTTTTGCCTTTAAAGCATATATTAATTCCTGAGTCCTGGTTTAATGAATTATAACTAGAGGCTTTTTCAATTAGATGCTACAATCTTTTTCCCCACAGGATAACAAGATAGATAGTGGTAGACAAATGTTGTTAGCCTTGGCATATGTTGTGGGATTTGTTCAAAATAGAGCTTGGATCCTAAACTACTTCAATCCCAAATTTGAATTGTTTGAGTTTGTGCTTGAAATGGATTCAATTTTTTGCCTTCACTTTTATTTATACTTTTGAATACTTGTCATCTCAACAAAGTTTATTATCATATATTTTCTTCATCTTCCATTCCAACAAAAAGTGAAAGAAAATAACAAACGAAAACTTAATTTCTTAAAACAATTTTTTTTTTAAATTTATTCTTTGTGCTTTTTCTTTTCAATTTAAAATTCACACGTTTTTTTTCCTACCTTTGGCCCATTTGGTACTTTGCAAATATTGATATTATATTACCTGAAAATCATAAAATATGTTATTAGCATATAAAATTAAGGGATTTAATTACTTTTCATTTATCTCTCACTATCACTATCCTCTTGAGAGGCTCTGAAGAACCTTTTATCCATTTCCTTAAAGCAAGATACCTCTCACTCTCAGTTCTTGACGTACACAACAATTAGCCTCTGTAAAGTGTTTATGTTCTTCTTATATATCATTATTACATCTCACCCTTAATTTATCATTATTCTTTTTTCTGTACATATTACTTTTGATGTAAGCCTTTGAATAATTGTCTCCATTTACAACTATTTATATCTTCCATTTTCCTTCAATCAATTAATATAATGTGTGTGTAATTATTTATAAAGACCTTTTTTCTACTATTATATTTCTCATTCCTCGCAAAAATGTATTCACTCCATCTTAACTAGTGAATGCATCCACAATTGAATCAAATCTGGAACGTAATTTGAACTAGAAAATAGCCAAAAAAAAAACACAATCATTAAAGTTATATAGATATTTTTATTGATAATTATAAGTAAAAAAAAAAACACTAAAATGTCAACAATTAATAACCTCAAAAATATTATCATTAGGCTTTAAAATTACTCTTACCATAAAAGTTTGTGATGGTGAAAATATTCCATATAAATTTGTGCCAAGATACAGTTTGCGGCATTTTTCTCACATAAATAAAGTTATTTTCTTTTCATTATATTTTATATATTTCTTATGCGCTACTTTTTTCAAATTAAATAAATTTAAATTTTCTAAAATCACTATATTTCTTTAAACAAAGTTCATCAAAATAATATTCCAATCGTAATTTGGAGAATATGATAACAACACTGCGAATATAAGTTTGTGAACCTCACATTTTAAATTACCACGAATAATTTATGACTGTAGTTAATAATAGATTATCTCACTATAAAAGAAATACGAATCCCCAATTAAAATTGATTTATTATTTTGTAATCGTATTCTGTTATCAGCATTCTAGAACATGCTGAGGTGTTACTTTCTGTTTTTCAATTTTGTCTTTTTTTCCATGGTACAAAGTGTTGCTTGTATATATATCATTCTGTCTCTTTCAATAAAGATATAGAATACTATTTTTTCATCATCATTTCGGGTTTCGTTTTATAGCCTTCCTGCATTTTTTGGTTTAATTTTGCACTATGATCAATTTTTGCAAGAATGTTAATAGAAGAATATGTTTTATGCTTTACTTTTTTCTTGAAAAAAAAAATCCAATTATTAAATACTTGTGTTAGAAACCCATCATAAGACTTGTGTAACACAAGTTGTTGCTGAAGAAACTTCCCCCGATTGTTTTCCTAAATTTGATTTCAATCAAGTTAACTGAATCATCAGTTGATACCATATAATAAAGTATTCAGTGGAACAAAAAACTTATGTTGTTCCTATGACTATTTATTACCTTTTATATATATATATATATATATATATATAAACACTAAGGTTGAATTTGATTCGAATATCTTAAATAAAAAGTCTTAAATTTTAAGTGGATGATAAAAATAGTATAGAAAAAATGACTTCACTAACAAAATATTTGTCCAGAGGTTTGTGAATGAAAATTACCCATCTTATTAATTATGTATTTCACACCAATATAAATAATAAAAAAAGGTTTTACAAAGGTCAAATCTAGACCAAAACGGTGTATGCATATATTGCGTCTTTATTATTGATCAACTGTTTTGAAAAAAAAAAAAACATTGTTTTATTCAATAAGTATTTTCTTGCTTTTTTTTAATAGTATGCTCTCTTTAAAAAAATTATACATTATTTTTCATGACTATTCAATAAAACATAAGTTAAAATTTTTTTGAGGAGACACTTAATTGCAATCACAAATAACACTTACTTAATATTATATAAACACATATATGCTTCAATTTTATTATTTAAAATGATTATATGTTAGGTACAAAACATCATTCAAGGACAAGAATAAAGTAGATTTCGAATGCTTTTCTGCTTTTTTTGTGATAATATCACGCGCTAGAAGCGCAAGAAGTAAATGATAAGATTGAAATTAAGAAGCTAAAATGGAAAAATTGATAATATATGTAAATAAGCATTTGAGAGTTTCAAATTTTTGCTTCTGGCAGTGACATTCCAAAACATAAAGATGGGTTTAATAAAACCTTAAACAACACTCACGTCACGTCACGTCACATCACATCAGAACATCAGAACATCAGGTCACATGATCATTCATTAATATTTCCGAAGTGATGTGATCCTGTGCATGCAGGTCTCATGTTATTACTACGTTCGGGATGAGGCCAGGGAGACAAAGGGACACGGTATCCGTTGCCACCTTGCCCTACTCTTCTAATCCTTTAACCTTTAGTAATATACAATTATTCCTTCCTTCAACATTTTGAGAACAAACATGCCCCCATCTTTTTCTAAAGCAAAAGCTTCACCAAATCATCTCCAAAATCTCCACTCTATCCCCTCTCACATCCTGTCATTCACCAACTCACGAGCCTAAAACGGTAAAACCCATCATTGATGTCACAAAAAGAGCTGTCTCAGAGATTCTCTTTGCTAAAGCACTTCTTGCAGGTGTAAACTCCACCTCACTCTAACTGTTGTTATATATAGCCCAAGCAGCCACACCAGAAGGCACAACTTGCATCAAAACCTGAGAGATTCAGAGAGGTATCAACAATGGCTTTGGCAGCTTCACTTTCCCCAGCAACCCCTTTGGTTCAAACCACCAATTTGAACCCACTGGGTTGGACTGATGATCAGATCCTTGAGAAAGTCTACATCACTCACGTCCACACCGCCGAAAGGTACGATGTTGAATCGCTTTTCAACGTTACATCCAACGTCATCAAGCGTTCTACCGCAATTGCTGACAGTGTTGCTGTTAAGGTAATTAACTTCTTTTAGATGAATCTATAAATTGATCGCCTCCAACATATGTGTATTTTTAAATAACGTAAATCATTTTACCACTTGTTTTTCAGACTGGCACACCCGTTGGTCTTATCGAAGACAAGGTTGTTTTGTCCACTTTCGACCCACCGTTCCTTAAACTCAAGCATATTGCTTCTCAGGTCATTAACTAATTCGGCAGCATATAGTATATTCATTACTACTCCTTCCTATTTGATTATTATTTAATTTGCCACTCCCACTATGCATGCAAATTTATATGAATTTGAGATGACAACCTTCGCTTTGATTGTTGAGCTTACCAAACTTTCAATTTAAATTTTCATAAAACAGTATGAATATGTATGCATGTATTCTTAGTAATTATTTTTTGAGAGTGTAGATGATGAACACACCTCATGGTGAGCATCACGCGCACCAGACAGCAATGTCGATACTTGACCAGCTGAGGAGCTACTCGTGGGATGGAAAAGCAATACTAGTTCTAGCTGCTTTGGCTTTGGAATATGGAAATTTTTGGCATCTTGTCCAGGTTCCAACAGCAGACCATCTTGGAAGATCATTGGCGCAGATGAATCGAGTTCACATCGTGGAGAGGAATAGGCAAGCTGTTGCTGACTACAACAGTTTGGTGAAGAACTTGCTGATCGCGGTTGAGTGCATCTCTGAGTTGGAGAGGCTCTCCACCAAAGGTTATGACTTGAAGGATGTCCCAGCTTTGGCTGAAGCCATGCAAGAGATCCCTGTAGCTGTCTACTGGGCAATCGTCACCACTGTTGTTTGTGCTAATCATTTTGATTTCCTCCTTGGTGAATCGTAAGTTCATTCTCAAACTTGCCCAAATTATAATAAATTAATATTACACATACATAGTTCATTAGGTATGTCTATGATCTCAACCTACAATCATATCTTGTAAATATTAGTAGGTAAACGACACTAAAGCATTTTTCTGTTTGCTTTTGTTGGTTTCTGTCACATTTAACCTCACATTAACAATTCGAGGAACTCGTGCAATAGTTTTTATGATAATAATTTTTGTCTTTATCTTTGTTACATTAAACATTCCATTTTTTATTTCTCTTTTTAGAATAAAATTGGTTATATAAATAAGATTATTTACATATATATATATATATATATATATATATATATATATATATATATATATATATATATATATATATATATATATATATATTGCAATCACTTTCGTGCAGGGATGACAGATATGAAATAGCGAATTTTGACGACAAGCTTTCCGCCGTTATCAGCAAATTGAAGGCGAATTTGACCAGGAGCAGAAAGAAAATAGGTTAGGGAATAAACTATGATCAAACTCATTTTAGGGAGCATTAGGGTGGAGCAAAGAGATAATAAGAAAGAAATGAAATGAAAAGAAAAGAAAACAGTAAAAAGAGAAAGTACTAGATATGCTAACAGTTAAGGAATGTGAAAAAAGATAGAGTGAAGACATATGACAAAAGAAATATATTTCCAACAGTTATGTACTCAGTAAAATATGCTTCTCGATCCACTTGTTAAAGTGTGGAGGTATATTTTATAATTTAAAATGCAGTTACACTTTTTAATTTATTTTTTTTGACGAATTTCTGATTACTAATAAATAATTGAAAATATCTTAAAAATCAAGTTTAAGAACTTTTGATCTTAATTGCTATCAACTCAAATGTTTAACTTTTAATCACCAGAACCAGAACGATGATGACGATGATGATGATGACGATGAAGTGTGTGTATAGACATATATAACTTCAACGCTGATAAGGATCATCTGTGTAATTATTTCAGGTGACCTAGAAGACTACTGGAGGCGTAAGAAGTTGCTCCAAACCCCCACAGAAATTGTGGAGGTTCTCAAGGTTCTTATCTTCCACAACGAAGTTCACGACCCACATGTTTACGATGGCTTCTCTAGACAAATGGTAAGTAACTAATTCAAGAGTATCATCATCCATCCCACAATATAAATCTTTTGTAATTTCAGAAAAAGAAATAGTATATGGTAAAAGAAAACACATATTTATCGTCTCTATCGACCTCTACGTATTATACAAAAGATTTAATAAAACTCTGAAGTGCCATGTACAGATTGTGAATTGGTCCGAATCGTATAATTGTTTCTGTATGTTTTTCACTTGAGTTGGTGTACGATGATGTCCCTTTGAAACTTGAGATGGTTATTTTGTTTTTGAACCAAAACAAACAGGTTAGCATTGAAGTATTTAGGAAGAAACACGTGTTGCTGTTCATTTCTGGGTTGGACAGCATCAGAGATGAGATTCGGCTGCTGCAATCAATCTACGAGGGATTGCATGAAGATCCTATGGAAGTCAAAGGATACAGGAAAGAGGACTTCAGGATCTTGTGGGTGCCCGTGGTGGAAGACTGGAATCTTCTGCACAGGGCAGAATACGATAATCTGAAGTTAGAAATGCCGTGGTACGTGGTGGAATACTTCTTCCCCTTAGCAGGAATCAGACTCATTAGAGAGGACTTGAACTACAAGAACAAACCCATCATTCCTGTGCTGAACCCTCAGGGAAGAGTGGTGAACAACAATGCCATGCACATGATTTTCGTGTGGGGCATCGACTCCTTCCCCTTCAGACCTTCTGATGATGACGTCCTTACCCAGAAATGGAACTGGTTCTGGGCCGAAATGAAGAAAGTCAATCCCAGACTTCAAGACCTTGTAAGTGCATCCAAAATTAGAGTCTGTAAAAGAAAAATAGATGAAATAAGTTTCTATATAAACTAAAATTAGGTTATCCACAACTTAAAAATAAGAAGTTATAAAAAAATTTAAGAGAGTGTTTATAAAGAATCCCAGTAAATTTGTCATGTAAAACTTGAATCTTAATTGTCAACATAGTTACTTTTGTTAAGTGTTGACAATGACAATAAACTTGTGAATCAGATCAAAGCGGACAGTTTCATCTTCATCTACGGAGGTAATGACAAGAAATGGATGCAAGATTTCTCTCAGTCAGTGGACAAAATCAGAAGGCACGATATCATCAAGAAAGCAGACGCAGTGATAGAGCACTACCCATTTGGAAGGGAAGATCCGAGGATCGTTCCTCGGTTCTGGATAGGCATAGAGAGCTTGTTCGCGAACATGATTCAGAAGACACACAAGGACCCCACCATTGACGAGATAAAGAGCTTGCTGTGCCTGAAACAGCAGCAACCAGGGTGGGTTCTGCTGAGCAAAGGGTCGAACGTGAAGATTCTGGGGAGTGGGGAACCAATGCTGGCGACTGCGGCAGATTTTGAGATATGGAAAGAGAAGGTGCTTGAGAAAGCAGGGTTTGACGTGGCTTTCAAGGAATACTATGAGCAGAAGCGACGCAATTACCCTCAGGAATGTTCCCACATGCAGTTGGCCAACTACCCTGCTGACATTCTCCACCCCATTAACTGCCCTGATGCAGGTTGCGGCAGATCCATGGAGATTGCTTCTGTGAGTTACAAGTGCTGCCACGGTCATATTCACAACAAGGCTGAAATTCCAGAGAGTGGCGATGTCATGATTGAGAAGAAGTACGCTTCTTGATTCATTCATCATCATGAGTTTTGTGGAGGAGCTTGTTCCATGTTTGGAATTCATTTGTGTGCACTGCTGCTTTATTATCATGTTATCATTTTTATACGTCTCAGCTGTTGCCATGAAGCCTCTTCTGTGCCCTTCTGTTGGTTGAAAATAATGGCTTCAAACAGCGTCTGTTTGATTATCTGAATTAATGATTTTGATTCAATTAAAGAGATGCCACTTGGGCTTGCTCAAAATCAATCTATTCTACATTACCCTCCTCTCTTTTTTATTCTTTTTTCCTATTTTTCACAAACCAAAAAGTTTCATTAACCATATTAGTACAAGAAGTACTCAACCTCGCATACATAATAATGGCCTCTAAAGACTAGTATAAGGCTACTAGTCTCACTTTCATCTGGAAGAACCTTTTAAGGAGATTCAAAACTTACTCTATGATGCTCGAAGCCCATTTATAAACTAAAGAATAATTACAATCTGTCACTTGATACATTGATATATTGTCGCTTACCACCTAATCTACCAGACTTCACCACCTATGTGATCCTATTTTTTTCTAAAATCCCATAAATCGATCATACGCTTGATGACACGTATTTCATGTAGCACTTATTTCCTAATGAGCCTTTCAAAAGGAAGATGTTCTAAAATTGAGTACTCAGAACTCTACCAACATAATAATTCAAAAATCTCTTGAGGATACGAACTCTATATATCAACCTTAAAACAACAAAACATATACTTAAAGATACAAAAAATGAGGTGTTTTCATGGATATACTTGAAATTTATGAGAGTAAACGTACCCTCAACCCCAAACCCATTAGGTTTGAAGATCAAAGATGGAAATGTTTCGGAAGATTACAGTAACAATGATGTCATTGAGACTGTTGTGTGAATGGTGTCATTTTGGAGCCAAGATATTAAGATCGCTGTGCCGATAGTTGGCACCGAGTTTGAGCTGAAGTAGGGTATTCAAACTATGTATCACTTGGATCACTGTGCCTGGAAGATGGATCCATTTGAGGATTTGCTTCTTTGTCACAGCATCGTCTTTGTGGACATGGATCGAACTGATTCAGAACGACACTCACTTTGCGGCAGCTTTGCCCAACATAATATTCTTGCCTTAACCTTTGGTAGGTCTTTCTCGAGATAAAATGTTTGGGCACTACCAGTTTCCTCAAATCTTATCATGCAATTCGGATAAAACAATTAATCTACAAAACAAACTATAATCACCAAGTTTTAGTGACCACATGAGATTTTAATTATATTCTTTATGAATGAACACAAAAGTTATATAGATGGACAAAACCTAATTTCACCGCAATTTTAATGCTTCAAGATGCAATTCATTTTTGTGTATTTAGTTTGATTTATTACAAATACTAAATCAACCAACATTATATGTATTTGTACGAAGTATTTGATTCAATAGATAAGTCGATTCTAATTATCTGTCGGAAATACTATTTCGACACTCCTTTTTATAAGATATACACTCCTCTTATAACTCTATTACAATAATATAATTAAAATAAAGAATAAAAATATCTTCTAAAAAAATAAGTATTATTATTATATTATTTTCATCAAGTTGTTAACAAACTATAAAATGAAATATATTTTTAGTGAAGTATAAATAAAAAAAGTTACGGAATCATGAAAACAAAATTCACCGTGAAGACCTACGAAATCTTCTTGCCTTGAACCTTTAGACAAGTGACCTGCAATCGTAGGTCCTTCTAGAAAGCAAAAGTTTAAGGAAATTGGATTCGAACAAAGGAAACAAATCATTGCCATATAAGGTTTGCATGGTAACATTGCCCACCGTAATCTTCTTGCCTTGAACCTTTAGACAAGTGACCTACCATCTTTTCAGAAAGCTAAAGTTCAGCAAATTCCAACACTGGAAAAACACAGTGGTTTTGTGGAAGCAAACGAAAATGGCACTTATATCCTTTATCCACTCAACAACGTCACGTACGAATCCATTAGGATAAACCTGAACTTTGCATGAGAGGGTACATTTCACGTTTTCTATACAGCACATAAAGAATTAACGAAGCTGTGTGTTTATATATGCTTTTTAAAATTTACTCTAAACTTTGTCTCCTCTAGCTTAAAGTTAATAATTATTCCAAATGTAAAGCCGGGAAGAATCTTAATCTATAAATAGATTGATCAACCTAACAATAGCACAAGGCAAAAACATCATTTGCATCCAAATCAATTAATTAACGTACGAAGTAGCAGGTTGAAGTAGCAACATGTCGATTTCGAAACCTGAACAAAAGCCTCCGCAGCCAAATCCATTTGATTTGACTGACACTGACATCATTGAGAAAGTGTATGTATCCCACACTTACGATGACCAAGTGTTTGACAATGAGCCACTTTTCAAAGTGGTGTCCAGCGTCATCAAGCTATCAAGTCGAATTGTTGGAGCCATTCTTAAGGTAAATAAACAATAATCAAATTCATTACTTGGGGAGTTTTTTTTTTTTTTTTTTTTTTGAAATTATCATTATTACTATTATATTTATTCATAACTTGGGTGTCATGTAGATCGACGAGCAAAATGGGTTTACAGGAAATCCTATTGGCGTAAGCATTTTCGAACCAGAATTCTCCAAACTGAAGCTCATGTCCTGCCAGGTATTTTCTCGCATACTCAATATTATTATCATACAAATCCTATTCTGATGTCAGAATTTTGTCTTCCATTTTTTATTGTGATTTTTTTGTCGCGAAGAAATCACTATTTGAATATACATAGAAACAGAGTTAAAGTATAGTTTCTACGCATTTTGTTAATACTATTTCGGGTCGCAATTAAAATTTTACATGAATAATTTGTGTGATAAAAGAATCACTAAATGTAGTTGTATATTATTAAGATAAAACTCTAATATGATTTATAAAGTATTAGTAACGATGCTATATTTCTTTATTGTTAAAATAATAAAAAAATATATGACATTATTTACATTTTTAATAAACTTTGGTGGATAAAAGAAACTTTGATTATGAGAATTTGTACGATGCACGGTGACAGATGATGACAGTCCCTTGGGGGTTGGAGAACGCACATCAAAGCACCCTAAGGATTCTTCAACAACTGAGAAGCTTCTCGTGGGATGCGAAAGTGTTGATAGCTCTAGCCGCTTTCGCTTTGGAGTATGGAAACTTCTGGAACCTTTACCAGGCATCAGACCCTCTGGGGAACTCGTTGAAAGTGCTGAATCAGATTCAGCATCGACACCTTTCCGTGGCTGATCTGAACTCAACAGTGAAGCTGGTGACGGAGGCCGTTGAAAAGATCAGTCATTGGGGAACCTTGTCCTCTGATGAAAGCTATGACACTGAGGATGTGCCTGCTTTGTCAGATGCATTGGAGCAGATCCCCCTTGTTGTTTACTGGCTTGTCGCTTCCCTTGTCGCTTGCAATAGCAACATCCAGGATGTATCGTAAGTCTTTTCTTAGCAAAACATATTCTTCGTGTCAAATGTTATCATGGAGTAATAAATTCGTAAACTTGTTGTGTTTCAGGAATTATCCATTGCTGGAATTTCGTGCCAAACTTTCTCCCGCTCTGGATGAGTTCACCAGGCATCTAGAGATATGCGAGCAGCAGAAAGGTTGTGTGTGCTTAGTGTTTACCCATGTAATGAAAAGAAATTAACTCCCTCACGTTTTGTTGTTGCAGACAGTGTAGAAGAGTACCGGAGGCGTAAGAGGAACTTTAACAAGCCTAAAGACATAGTAGACTTTTTGAAGCTTTTGATCAATCAAAATGGCTCTCAGAACGCTCGAATATATGATGGCAACGCCAGAAGGATAGTGGTGGGTACCATATTAGTTGTGTCAAGCTTTAATTTATAGTTTTAATTAAGTGTACAACTATAAGTTATAAGTTCTCAATCCTCTTATTATAATAAATAAAAAATGATTATCAAAGTATTGAAGATAGAGAGATAAAGGAGAAAATAAAATGAATAGAGAGACAGGTGGGGTGTTTAAAGATGATAAATATGTGTTGGTGAATTATAACTTTGTGTGTGGTGGTGAATAGAATGTAGAGGTTTTCAAGGAGAAGTACGTGTTGCTGTTCATTTCGGGGCTGGACAGAATTGAAGACGAGATTCGGCTTCTGAATTCGATTTACGAGGGACTAGTGGAGGATCCGAATGAGAGGAGCGGATTCAAGAAAGAGGAGTTCAAGATTTTGTGGATACCGATGGAGAGTAGGTGGGGCGATGCACGGAGGGAAGTGTTGAACACTCTGAAGAGTAACATAAAATGGTATGTGGTGGAGTACGAAGAAGGGTTGCCAGGAAGGAGGCTGATCGAAGAGGATCTGAAGTTCGAGGGGAAACCTATCCTTCCAGTGGTGAAGCCACAGGGTGTGCTGCTGAACGATGATGCCTTGGACATCATCTTCGAATGGGGGATCGACGCGTTCCCTTTCAGAAAATCCGACGCATACGCGCTTGCGCAGAAATGGAAATGGTTCTGGGATGAAGTGAGGAAGACAAATCTTCATGGGATACAGGTGAAAGGTGAGAGGTATATATTCATATATGGAGGCAGTGACAAGTGGTGCAGAGAATTCGGTGTGGCGGTGGATAAAATAAAGAGGCACGAAACAATAAAGAGGGAAGATGCAATAATAGAGTATCACCATCTGGGGAAGGAGGATCCGAAGATAGTTCCGAGGTTCTGGATCGGCGTGGAAGGGAAGAGGCAGAAGAAGCACTCGGAGAAGTTGGACTGTGAGATCCAAGGGATTATCAAGACTCTGCTCTGCCTTAAGCAGGACACGCAGGGATGGGCCATTCTCAGCAAAGGCTCCAATGTGAAGATATTGGGCCACGCCCAGCCCATGTATCAGACTGTGGCAGACTTTGAAAAGTGGAAAGACAGAGTGCTAATCAAAGAAGGCTTTGACATTGCCTTCCAAGAGTACTATGACACCAAGCGTCATCTTCCTGCTCCTCAACCATGCGAATTCAACACTTTGGATGTTCTCGCCACCATAACATGCCCAAATGCCTCTTGTGGACGTGTCATGGAGGTCACCTCTGTTAATTACAAGTGCTGCCATGGCAATGTTGCTGACCATGCCTTTAAATCGGCAACCACCTAACCCTCAACCTTCATTCGCACCTTGCACCCACCGCGTTAATGTGTTTTCGCTCATCCACTTCAACTTCAATTCCAAGTTTCTTCTTTTTCACTATATATGTCTCTGTTTTTCAGTCTATACAACTGGCCTGTCCCACACACCCACTTCATAAATAATGCCATATTTTGTCTGTTCTGTTCTTAATTACTTTCTTCAATAAATAATTCCATCTGCAACCGGGTTATTTTAACACCTCCCATGTTCCCTTTTTCATCAATCATCTACTATTTTCACTGCTCCATATTCAAGCTTTTTATATTAAAAATAATAATTCTATATATAATCGAATGTCATTTTCAGAATTTGATTTATAAGTCGGTAATAAAGAATAAGAATTCATACCGTATAGCAATTTCTTGGAAACCAATTAAACTTAATTAGCTGCACTACATTCATATAAAAATTGCTTTCTTTAAGCTAATTTTTGAACTTTTCTTTATTATTATTCTTCGTCTTTTCTTTATCGTAAATTCCAATATCCAATAATACATTACCTGATAATTTTCACTTTAAAAAAAAAAAACTAATTTGACGCTTTTATTTTTACCTGTAACTTGAACATAAACTATGCGTCAAAACAACTTAAACCCGAAAGCTGACATCATTCATTTGGGTCATTGACAAGTAGTGGTTACTTTATGTTTGTTTCTTGCTGATACCATCCCCAATCCAAATGGAGACAAAGTTGACTATTTTTTGCACGAAAAGTGGGCGATGATGGGGTCCATCATCTGGAGTTCTTGATCGGGGGGCTACCTCCAAAATAGTAATTGGTTGGAGCTTGATTATGTGTATAAACTTTGACCCACCAATGACCGAACACAATTTAATTGACCATGTTTTCAATATGCTACCTAGTTGCACCCCCAATTTCCTCTCTATATATATAGCCTCTCTCTTATTCTCTTAACTAAATTAACTAAGCACAATAGCACTACATGGATCGATTTTTTCCTGAGAAACTTCTGGGTGAGATATTCTGGGATCAATCTCTTTTGGCCACCGACCAAAGTGATGCAGTTAAAAATTCCCAAATCATCAAGGGTGAAGCTTTCCCTCCTGCAACTCAAAGTGCTTTTGTTCAATATAGAGACCTACCCAGAAGCAAAAACCCTCTAAACGGGTCAAATTCAGAGAGCATGAGTAAGAGAATGCTGGCGTTCTTGAGAAAAAGTTTCCCCGTGGAGAGAAATAACGTGGAAGAGAATGAAAGGGATCGCAATTTCAGGCACATGATCAATGAGAGAATGAGGAGACGGAGGCAGAGGCAGTGCTGCTTGGCCCTGCATTCAATTTTACCACATGGAACCAAAGTATACAACATTAGTTTATACATATTAATTAAGGGTATCTTATTATAAATATGGTTATAAGAAGTTTTACTAGAGAGGAATATAAAAGAATAAATAAAGTAACTTGATTTTTCTTGTACAAAAGTGATCAGAACCTTGTCTAGACAGAATATGTATATTCAAATTTCAATCACTCTAATACTTTTATCTATGTTTCGTGGCAGACAGATAATAATTCTGTAATTCAAATGGCAGCGAAGGAGATTGTACGGCTACAAGGATGCAGAGAAGAGTTGAAGAGGAAAATTGAAGGAAATGTTGAAGGTGTTGCTGGGAGGAAGCATGATGGGAGAAGTAAGGTTGAATATTTGAGAGTTGGAGATCCAAAGTGTGCCATTGATTCAATGGTTGAGAGGCTGAAGTTGTTGAAAAAGGAAGGATCGGATAGCAGCAGCATCAGAGCAAGTTTCTCCCCAGTGGAGTTGTTTGCAGTGTTAGAGATAGACAGTGTTGTTTGCAGGGCCAGAACAGATATCTAACTTACATTTGATGATCATTTTCAAAACCACGGGTGGGTGGGTCAATTCATTTTCTACCTTTTTTTCAGTCATCAAGATTGTACACGTGTAAAACTCTTCCAATTTTAAATCAAATTCACTTAATAAATAAATACCCTGTCTTATTTAACACGTGCCAACTATGCATAGAATTAGTCAGCTTCGATAATTAAGTGAATTATTTTACTAAAAGAAGATTTCAAAATGTATCGAATTATTTATACAACCGTCAATTCAAACTGACCTACATTAATTAATTCAAGCCTAATAACTTCTTAGCTTAGAAAATTTTCTTTATTTTGAATAATATAGATTATATAAAATTAAATTTAAAATTATATAAGATTTAAGTAAAATAAATATTTCACTAATGTATTGTATATTAACAATTAATGACAAAATAGACATTTACCCCCTTATTTTAGGAATATTTATGTAAAATAATTATTTTACTAACATATTATATTGAAGTAATAATTGTACTTCTTATTTTATTTGTATTTATGCTTTTATATGTAGATATAATAATTAATTAATAAAGTTAATGATATGTTTTATAGTTATTTATTTTTTTATATTGAATAATATTTTCTCAAAAATATACTTTTTTATATTTGTGAGACAAATTATAATTTATTGATCATATTAGTTTTATGATGTTCATAATAATTAAAGTAATCAATATTTTGTTTAAAAAAATCTTTATTTTTAACATTTTAAAGCTTTGATTTTTAAATTTTATGAATATTATTTAAAATTTAGCCAATATGTTTTTGAATAAAATAACAGATATGAAGACCACTTTATTTAAATATATGAAATGTGAGTATCATTCATTAAAAACATAACAAAAGTAAATGTTTATTTAAAAATTTGAAGAGGTGTGATTCTTACCGTATTAAAATCATAAAGAAGATATATTTTAAAACTAGAAAAGCTATTAATTTCATCTAACATAATCTCATAAAGTTAAGTACAATTTCTTCTAATAACAACAAACACATAAAAGTATAAAAGAAAAACTCTTCGCAGATAAAAAAAAAAATATATATATATATATATATATATATATATATATATATATATATATATAAAAGAAATACACACAGACCATTAATAACCAATTAGTCATATACAATCCATGTCATATAATTTAGCATAGCCAAAAATTCAAACACTCATGCACAAATATCATTATGGAAAGTTTATAGTACTGCTACAACAGGGTTAAGATAAAAAGAATTGGATTTTATGAGGGTATCACATAAAAAGTAAATAAAGGTAAGCTCGATTTGATTTAGTTTAGTTTTATTCATTAGGAACTAAAAACTGAATCAAATTGAAGGAAAAAATAAAAAACTAGTTTTATTTACAAAACACACTACAAATATTAGCTAGTCTACATTGCAAGTTTGGTGAGGAGTTATGGCGTGGTGTGTCGTGTGAGAGTGATGAGGGAGAAACACAAAACAATGGGGGTGTGAAAGGGCGATAGACAACAAAATTAAGAGCAGGGTAAAGATGGATAGACAAAGGTGGTGCGAAGGAAATATGATATAAACTTTGTTGAAACTTATTTCTTGACAAAATTTATCGAAGCCTTTGGTGAGAATCAATTCAAGAAGATTTTTTTCTTGGAAAATATAAGAGGTTTTCTTGCCCGAAAGGAAAAATCGTCGTGGAAGAGACTATGGCTTCGTACGCTTCACTGGAGTCCAACTTCGTTTAAGATTATCATGTGAAGCAATTAACGGTGCATTAGATTACAACAAAACTCATATCTAGTAATTTCAGTTTGGTACAACATAGAAACTTAAAAGTGATCCAATCAATGTCTAGTTTATAAAACTAGTTGGTCAACTCATCAAGGTTGTTTCTCCTCTGCAATCCTTTCTCTAGCTCTAAGAGCAGTAAGGAATGTAATGTGTTGTGCAAGTTTTGCCAGCTGACTTACGGTGCATTTGGCTAAAATACAGTGCTAAATACAATCTCAAGCACATTATCGATTTTAAGGTGATCATTGTAGAATCACCATATAAAAATGTATAACTTAAATAGTGCAATCCATCACCCTAAGTACAAAAACAAAAGAAAATGCTTAAAAGTTGTTCCCAAAGTTATATAAATTGACCTGTTTTCCCTCTTTACTGCAGTTCTGCAGGACTTTTTGCTTGTGCAGGTTAGTCAGAACTTGTGTTTTAACATTCAATACATGCTTTGTATTAAGAGAAATTCTAAGATATCCTTCAAAATCTAAGGTTTTTCTTCTAAACTGAAAAGCTCTGCTTTAATGCGCCCAACTCATCTAAACATTTGTACCAAAACCCTTATATTCTAAACATATCCTACCAAACCCTCTTGTAATATTAAGTAGTCTGTGGTCTGCACATCAGGGACAAAAATGTTTCCATGTGGTGTTAGTCAGAGGCATGAAAAAATTAATTTGTATCGTCAGTACAGATAAGAAATTAATCAACAAGTTTTAATTGAAGGAAAATAAATTAAAAGACATATTTCTTGTTGTAGAGATTACATCAAGTAAATAATGAAAAAGGATATACAGGCTTGGCATGAACCAAATTTCATAACACGAGAAAAAGGAAACAAAACCTAACCTGGAGGTTACAAGTGGCGAATTTGACATTAATTACTCCCCAATGATGTCTACATGATCTACTTTCTTTTGTGGAAACAATGACCTAAAATGTTGCATACGATTAACATAAGAAGTTTCCCAAGAACGAGATTCAGCATTGCAGTATCTCGACCACTGCAAAGCAGTGGGAGGTAATGCAGACTCAGCCTTTAAAACAACCTGTATGTTAGTCAAGATAAAACAAAGTCAGTAACTTCTATGAAATTAAAGATTTAACTTCAAACAAAATGCATCACATCATACCTGTACAAAGTGACAATCATGCACCAACCCAATAGTAATAAGCCGGTGACTTGACTGAGATAATGGTGGCCGTCCTCTAAGAGGGAAAAATGTCATGCACTCCTTCAAGGATAAGGAGACTAGAACCACATTATATCTCGAGGCGATTACATATCCCATATCCGGTATGGTCATCCACTTTTTAATAGATGCCTGCTTGTCAACATACAAAGATTGCCTCAGTTCAGCCACTCGATCATTGCTACCAAAGAGTTTGGCATAACTATCTTGCCACTGTTGAAGCTCTCTAATCAAATCCTGACGAACTAGAGCCCATGATTCCTCACCCATACCAAGTTGAGCTGCAACTGCACGATAACCACAATTGGAATCTGCTTTCACGTCAATAATATCTTCAATAAATGGATGGATCTGAATCGGAAATTGGTCCATCATTGGCAGAACTCTTCTGCGTTTAGAATCATGGACTGGTTTATGAGATGAAGAGCGAGATGAAGTGCCACTACGGGTAGAACACATAGCATCAACATGCTCCCGATATGAAGGATCACAATGAATTGATCTGTCTCTTTTTGACCTGGGAGCACCCTTTATCACCGCTATGGGAAGTGAACACTTTGAAGTTGTTTCAGGAAATGCTAGTTCGTGCAATTTAGCCTTTAGAATAATTTTCCCAGCATAATCAAGTTCCTGAAATCTCTTGAGCAAAGCATCCAATTCAGGTTCCAATGATAACTCAAACCCCGTGTCATTCACTCCTCTGTCAATAAAGTTTAACTTCCTCCAATGAACATGAATTGCCTCCAAGGGAATTGGATGGCACATTGTACTGTACCTAGCAAGTTCACATGCACAAGGAAGACCATGTGTAGTTCTAACTATGCAACAACATTTAGAACTATCGATACCAACAATCTTGACTCGGTCATACTCATCAGTTATATGAATCAATGCACTCCTTGATACACATCCTAGCAGTTTGATGTATAATGAAGTATTATGCATATGATCGACTACATTTATGCTTTTCTCAAATGATGTCTTAATCTCTGTGTGTTGCAATATAATCATGTTATTCATAGCATCCCAATAACTACACATATCTTTCTTGCTATCTTGAAGCAAATTCTTCAACTTCCAATTTGTTGCCTCAACCCTGTCAAGCATTATAATAATAATGTTGGCATAACAACAAGAATAATAATTAAATTACTAATTATTATAAATAATATATTTTTCATGATAAATTATTAAAATATATGTTTAGGCATACCTATTGGTTGTTGTGTTACCCAAATGCATCACCTGATTTGTCCATGCGGTGACAAACTTTTCCTTGTGTGGAATCAGCCATGTATTTTTCACATAATCACCAAAACTAGGAAAACTTGAGCAAACTTTTTCAAATAATGTCAGACGCTGCATATATTCACCCTCATTAGGAGAATTCACAACAACATCCCATGCATCCATCACCAAGTCTTGTTTCTCCTTTGGATGAACTATCGATATGCACTTGGTCTTCACATTCTTGTCGATATGAGACCGACATAACAAATTAACAGCGCTCGGAAAGACAACTTGCACTGCATTCATCAAAGAAATGTCTCTGTCAGTCACAATCACTTGGGGTATGTCTTCATCTTTAACAATTAATCCTCTTAACTTCTGTAGTGCCCAAGTGAAGTTGTCAGCTCGCTCAGACTCCACAAAAGCAAATGCCACAGAGAATGTTAACTCTGTTGAAGTAACACCAACAATCTCAAGCAGTGGCAATGGATACCTATTGGTTGTATAAGTACTATCAATTATCAATACAGTGTTGAAAGCACCCAGAAGTTTAATGGCGTCTGGATGTGTCCAGAATATATCTCTGATAACATTGGAATCATCCACCTTTCTATGCCAGTACACATACCGCTCGTGTTCCAATAATTTCAATAGGTATTGCATTTCTAAACCTTTTTGAGAGGAACGATAAGCCTGCCGAGCATTGTAAATCTGCTTGATAGTAGTGACATTATCCATGTTATGATCTTTCAATGTCAATAGTATGTCTTTAGGCTTCATCATGTTCTTTGTCATATCATCAACCAAAGACTTCTCTTCAGCACTCAACCGGCCGGCATATGGATGACCGACTAATGTTTCTTCTAAGTCATGGTTGTGACAACCACACATTACCTTAACAATCCATCCTTCAGCCTTTTTCAAAGCTTTTCCCCTCAACCTGAAGGGACATTCACATTTTCTAGTACCGTTTACCTTTCGGGATAATGCATTCTTGTATGGTCCTCTATATTTTCCACTTCTATCGCAACCCAAAATTACAAATGTCTTCCTTTGATTGCGTCTTGTAGATCTTGCAGATCTAGTAGGTTTTGTAGATGTCTCTGATCTCAAAATAATAAGGACAAATCCATTCTCTTTTGCAACATCTCGAGCCCAATTTAACATCGCATCTCGAGAAGGAAAAACCTGAAAATATATATAAAAATTGAGATTTTCATGGTTGCAAGACGATAATTTAACAATATTAATTTATAGTTCAATTACCTCTGTAGTGTTGAATGCATCACTACAATCAACAGACTTAATTACTTCCCCATCAATTGGCAGAGTCACCTCCTTAGACATCTCACCAGCATGGTCTTCCATGTCTAGGCACAAATAAAGAAATTTTTAACATTTTGGAAAATTATAGCAAAGTTGTTCTAGAAATTTGTCGTTGAAACTGTTAACATGAACAAAAAAGAATGAGCAGATTTAGGGTCTACTTGGAAACTAGCCCATCCCATGCAGCCCCCACCATAAAAAAAATGCAAATTTAGCACTTATACTAAACGACAAAAAGGGGAAGAGAGAAAGAATTTGATTCCTACCAACATTAAAAAGAATAAGCAGATGACAATTAACCAAACAAATTAATTTGTCCTAAACTAGAATGTGAGATAAAATTGTCTTGAGAAAGCAATGTTCACTATGTAAAACTGATAAATTTGTCTCGAAAGAGAAGCTTAAAAATGTGGACTTAAACTAACAGTCACAAAAGTGGTAGCAAGCTTCCTATGATTAATAATACAATTACAAAATATGGAATTTACCTGCATGCCAAATTTAACAAGATTGGAAATAGAAGTTAAGAAATACACCAACCAACAGAGGAATAAATACAACCTGCAGAGAGAGAATGAAAACACAATTGAAAAGAACGTCACAATAAATCAGGGACAGACAGCATTTACAAAAAAATAATTATTTTACGTTGATGATATCAATAAGTCAATTACATCCACAGCAAATTGAGATGTTGAAAAGAGAGTCAAGATCCAGAGTGTTCATTTTTCAGCTAGTAAATGTGAGAAGAGTTTACGTTTTATGAAAAGTTCTATTCAAACATAAACATAATAACTTCTTAGTAACTATTCATTCACAAAATATAACAACTCAGCCTCCCTCTCGAGTCTCTCCCATCTTCCTCTTCAAGAAACTAAATAACTAAACATGGTGGAATTTAACAGAGGTCACACTTCAGTACACATCATGCATGGAAACCTTTTACACTGAGGCAAGTCATAGTCTGTGGGATCCCAACTCCAATACAGAAACTATGTTAGACATCCATTTAAGAAGTAAATTTGATTAGCTCCAATAAGGTTTCAACAAAATATTAGTATAGAATCCATAGATAGGACACATTGGCTTAGGCACCTAATTCCTACAAAAATAATCACATTTCTCAGCGTTTAAATAAATTCGAGCTGGAACCATGCATCCACATTTCTAAACTATGACCAAATTAAAGTCTGTTTGGAAAAGCTTATTTAAAGTTTATTTGGGCTTATCTTCACTTCTGTAGTTGTTTGGAAAAACTTATGAAAATAGCTTATGATATGTCCATAAGCTGTTTTCAACTTATTTTAATAAGCTTTCAAGGATAACTAGTATAAGCAATTTATATTTCAAGTGAAAATAGTTCAAACTGATTAATTCAATTATAAAAATAAGCTAAATCTAAGTGCTTATTATGACTACTTCATACATATTTAATAAATGCTTAATTAAGTTATTTATCTAAATCCACCTTTAGTCATGTAACAGACATAAGTATTCAGTTTATATAGTACAACCTATGACCAGAAAACAATAATCATTCTATCAACTGAGCTACAACAAGAAAAACAGGTAAATAATTGATCAAGCATAGAACCCAATTATAGATTGGATATCTTTGCAGTAACAAGGGTTTTCACAATTATATTTCTTGCCTGTATGACTTAAATATAGAAAGACACCAAGCTACTAGATTGAATTGAAATAAGTTCTCTCTCTCTCTCTCTCTCTCCCCTCTACTTATTTTCCACAGTTATGGAGAAGAAAGAAATTAAGATATCCAGGTAAGCGTGTTCTCTATTCTGTGGTACTTAATTGTTTTAAAAAGAGGTAAAATGTTCACTAATGAATCACCATTTCAAATTATAACGGAACAAGACTTTCCAAGAGCATGTAATACTTTATTAAATCTGCTGTTCAATTAAGTGGTATAACAGGGATACGGCAGGGCAAGGCAAGGCCAGATCAGCATGTATCTCATTGATAATGGAATCATTCTCTTGACAGCTAAATATGACCACCAGTTAACTGTAATTAACGAAAGCTAGTAATGTTAAAAACATATGCTAGATTAGAGGGACAGCTAGGAAATATTGCAAATTAGAGATTTTATTTAGGGGCTTTCTTCACAGAAGAAAGATACGTGCAGTAATTTTTGGTTCAAAACGGACTTGTCAAAGAACAAATAGACAAGCCATTGGTGGTGAACAGCCCACTGAACCTGAAGTTGTTGCCCTGCTGTTGTTATGTTCCCCTTAACTGATTCATCTCTCCCTCCACATACATACACCCTCCACACTCCTACAGCCGTTACTGTTCCAGTTAGTTCCATTGTAGGTCATATATCAATTCTTATAATACCCCATTGGCCATTTTCCCTCTTAATTATGAAATCCCTCTCTTTTCATTCCCTATTGCAGCAGAACCTAGTTATAGGTATAGCTTGCTTCCATTATTTTAATCACTTACTGATCTAAATTCCAATGAAAGAAACATGTAAGACTGTATCACAGGCTCTGGTGATGGTGTTCATACTAAGGTCAAATAAATATGTTTTGGATCATTCACAGGCACTGGTGATAGTGTTCATACTAAGGTCTCAAAAACAAGTGTCAAGGCCTAAATTGTCCCTGATATAGCTCTCCAAACACCTTCTGTTATTACCATGCATAAGTATAAACATTATATTTGTCAACGATTACACAATCCAATCTTAATTTTTACATCACACATTTTTTGGGCCTTTTCCTTTGCTATCTCTCTCTCCTTTTCGACTTCATTCAACATCATAAAATACAATTGGCAGAGCTTTAGAACACCCAAATCAAAGTTTAAATTTATTAATTTCAGGTTTCATTATAGCATCAAGAAAAGAACTGGCATCAATGCATTTTATACTTAATGCCAACGATCCAATCAAATAATTGGTCGGTGTACAGATTATAAAACCTCCATGCTTTTAGACAAATTAAAATTGACACAAAAAATGTCTAATTCATAAAAAACTACTTGGTCGTCTCATCAGGGTATCTCTCTGCAAATCCCTTCTATCGCTCAAAGGGAAGTAAGGCATGTAATGTTTGTGCAAGTGTTCTGCTAGTTAAATATAGTGCATTTGGCTAAGATAAAGTTTTATGTTCAATCTCAAGCACATTATCAATTTTAAGGTGTTCATTCCAGATAGGAACACCGGAAGGAAAATTAACAACTTTAATGGAAGTGATTGTGTAAAAAGTTTATTCTCAAGTAATATCAATTGACCCACTTTAATAACTTGTATCAATTGTAAGCACAGATAACAAATCACTAATCAAGTTTAAATTGGAGGAAAACAGCAGGGACAAAATTCTTGCATGGATTGCATGAAGTGAACAATGGGGGGAAGACAGTCACACGGGCTTGGCAACCGAATTCGATTAGACGAGAGAGGAAGGTAAACCTGGTCTGGAGAGAACAAGTAGCAAATTTGACACCAATGTAGAAAAGCTTCAAGTAGCACAACTCATTGCCAGTGAATGGGGACAGATGATTCTGCTTATCACTTGGAGACTGAATTGCGAAGAAACGCTCTGGAATGATGTTAGAAATCCGCAAATTGACGTTAGGTATTGTCAAAGTACAGGGTTCTTGGGTGTGATGTTTGATTCCAGAATTTGGGGATTTTAGGGTTCTTCGGCTTTCAGGGGTGGCAATTGGTAATTGTGAAAATGGGTCGCATGAAAATTGCATCCCATTTTATTTATGGGCAGGCCCGTGATATCTATTACATCCTCCTTTTTTTCCTCTTTCCAACCCCACTTTTCTTTATTTTTTGTGAAACTAATTTTGGTGCACATTTTTTTATATAGAAAATTATTTTTGTGTTCATATATTATAATTATAATTATTTTTATAACTAAAATAATTATTATTTATATATTTATTATTATTATCATAATAATAATAATAATAATTATTATTATTATTATTATTATTAAATATGATAATCAATTCACACGTTTAATAATAAAGAGAATCAATTATAAATAATAATCAATTTTCACTATTAAAAATTTATAATTGTATAAAATTATAAGAAATGACATGTTTTTCTTTTCTCATCTATTTACCTATACGAAGAAACTCCCTTCAATCTCTCCTTTAAATCCACTTAAACATAATTTTGTTAGAATCATTCAAAATAAACATAAGATAAGAGTTTTTTTTTTTTTTTAGATAAAGATATATATAACAACATATTTTACCATTTCAAACTAAATGAAAAGAAGTTTGTCTCTTTAAGTATTATTGAAATCACTATCCTCGACAAGACAAAGAAAAAATATACAAACAATTCAAAGCGACAGGATCAAGTGAAGGTCGGAGGAAACTTAATTTTTAACAGTGGATTGAGAGTAGCAATAACTTAGTCAAGCAAATACTTGGTTGACGGTGGAAAATTTGGTTTATAAATGTTCAAACTGTAGAATTTTAAAGATAAATATAAATCTTTTTTCTTGAATTATGAAATTCGTAGACGTGCTTTCCTTTTCAACTTTTTTTTTTATAAATAATATAATTTTAAAATATATTTTCCAAAATAGCATCTCCGATACATTATTTATCTCGATTATTTTATATTATGATCTATTATTTCAGCACAAGATCAACTCTCACTTAAGCGAGAAATCTATTGCTTAAGTGAGAAGACTTGTAATTAATGGGTATTGTCAAATTCTATTTTGCTCAAGCGACGGAATTCTCGCTCGAGCGAGAAAAGATTGAAATATATGGTGATCTAAGTTACATTATGTGGTTAACTGCGTTGGACTTTTAGTCTGTGGTTAACTGCGTTGGACTTTTAGTCTGTGGTCAACTCTCGCTCAAGCGAGAAATCCATCACTTGAGCGAGGAGACCTACAACTATTTATAATCGATTATAAGTTAAACTAATCGATTATAATTTTAAAATAATCGATTATTTTAAATTATGATCAATTTACATAAATAACCATTTTTTTAAATTTTTTTCCAAAACAACACCTCTTAATATAATTTCTAACGTACATAAGTTAGAAATTTAATGTTAAGTCACCCACCCAAGTTAGGATTCTCGTGAGAAAGTCAGGAGTCCAATGCTGAGTCATTCACCCAAGTCAGGATTCCAATCTTGGATTCCCTACATTGGGTTATGCAAAAGCAGAAGAATCCAAACACATTTTAAGAGATGCTGACCCACACACTTTGCTTGAGTTTTGTGTGCGTCAAAAGCCATGTGAGGGAACCTTGAATTCAAACATTGGACTTCATTATAAATATACTACTTTCATTCTTTAAAGTTATCACATTGCACATTCCTAAATCTCTGAAACTCTTTGCATTCTTTCTTCTTCTTGCCTTTAGTCTTCTTTTTGTTTCATACTCCTAAAATGGGTGTAGTGTCTACTATTGTCCACTATAATGCTTCCATGAACCCATGTCCCATGGAGGAAGTTACCTTCAATACTGGGACTGCAAAACTTGTTCCTTTAAATAGAGGAATTTCTCTACAAAGGTTAAAGAAGTTGATCCACAGGAAATTGGAGAAAGAACCTCGCGGAAATGTAGCAACCATCCATTTTCGCTGCCCAACTAAACTCGGAGTTGAGATCAACAACTTCATTGTTATTGAGTTGAAAGATGATGACGACGTGGAGATCATGTTCGATGTTCATGATTCAAACTCAAGTCTATGTGGTATTGAAATTTTTGTTACATTTAAAACTTCTTCTTCTTCATACTCCAACACACACTCACCTGAAATCTCACCCTCACCCTACCAAGTTTTCCCAAACACTGATCCAGAAATACCCACACATAATGACTACATTCCTTTTACCCAACTTCTAACTGGACTTTTCACCAACATCAACGAAGAACTACCCACACAAGAGAACGAAATTGTTAGTCTCCCAATTGAAGTCGTTGATCCTTTTAGTGAGGACGAAGACGAAGATGAAATTCTCAGTCAACAACAAGATGATTCAGATGACAAACAACCACATATCCTTACACATACACCAAACTTCATGGAACCGTACAACCCACCACAACATTTTCTTAACTTTGAAAGTCACATTCAACAACAAGACCCAGAGTATGGTCATACGTTGGACAAAGAGTCTTTTGTTTCTCCGGCAGGAACTCTATTTCTTGGACAACGTTTAATAACAAAAGAACAAGTTCAAGATGTCATCAACCGCTTTCACATTGTCAATCATTGCACATACAAGGTGAAAAATTCAAACCAAAGTATATATGTTGTTGAATGTGTTGATAACCAATGCAATTGGAGATGTCGAGCAATATTGTGCACAAGAGAGCAATATTGGGAGATTATGAAGCTCATACATGCGTTTCGCCATTAATCAGCCAAGACCACAAAAATTTGGGATATAAAATGATTTCTCAAACAATTGGTCAAATAATTGATGTTGATTCTTCAACACCAATCTCCACAATCATAACTTACATCCAATTAACAACGGGTTACATTATAACGTACAGGAAGGCCTGACTGGCCAAACAAAAGGTAGTGGAGACCATCTACGGCAATTGGGAGGATTCGTATAAGAAGTTGTCTTGTTTGTTACAAGCCATGCGACAATTTGTTCCCGGATTCATCTACAAACTGCAGTCATAACCAGCTTATCAAGGTGAAGTCCTTCAACAAAATTCAATTTTTAAGTGTGTGTTTTGGACGTTTAGGTCATGCATAGATGAATTTGTTCACTGCAAACCTATTATTCAAGTGGACGGAACTTTTCTATATGAAAAATATAGAGGTATCTTGTTGGTTGCAGTTGCATAAGATGGCCGCAACAACATCCTCCTCATTGCGTTTGCAGTGTCGAAGGTGAAACAAGTTATGCTTGGTTTTTTTTCTTAAAAAACCTCCAAAGATATGTCACACCCCAATAAGGATTATGCCTCATATCAGACCGACATGAATATATTAGAAGTGCATACATGAGAAATGAAAGTGGATGGACAGAAAATAATTCAGTGCATGTCTACTGCATTAGACACATTGCACAAAATTTTATGAGACGTTTCAAAAACACCACACTAAGGAAATATATTGTAAATATGGGTAATTCTTTTGCTTCAAATTTGTTACAATTTAATATTTATAGTAACTATGTTTTTTTTAATATTGTTGTAGCATATGGGATGAGTGAACCACGATCTACTATTATTACAACATTTTGAGACATTGTGACATAAAAGCATCTAATTGGTTGGATGAGATACCTAGAAAAAATAGGCACTTGTATGGGACAATGGACGGCGTTAGAGCCACATGACGACCAACATAGCAGAGTCTATCAACTCTGTTTTGAAAAAACAAAAAATCAACCTATTTGTTTCATGATCAATGCAACGTACACCCACTGCAACAAAATTTTCATTGGAAGAGGGAGGCAGATAAATGTCATGATCAATGCTGGTCATGTATACTCTGAAATTTTGGTCACAAATTTAGAGAAAACACAAACATAGACAAACATGCATAGGGTCATAACTTTTGACAGATCTACCACAAATTTTATAGTAGAAGAAGCACAAAACTCGCGTGAAGTTCGACTAGTAGGAAAGTTTGCAGTTCGCCTTAATGAGTTGTGGTGTGACCGTGAAAAATTTCAGAAATTTCACATGTCTTGTTCACATGTTCTTGCTGCATGCAAGCATGCACACCATAACTTCAACAACTACATTCATCTAGTATATATCTTACAACAAGTTTCAAAGGTATACGAAATATAATTTGGGTTGTTGTGAAATGAAGAATATTGACCAAGATACACGAGATCTACTTTGTGTGTAAATCTAGAAATGAAAAAAATCTTTAAAATAATGAAGAAAATTAAATTATATAAGAATTAAGATGGATATTATAATGATTAAATTCTGTAATATAATATCACAAATAAATATATTTGTGATATTACTAAATATTTGTTATATCTATTGAATATTTGTTATATCTATTTAATGAAAGATAAACATAGAAACGAAAGAATAAAAATAAAACAAAGTTGAGCATTAAATTGATGAAAAAAATAGGTTGTTAAACCATGTCCAACAACTCCACTACATCGTAAATGGTCATGGTCTTGTCAGTAGTTTCCGGGAGACATTGGAAACTGTGAGGAAACTGGAGTACAAGAAAATTTTAGAAAGCGGCTTTTGTAACAACAAACGTGAATTTGTTGTTTTCTGTTTATGAAGTCCACGTCCATATTCCACACCCATTGAATAATTCAAAATTAAATATCCAAATCAACGATGACCAGTACCTACTCTCTCCTTCAAGCTCACCAATAAACAATTATTCTGAAAACAAACACGCCCCTAATATGCTTCTACCGACCTCACTTGTTTTAATCAATGTTTTAAAATTCTGATGGCCACAATAAAAAATTTAAGTAAGTTCCAATCAAATAATATATTTTAATAATACTATGATTTTAATAAAACGTGTATTAACCTTTAAAATTAGAAATATCAAGTGCGTACAAGTTTTTCTTATTTCGAACACTTTATAGTTCACTTTTATTATTAATTTTTGGAAATTTAATATAAAGCATGAATTAGATATTTAAATAAAATTATCAAATATGTTAAAATTTAAAAGCTTAATTATGTTGTTTTCCTGAAAAATGAAATAAATTTGATTTTAGTCAATGGTTTGTTTTATTTTTAAATTAAAAAATATATAATTATAGTTGTTAGACAAATAACATCTAGAAGGGGTGAATAGATGCACAAATTAAAATAGATACCAAATAAAAAATTTATTTTAAGATGTCCAATATTTATTAATTTAATTTTAATTATCAAATTGAAAAAAGATAAAACGAAGCGATATAATCATAGAGATAAAATATCAACAAAATAGAGATAAAAATAAGGGGTGTAAGTAAAGTAATGCGATAAAAAAAATAAGAGAAAGAGAAGATCACAAAGTGATTTATACTGGTTCGGGTATAGTCAACCCTACATCCAGTTTCCAGTCAACTCTTAACATAAGAGTGACCCAAATTCACTATCTTTTAAATTTAATTCACAAATTATAATAAACTCAGCAAAAAGTAAACTAATTTAAAAGACAATTACCTCCTTAGAAACCCATTAAGGATGAACACATTTCTAGAATCTCACAGGGATGAACATCTCCTTTGAACAAATCAAATGATAAACACACCTTCTTAAAATCTCACAAAGGATAAACACCTCTCTGCCACCAATACACAAAGGATGAACACCTTCCTGAAATCATACTAGGGATGGACATCTCCTCTAAATAAATCAAAGGATGAATAACACAGTTGATTAACTTAAACCTCTTAAACCTATAAAGGATGAAAGAAGAAGATAAGAACAATCATCTACAAATGATAAAGGTAATAAAAATAAGAACAGTCACACCTGGGTAATGGAGATAACAAATTGTAGAAGTCTGAACGTCAACCTCCAAAAACAAGTATTTTTATCTCTTGAATAGTCCTTAAAAATTTGATATGTGCCTATTAATCTCCAAGAACAAATTGCTTTCAATAGTCCTTGAAAATTAAATTTGAAAACTTACAAAAAATTAATTTTAAATCTTCAATTTTAACTACATTTTATCTCTTGAATTTGGTATGTGCCGATTATTATTTTTTTCTATTTTTGGAGATTATCTTAAAAAAAAACAGAGATCAAACCATAATTATTTCACATCTCAAGAAAAAAAAATCAAACCAAATTTATATTAATCATATTTTGTTTTAATAGGTAGTATTATAAAATAAAATAAAAATTATGATGATAATAATAATTTGTTAAAATTGGAGTGAATCAATAGTAGTATTATCTTATTTAATCAAAATTATGATAAATTTTCTTCATATTAATTTAAAATTTGTCTATTCATAGCAAGTGTGTAATGTTTTCCTATAGATTATTGTGCAGTGTTTATTAATTTATGATTAATGGGGTGACTAACTTCTCTTCCACCTACCAAAGTCGTATAAAAAGTCACTATGAAAGTCGCATTCCACTATTTTTTTAAATTCTATTCGAAATAAATAAATAATTATCTTATCACATTCACAACAACCAGGAATTTGTCCAATCTTTACATTTGCTGAGTCAACCGGTCAACTTGGAAAGTCATGTCGTGAGTATTTGCGTTAAAAAATACATGCTAATTTAGTTTTCAAATAAAATCATTCTCACTAAATTTTAATACGTTTTTAAAAAGGTATTTTTGTGTGTTTTAACATATTTAATATTTTAAATACGTTAATTTAGTTTATTATATTTATTATATTGTTAATTTTCATCCATATTTCTCACTTTTTCTTGTTCATCATATTGATAGAGGGTTCTTCTCTATTTCACAGCTATAAATATTGGTTGAAAATAAGAAAGTAAGTTAGCTCTTTAAAAATTTTCAATCTCACCAATGTGAAAAAAAAATCATAAAGAAATTCAAGGCTGTTTGAATGAATTTATCCAATTTTAAGGGAGAAAAGTAAAAAAAAAAACTTGAGAATTAATTTTTATAAACTATCTCATATATAGCTCTTTTATTTTATTTTTTAAATTCTATAAGTTACTTTAGTTCCTAGAAAAATTATTTAATTGTCTTCTTCTTAATTTTCTTCCCCAACATGTTTTATAAAATAATTAAAAATAAAAAATGAATTTTAAGTAAACTATTTTTAATATTCTAATAAAATTTCAAGTTACGTGAGATTAAAATATAATAAAATTTATAAAATTATATAATACTTCATCGCTAACACAAAATATGTAAAGTTATAGTGGTATGAGTAATTTGAAATATAATAGAATTCAGGGGAATTTCTTATAACAGCCTTAAGGTGACTATAATTTATTAGATCAACCAATCCAAATCAAATTATATAGTGTACGATAATATTTTATGAAATCGTTTCAAACTGTGTTTTTTTTTCTTTATAAAAAGTTTTAATTCAAACATTTTAATCAAAATAATATATTTGTTTGACTCCATATATGTCTATAATAAAAGAAAAGTTTGGTTGAAACATAATATTGGTTAGATTTAGAAGTGAAAAGCATATGAAATTGCCTGGCATGTCATGTGCTTTGGTTCGAGTCCTACTATATATAGCTCGTAAATTATTAAAAATAATGAGAATGATAAATAATATAGGAAATTTATATAAAATCTAGATACATGGTAAAGAGATATGCATCCATATGCGTATGTATGAATGGTCCCGAAAAGTAGATAAGTATAGAAATTATCTTAAAAGAGAAATGTTTCTCTTTAAAAATTAAAGTGTGTTGACCTCATGTACGATCCCATGTTGAGTATGATAATATGGATAGACTAATTTTCATGTCTAGTTCATTTTATAAATCCAATCTCTTAGTAACATAAGAAAAGGGTGTAGATAAATTAGTTTTACCCTCTAATATTTAAGAAGTCGCTAGCAATAACCAAATTAAAAAGCTTTACAAGTAAAAACTGTTTGTAAAAATGATTTAAAAATGTGAGTAGTGCATAACAGAAATCCCAATATTTAAAGTAAAGATTTGATTAATGCAGAGTTTACTTAGCGAAAGAAAGAAGAAGATGAATTTGAAAAACTAGCAATAATTTGATAAAGACAGGGACCGTGTCTGGACAGACATTATCAAAGGCATGCGGAGTGTGGGGGTATGCATTCCATTATATATACAAGTGTTGTTGGTCCACTCTCCTCCACATTGAACAACCATAACCATTCGACAACCTTTTACCATAATGGACACATCTCTGGTGTTTTCAGTGCGGAGGCGCGAGGCAGAGCTGATAGCTCCGGCGCAGGCGACTCCTCGCGAAGTGAAGCTACTGTCAGACATAGATGACCAAGATGGGTTAAGGTTTCAGATTCCGGTGATCCAGTTCTACCGGTATGATCCATCGCAAGCGGGGAGAGACCCTGTTGGGGCTATCAGAGAGGCTTTGGCCAAAACGCTTGTGTTTTACTATCCCTTTGCAGGTAGGCTGAGGGAAGGGCCTGGTCGGAAACTCGTGGTGGATTGCACAGGGGAAGGTGTTCTTTTCATTGAAGCTGATGCAGATGTCACGCTCAAGCAGTTCGGTCACTCTCTTCAACCTCCTTTCCCCTGCTGGGAGAATCTTCTTTACGATGTTCCTGCCTCTCAAGGAGTTCTTCACACTCCCCTCCTCCTCGTACAGGTATATTCTATTCATTCTCTCATGCTTCAACTCTCTTTTTTTGGATTTTTTACCCAACATTTCAAACACATTCGAATAAGGAAAATACTCAATCCAATAAACTTTATTAACAAAAATTCAGTGACACTATCACTTGGAGAGAGGAGAAAATGACAAATAATTTACCACATAGTTAATAAAGTCGGATAAAAAAAAGAGACAAAACAGACAAATGTTGACACATAGTTAATAAAGTCAGGAAAAAAAGTTAAATGATTAAACGGTAAAATGTTATTAAAATTTGAGTGTGAAAGGAGCTGTGTTGTGGGTGCGTGCAGGTGACGCGGCTGAAGTGTGGGGGTTTCATATTTGCACTTCGTCTGAACCACACGATGAGCGACGCAGCGGGTCTGGTCCAGTTCATGAATGCGGTGGGCGAGATAGCCCGAGGGAGGAAGGAGCCGTCAGTCCCGCCGGTGTGGCGGAGAGAGCTTCTCAACGCGCGGGACCCACCACGAGTCACGTGCACCCACCGAGAGTATGATGACGTCCCCGACACCAAAGGGACCATCATCCCCTTGGACGACATGGCGCACCGCTCCTTCTTCTTCGGCCCCACCGAGTTCTCGGCCATCCGCCGCCTTCTCCCCCCTCACCAAAAAAAATGCTCCAACTTCGAAGTCCTTACCGCATGCCTCTGGCGCTGCCGCACCCTGGCGCTGCAACCCGACAGAGACGAGGAGGTTCGCATTATCTGCATAGTGAACGCACGCGCCAAGTTCAACCCTCCTCTACCAGAAGGATACTACGGCAACGCTTTTGCGTTTTCCGTGGCGGTTACAACTGCGGGGAAGTTATGCGAGAATCCATTGGGATATGGTTTGGAGTTGGTGAGGAAGGCGAAGGCTGATGTGAACGAGGAGTACATGCACTCGGTGGCAGATTTGATGGTTACGAAAGGACGCCCTCACTTCACGGTGGTGAGGTCGTATCTGGTGTCGGATGTTACACGTGCGGGGTTCGGTGACGTTGACTTTGGGTGGGGGAAAGCTTTTTATGGGGGACCGGCGAAGGGAGGTGTTGGAGCCATTCCTGGTGTGGCAAGCTTTTACATACCCTTCACTGATGTTAATGGAGAAGAAGGGTTGGTTATGCCCGTTTGTTTACCCTCTGAGGCCATGCAGAGGTTTCGGATGGAGTTGGACTCTGTCCTTAACAACCAAACCCAGCCTACTTCAAACTCCAAGTTCATTGTTTCTTCCTTATAGTCTATCTATTCATACTTTTCCCTCCTACCAATTATCAAGTTCCGTTGCTCAATAAATCTTGTTCGTGTTCAAACTTTTATCTATTGCAGCCTTCTCTCTAAAACAATATCCACACATTGCTCTCTTCTTCTCTCTCACTTTTGCCATAAATAGTTTTACTGGTTACTTTCATAAGGTTCCACAAGAACCCAAGTGTAAAATTATATTTTGGTAGATAGTTTTAGATTTTTATATGTAAAGGTACTAAATTATTTAGTTTTATTAAAACCTTTTAAAGGCTGAAGTCTAATCTATTATATTTTCTTTTAGTTTTTACCTTTCTAATTTCACACTTTCTAAACAAATTCGATCTTCAATATTAGATCTATGAAGATAACTTAATCTTATTGTTCGTTGTTTCTTTCTTTGTGAACAAGATGAACCCATTGACTAAAGACTTATCCGCACCAACTTTCCATGTGCTTTCTCAAGTAAGTGGAACTAAAAGTTGAGATGGACCACACAAATACTTTACATTTTTAATTTGAGTTTTTTTTTTTCCGGAAATGTGCCCCAAGGTCATTTATTGGAATTCTCCCATATTACTCCGACTTTAGCTAGAAGTTGATGCAATTAATTTAAAACACACTATTAATATCTAAATACTTTGTAGCCTCTTCGTTACGACGATATGATTTAGAATTATCAATGAAATAAGCATGTATTTTTAACATTATTTGAACTTGGTAATTAATTATTTTATATTCTATATAATGATGTTTCTTGAGACATAGTTAACTTCCATTTCAATTTATAAAATAGAATGTTAAGTAAAACAATTTAAAGTATAAACTTAAACTAATGAGAATTGGATCCATACCATGAAGTTTTATTCCTATCAAAAGCAAAACGCCATATTACATAAATAACATTACTATAACATTAAGTTACAAGACAAATTTTGATATAAATAACATTTTTATTTGTAAGCGTACAAAAGGTATTTTTGTAGTAAATTCCTAATGAATCCAAATGGGTTAATACAAGAATTAACTAAATTAAACAAATTAAATATGGAATTAAAAACAATACATCTTCAATTATTTATAAACAAAATTAATGTTTTCTGAAATTTATTATTTTTGCAACATGATTATCAAATAATTTTGCAACAGTGGATGCTTAAACAATATATATCTAATGACAATTTGTTCCTCCTTACTTGTTTCTAAAATTTTACATAGAAATAAAGGTAGCATTTATTTATTTATATTATATTATATTTTTAAGAGAAATGCATTTAAGAATTTATTTAAGTATTTCTATCTATTTAATTTTGACGTGTAATATAATAGAATATAACACAAACCATGTTATTAGACTAGAAATAAAATAAGATAAAAAAGCGAAGGGGAAAGGAACACGTGAGCAGTTTGTGGAAGGGCTAAATGCAGCCACGGCAGGGCACAAAATCGTAGGAGCCAATGAGAGGAGGAGAGGGGATCTTAGAATTTGTACTCATTCTATCTTTCTTCCCTCACTCTTCCTTTTCACTCACCAATTCCTTTCTTCTGTCACATAAATAAATGAAAATTAAAACAAATCTACGCCTCAAATGCAGTTCGCGGTTCAAATTATCCACCATGGCATCTTATTATTCTTGCCGCTTCTCCAACAAAAATCTACGCTTATCACTAATCATTCCTCAATCACTCAACTTAGTTGTAATACCATGCTTCTCTGAATTCCAGTAATGGAAACAGCGCTCACTTGCTTCTTCTGTGGCAGAGTCCCACACAGACCCAAATTCGCCTCTGCTGCGACTGCAAGTGAGCACTTCCCTTCTAACAATGCCTCCCCACACCTCCGTTTTTCCTTCCCCCCTTCGTTTCGACCATTTCGCCTCATTCCAAACGCCGCTAACACCACCGAACCTAAGGTCTCCACCAACGCCAAAAGTAGAAGAAGGAGAAGAAGAAGTTCTGAGACTATGGGGGTGGTTGTGGAGGAGGCTGTTGGTGTCCATCAGAACGGAGACCCAATTGGGAAGAAGGATCTCGGCAAGAGTGTCATGAGGTGGATTCGTGACAGCATGAGGGCCATGGCGTCCGATTTAGCTGCCGCCGAGATGCAGGGAGAGATGGACTTGTGGGAGCGCATGGGACCCGGTCTCACCTTTATTATGCAGGCGCAGCCCTATCTGAATGCGGTTCCTATGCCCATTGGCCTTGAAGGTGTTTGCTTGAAGGCCTGCACGCACTACTCCACTCTTTTCGACCATTTTCAGAGGGAGCTTCGCGCTGTTCTCCAAGACATGCAGAACGACAAGTACATTCAGGACTGGAGGGACACCAAGTCTTGGAAACTGCTTAAGCAGCTCGCCAATTCAGGTTTCTCCTCATTTCTCCCGATGCCATCATTTTCTAATCAAAATTAAATTACTATATAATGTATTCGGTGCTCCCACGGGCTCTGCCAACTGTGTTGAGAAAATCTATTTAAATTTCCCATGTGATTTCGAGATGTAATAAGTTGACAAGCGAAAGCTTGCAATTGTTGCTACAATTTTATGAACCGGGTGACAGTTGCAATTGTGATAAACAATTAAAAAGTTGCTTATTCAGAGACTCTCTAGAAGTCATTCACTAAACTGTAAATGGAGGTTTATGGGATGTGAAGATCTTCAACCTGAAGGGGGTTTACTCTTTGAGTGAGAGGGGGTCATGTAATGGAGATGATTCTTTTGTTGAGAAAGCTTGTATTCTTGTATGAGATAATAAATGTGTTGTAGTCCCCATAGATAAAGTTTCAGGTTTGAGCCGTGTTAATAGACAAAAACGTGATTAGGGGGGAAATCCTACTAAAGATGGTCAATTAAGTTTCGCAATAGAGATAAGTCATGATTAAAAAATATTGGTGAGTATCTTGTACCAATAACATGATTACAAAAAAAATGCTAAGATGATGCTGTGTTATTTCTATTTGTGGTGTATTTGTGTGTATCTCATATCTTTGATCCGTGTTGAGAGCGAGAGGGGATTTTTCTATCAGCTTCTTCAAACGCAAAAGATAGAGTCTTACTATCTAATGGTTCATTTACAGCTCAGCACAGAGCAGTTGTGAGAAAAATAACACAACCCAAGAGTGTCCAAGGCGTTTTAGGAATGGACTTGGGAAAGGTCAAAGCAATGCAGCACAGGATTGATGAATTCACCAATCACATGTCAGAACTACTCCGTATTGAAAGGGATGCTGAATTGGAGTTTACACAGGAGGAATTGGATGCGGTTCCTAAACCAGATGATACTTCTGATTCTGCAAAACCTATTGATTTCTTGGTTAGTCATGGCCAGCCTCAACAAGAACTTTGCGACACCATTTGTAATTTAAATGCCATCAGTACCTCTACAGGTCTTCTCCTTTTCCTCTTTTCTTTTCACCTATACAAATTCATTGTCTTGCATTGACCTTCCTTCTAAAATTTAGTCTTTCCTTTATGTGTGGTGTGCTATCTAAGAAGTTGATTTGTTGACATGCTAATGAGCTATATGATATGACGTGGTAAAGTGCAGGAAATTCTTTAATATTTTAGACATGGACTATGTAAAACGTCTTGGTGAAACATACTCACTGTTTCTTTTCCAATCAATTCAGTCATTGAGATATATCTTCATTTTCTTTTGTTCATTTTGAGGCTAGGGGTCCTAGCTGTACTGTACCACATCTACTCCGGAGTCCAAATATTTGTCACTTTGATTGATGTTTATACTTATTGTACTCACCTGTTTTTAATAGAAACTCAGCTTAAGTTGTTTCTCTCTTTCAAATATTTTATCATGAAATAAAGACTCAATTTGGTTTTCCAATTTATACTTTGCAAAGTGATCATGCTTGTCAATATTTGTCTTAGTTGTTTCAAACATTTATAGATTCTCTTGACATTCTTCACCTATCAGCAAAACAGGATTCCCCAATGCAAAAAGTTGACATCTTTAAGAATACCGGTTAAACATTCACCATTTACTGTATCTAATATTGGGTGAAACTATATATTACAGAGGTTAGAAAGTAGATACACATGGAAGGTAGAATGTTACACACCCAAACACTTGGGAAACCAACCTCAAAAGCTAGCTATTAAGGCGGTAGAACCAAACACTTAAATACTCAACGGAACATCACATACACGATTTGGGACTTAGGTACCCGATATTTCTCAAGTCCCAATCATAGACTCAGACCTAGATGAACCTTAGCTCATCTAGGCTTAGAATGTAAATCATAATTACAATGTAGTCTTTGGATTACTTGGATGTCTATACTCTAAGTAAAAATCCCTAAGAAAATCAATAAGCTATATTTCAACTCCTATATGATGTGTAAGCATTTTATCTTAACTGAGTTATACCAACTTAGTCTTTGTAACTTAAAAAACCTCATCAGTAAGGACATGTAGCTAAACCCAGTCTGCCTGGTATGGTCATATTTCCTTGCGCAAACAGGGCTGGGGGGAATGCATTTGGTATTATTCAAGGTTGAAGGGAACCACCGGTTACCACCTACTGCTCTTTCACCTGGAGACATGGTTTGTGTGAGAACGTATGACAGCAGGGGTGCAATTACAACTTCTTGCATACAAGGATTTGTAAACAGTTTTGGAGATGATGGCTACAGTATTACAATTGCTTTAGAGTCACGTCATGGTGATCCTACATTCTCTAAACTATTTGGGAAGAACGTGCGCATTGATCGTATTCAAGGACTGGCTGATACACTTACCTATGAGGTATTGCAATATATATGTGATTTCTTGGATGAGTGTTGTTAATAACACACTATTTCTATTACATTCTCTATTTTCAGTTAAAATTTATTGAAAATTTCAAATCATGAGATGAGAGGGACTCATTAAATAACAAGTGGAACCCAGAAATATTTGTTTTCCAATAAATTTCAGCCAATAATAGATTGATTTCAAAAGAGTGTGCTGCTACCATTTTTTTCATGCATTTAGCCAAAACTTTTGTGGCGCTTAGAAATATTTGTGAAAAAGATTGTGAAAGGGTGCCATGAATTTTATGAAAGTTGAAGCTAAGAAGTTTTGTTGAGATCCAAATCAGGGTGTAACAAGTGTCTACTATTTGTGTTTAGTTAAGTACAGTAAAATAAAGTAAACTGTACCTAAAGAAAAAGAATTAATATATGGTCACCTTTTAATTAGTTAATTCGACAATTTTGATTAGGGAGGTAAACAAGTCCAATATTTATGAACAGATTTACTATAAACTTTCAATATGCATATTCCTTTTCATAATCCTTGTCTGCATTATTAAACACAACTTTTTACTGCTAGAAAGTTGATGTTACATTACATGTTGACAGTTGACTAGATAGAAAGATTATCACCTCTGAGCACTTTTATCACAATGACTATACACTCTTATCTGCTTGGCTGGCTGTGGACATTAGTTGATTCTAATTTTCCTATTTATATTTCATAGGTCTTCCCCAAGGTCATGAAAAAATCATCTATGTTTCCTTTTCTTTTAGAAATTCTATGATCTACTTAAGTTAAATTTTAGATTTATTATAGCTGTTATCCCTTCCGAAGGTGCTCTAGGGGTTAAAGAATTGCTAATGTCATGTGCAAATAATATTTATATATTCTGTACTAATGATAATGTATTGAACTGGAAAATTCTAGTGGACTTGATGTTGTCAATATTTCTGTTAATAATTGGGACGTATGTGTTGATGACAAGATATAAAAAGGCGGTTATGTAGGTATAAGCCATGATTAAAAAGTGTATGTTTTTCTTCCTGAAGAAATAGTAATTGGTTACTTGAATTTTTTAAGTTGCACATCAACTGCTTTGTGATCTGGCCATATGTACTTTTAACCATGAAATAATTTTGTAAATGTTGCTCTTTGTTAGTTCCTATCCTTCCGTTACTTTTGTTAGGAGAGTACATGAAACATATTTTATACTATCTTGATTGTGTCTTGGATTAATTTAAAATATTTTAGATTATCTCTTGGGATTAGTTTTCATATTTGCTTATATTCATCATTTATTTCCTCATTTAGTCCACACTGAGTCTAGTATTAATTTCGTTAAGGTTCGGTGTTAAATGTTGCGTCACATCATGCCATCTAAAATCAATATTAATTTGACAATATCCTATTTTTTTTCTATCCTTGTCTTCCCTCAACACTTAAAGTCTATAATTTTAACAACTTTATTTTATATTGGATAATTTGTTGCTTGCAGTTGCTGTCTTATTACTTTTTATTTGTTCTGCAGAACCCTAGTCTGTTAACAAAGCAGAGCTCAGCACCTTATTTTTACTTTTGCTTTATATCCTCTGTCTTCCAGGGTGAAAAGTAGTAGTTGCCCCTCATGAATTTATATCTTCAGATCTCTTGTGGTCTATGAAAGTGAATATGATACACGCCTAGAGCAAAGAGAAGAAACGTCTTCAAGAAAGTGTAGATTGAACCCATTTACATTGAATTATTCCTCAATTAATCTGTTCAAACAGCCATACACAAAGGAAACAATCTTCCTTTCATAGGGTTCTCCCTGTTTACAAGTGATAAGAATACATGTAGACTGTACAAAAGTCTTAGTCTCATAACCACTGACTGTAACTACTAACAACTACTGTTATTCTTAAATTTCCTTCTATAATATACATTCCAAATATCCTTATTCCCCTGTCTAACAGAATAACATAACTATTATATCATGACAAGGTGAATATGTAGTACGCAATTCAATTACCATTTTGAGTTGTGGGGTAAATCATGTCATGTGGTTACATCAGTCTGCCACTTTATGAAAAAGGACAGGCATTTTATATTTTAAAATGTTCTAACTACCCAGCACTTACTTTTTCTGCTGAAAAGAAATTTTGTATTCTGGTGATCTCAGCTTTGTACAAATTAATATAATTTGACTGTGATGGTTACATTTGTTAATTTCATTGAAATTTTACTGCTTACCTCACTGATTTTATATGTAAATTACACATAATTTATTAAGCTTATACTTTGCCAGCGCAACTGTGAAGCTTTAATGCTGCTTCAGAAAAATGGTTTACGTAAGAAGAATCCTTCAATTTCTGTTGTTGCTACACTGTTTGGAGATGGGGAAGATGTTGCATGGCTAGAGAAGAATCATTTGGCTGATTGGGCAGAAGAAAAAACAGATCGAATTTTAGGAAATGAAACCTTTGATGATTCTCAGTTGAGAGCAATTGCACTGGGTTTGAATAAAAAGAGGCCTGTATTGGTTATCCAAGGCCCTCCTGGTACAGGCAAGACTGGTTTGCTCAAGCAACTTATAGCTTCTGCTGTTCAGCAAGGTGAAAGGGTTCTTGTTACTGCACCTACCAATGCAGCTGTAGATAACATGGTTGAAAAGCTTTCAAATGTTGGGTTAAATATTGTGCGGGTTGGAAATCCAGCTCGTATATCAAAAACAGTGGGATCAAAGTCTTTGGAAGAAATTGTAAATGCTAAGCTTGCACGTTTTCGAGAAGAGTATGAGAGGAAGAAGTCGGATCTAAGAAAAGATCTAAGACATTGTTTAAGAGATGATTCACTAGCTGCAGGCATACGCCAACTTCTGAAACAATTGGGAAGGTCCCTAAAGAAAAAGGAAAAACAGACAGTAAATGAAGTTCTATCTAGTGCTCAGGTTGTGCTTGCCACTAATACTGGAGCAGCTGACCCTTTGATTCGAAGGCTGGATACTTTTGACTTGGTTGTCATAGATGAAGCTGGACAGGCAATTGAACCCTCTTGTTGGATTCCTATATTGCAAGGAAAGCGGTGTATTCTTGCTGGCGATCAATCCCAACTTGCTCCTGTCATATTATCTAGAAAGGCCTTGGAAGGTGGTCTAGGAATATCTCTATTGGAAAAAGCTGCAACTTTGCATGAAGGGATTCTCACCACTAGGTTAACAACACAATACCGTATGAATGATGCTATTTCTAGTTGGGCTTCAAAGGAGATGTACGGAGGATTGTTGACGTCCTCTGAGACTGTATTTTCTCATCTTCTTGTAGACTCTCCTTTTGTTAAGGTATTATGCCCGTCAATGATATCTCCATTTTCATTGAAGTGGAGGTGTTTCTATTTACATCTTGTCCTAATTGAAGTGTAATCTAACCTTATTCCTGTTACTATTTTATATTGCTGGTCCTTCATTTCTAAAGATGTTACTCAAAGGGGTTTATGAACATTCTACAAAAATAATCTTTCTTGACAGAGTTATGTTTTTCTTTGATACTATTACACTGGCACTGTTGAAAAAGGAACGAAAGGATCTTTGTTGAATAGCAACAAACTCCAAGTGTAGGACACCTAAAAAGGGAAATACAAGATGATAATGCTCCAGAGAAATTAGATACCCTGGACTCTCCTAAATGCCTTACATTACAATGTTTTAACAACCAGATAATTACCCTCCCTCGTATAAATAACAACTGTGGGTCCTGCCTAGCGCCTGGCTTAATCCCCTTCTTCCTAATCGAACCCCTAAATACCACACCTCCTTGGAGATAGCTCAAACTTCTTAATAGACGACATTTAATGGATCAAATGTACAAAATATAACTTTTCACAACACAGATTTGACAACGATTACTGTGTGAATTTACCCAATGAAAGATTATCTGCTTGTTGATTACAATTTTATGGACTGTTTTAATTTTGCAATATTTTGCTTATTACATGAATGGAAAGTTTGACTTGCTGTTGTTGCAGCCTACTTGGATAACACAGTGCCCACTACTATTGTTAGATACTAGAATGCCATATGGAAGTCTGTCAGTTGGTTGCGAAGAGCATCTAGACCCAGCTGGAACAGGCTCACTTTATAATGAAGGAGAAGCTGAGATAGTTTTGCAGCATGTCTTTTCCTTAATTTATGCTGGTAATGACATCTGACTCTCAAAAGGTTTTGCTTTTGGCAATAGCTTATAACATAAAAACATTTTCCCTTGTGAATGTTTTATGATTAATAAGAAATTATAAAAACAAAATAAAATCACCAAGATTGAAGGATGACAGGCGGGCAATAAATCTTATTTGGTCATTACCCCTAGGCCCAACCACTGTAGTGAATGGACGTTTACACCAATGTGGTCTATTCCAAAGGGTGTATTTGTCCATACCTTGGTGCATTAGTATGTTCTCTTCATAGGCCACAACCTACTGGTACAAATAGATAAGTCATTCATGCCTTGATGTCCCCTTCTAGAATTAACTGTCTTGACATGTAGTGGATGTCAAAATTTAGGTTTTCACACCATGAAGATTGTATCTTGAAAGAGTAAAAAAAGGTAGTGTTAGCTTCTCTCTACTACTTCCAACCCTGCTTAATATTTAAGCATATTATATTTAGTCCAGGAAAAAAAAGAGGATATTACTGCATAGTATTTTATGTCATCATATTTTGCAATGCACTCAGGCTTTCAAGTTTTGAAAGCTTCTTTTGTGTTTATTGATGTCAGATTTTCTTTGTAATTTGATTCTGAAAAGTGGTGTTCACCTAACCGCCATACTATTATAGTGCAAACCTCCCCTTAATATATACTATTTGAGCATAGTATTTTCAATCCAAGGAAAAAGAAAAATATATCACTGCATACCATTTTTTGTTATCATATTTTAGCAAAATAAGTTGTCTTTCGAATTTTTGAAATCTTTTGATGCAACTTATTAGTCATTTGTGTTTGCTGATGTAAGTTCCCTGTTAATTTGAACCGGAACCGCAGGTGTTAGCCCAGCTGCTATTGCAGTGCAATCCCCCTATGTTGCTCAAGTACAACTTTTGAGGGACAAGCTTGATGAATTTCCTGAAGCTGCAGGTACAGAGGTTGCAACCATTGACAGTTTTCAGGGTCGTGAAGCTGATGCAGTAATTTTATCTATGGTATGATCCAAATCCAATTTTTAGATCCATCATTTCAGCAATTTTCTGGTTGACAAACAAAACAATTAAAAAGTAAAAGGAAAATTGCACTTATTTCTCTCGAGGGCCTCTTAAATACCCTTTGTAGTTTTCAAAAACACTCATTCCCTAGATAGTACTACAAGTATCATCTAAGTTTTTTGTTCACACACCAAAAAGTACTGTAAATTTCATAAAATAGTTATAACGTTCCTATTTTACCCTTTTCATTTTATTATACAATAAATGCACATCAGTTGTTTTTCATTTTCACGTTCATGATAAATGTGTACATTGATTAAAAGTTAGATAGAAAGTAAGGATATAATTCAGAAAATGAAACTGGAGTAATAGAGGAGTATTTGCGTCACTTTATTAAAAACACAAAAGATGTAAGTGCCTATTTAAATTAGAGTTGTAAATGTCATTTAAGAACACTTCAGGCGAGGTGAGTGTAATTTTCCCAAAATGTTTGGAAAGGGTCAATAAACATGAGAAAGTTAAAATATTATCACAATACAATCTTTAATGTAAGATGAAGGCAGTCAAATGAAGCCCTTCAATCCTATTCCAGTTGAAGATGTCATCATATCTCCTCTTTCCAATAACTGAAATTTAGTTATTTTAGTTTACTTTAGTCACCACATAGACCCAATCTACCATAGAATTTTTTTCTTTAATTACTATTATTATTATTATAAAGAAGAGTGGCAACAAGGATCAAACATTTAATCACTTGGTCAATAGACACTTCGATCCTATGTCATCAACAGGCTTGAACTTGATAAGATGTATACTCACTCATTAAACATTTTATTGTAGTTACATTGTTTTCATGCAGTGATGGATTTTGACAATTAATTTTGGAGGCTAAAATAACATATAATACACTGATGAATGAGAGAATATGGAAATGTGAGAAAATATGAGAATATAAAACTTTTGAAGGCTAAAATTATAAATATTCAAATAATTTAAAATTTTTTGGTAAATTATCAAGAAGATCCGCCTTGCTCCCATGATGTCCACTTCTGATTCACTATCTCTCATTCTACTTTTTTGTAATTAACTTCTGCATATGGTATATGTCATGTAAAGTTATTCTTTAATGTTTGATGAGATACGTGATTAATTACTATTACCAGTTTGATTTTTGAACCTTCAAATCCTGAGATACGTAATCCATGGAGATTCTGATTTTGAAAAACTGTTTGATTATATGGTGTTCCACATGAACTGACATAGTAGAACTTGTGTTCCCCATTTAATAATAACAACAAAATAGGTACGGTCAAACACATTGGGAGCTGTTGGATTCCTCGGGGATAGCAGAAGAATCAATGTTGCCATCACAAGAGCACGCAAACATTTAGCTTTGGTCTGTGACAGCTCGACTATATGCCACAATACCTTCTTGTCAAGACTTCTTCGTCATATTAGACACTTTGGTAGGGTGAAACATGCAGAACCAGGTAGTTTTGGAGGATTCGGACTTGGGATGAATCCGATATTACCTTCCATTAATTAGTGTGCAACAGTAGCATGAAAAAAAATTAAAAATAACCCATCAATTGTTCTATGGCCATTCAATTTGAGAGGGGAGGAGGTAGGGATGGATAGTTTTTTTTTTTTTTTTTTCTTTCTCTCATGTGGTCAAAACTTGTATAGTTGTATAGCAATTCATAAATTCAAAATTGTGTAGCATATAAAGTATCGCACATGCGTGAAAATTGGGAACAAAAGCTCATTGAAACCCTTGAAATTGGACAGCATGTTTGATTCCCCCCCATTACAGACCTGATTTTTCTTATCAGGTGTAATTTGAAGAAATTTTTTCATATCAACGTGTTTACAGGATTATATTGACTCTAACGAATACAGAGAAGAAATGATAATGAAATCAATAATTTAAAGTTACTAATTAAATTAATGTGAATCTACTTAGTGAGAAGTGGTTCAAAAGAATATTTTTGTTTTTGTTTGTCTTAGTGAAATTACTAGTTTTAAAAAATTCGTCATATTTTCGGTGGTTAGACGAGCCAATATAGAATTGTCTTTTTTGTGATGTTTTCTCGTAAACAACCCTTATCATCTGAAATATCTTTTTAAATGAATTTTTCTTTAAGAACCATAAATTTTGGCCAAATGATTTCTTAGATGAAAACTTAGTTTTTTTTTTTTGAAATTAAGAATTATATTAAATTTAAAATTCTAAAACATAATTTTGGATTTAAAATAAATTAAAGTAAAAATAAATTTAAATAAGTATGATTTTAGATTAGATTTAAATATTTGAATTTTTTCGCGCCCCTCTTTAGCAATGGGTTGTACTTTAAGTAAAAATACTGCGCATAGAATATAAGCTTAACAATAACAAGTGTAAATACCAAAATAGAAAGGCAAAACAATGATAATATGCTTAATCACAGGTTATAATATTTAGGTATCTTTATATTTAGAAGTAAAAGTAAATATTAATTATTTGTTCATAAAATAGTTTTACGCTATGGTTCAATTAAAATCTTCATAAACAAAAAATTTCTTGACTTTCATAATAGTTATGGTTCAATTCAAATTTTCATATATTGTAAATTTATTGAATTTTAAAATATATATGAAGAATAACTTTTAATTGATTGACAACCTAAAACTTCTACCGTCAAAGTGCATAGATTTCAAACTCAATATAATAAATTATAAGATCATGTTGGATAGGAGGATTGGAGAAGTCTATGACAAAAAAAAAGGTACAAGTAATAGGAAATTTGGTGCCCAACTAAAATGTTTTTGATGAAAATGTTATGCAGTGATAAGTCAACACAAGAATAAACTAAATGTAACAAAAATGAGAATCCGTTGGAAAACAAAAGGAAAAACTATACAAGATAGGATTAGAACTCAGTTACGAAACGAAGATTGAGAAAATTCACCTCGCGTGGTTTGAACATTTGAGAGAACTTTAGATGTCCTAATAATAAGGCGAGTGTATCAGATGAAGATTAGCTCAATCACTAGCGGAATAATAAGACCGAAGAGAAATATGGGCAAAATAAATAAGGATCTATATGTCAATAATTTTGTCTCTAGATGATTTACAACCTCATCTAGTAAGAAAAGGCTTGGTTGTTTGACCAATAATTGTCTGGCAAATTAATGATTGTAGAAACTCCAAGGGTGTGAATTGAAAAACTGATGTTCAGTTGCGTGTACACATTGCTGTAATGGTAGTTTAAAATTAGGAATTCATTCCTATAAAACAGCAATACAAAAATATATAAAGAGCACAAACACTCCTTGTTCACTCTCATAAATAAGGAGTCAATGTATGTTCTCATGATCCTTTATCACTTCGTGCTGCTGCTTCAGCAGGAGTGCTAGTAGTCATCTGATCAACTGCATGGACAACACTCTGAAGCTCCTCCCATATAGCTTTATAAACCATCCTTTGCCTATTAACGGCTGATTGTCCCTCAAAGGCAGTAGATACCACATCAATGCTGCGACATCAAACTACATATTAAAGCTGCGTCCCAGCCAACTGGTGCAATAGAAGTGTCAAATGCAGCTATTGGTACAAAAAAATGGCACATTGCTTCAAGGAAACATCTATCAGAGGGTATAAAAAATTGACTAGACATGTTTCAATAGTTCAATTTTAGACCTTTTTTCTCTCTGTGGCATTAATTTCATCCTCAAACTTTGAAGAATGAGATACTTGGGCTGATTTGTGAGGAACAAACATGGTCTCTAATCCAGTTGTTATGCAGGGAACAAAAACATTGAAGAGACTATTGCTTTCAAAAAATATTGATATTAGCTTTCATTCAAATGGCCAGCTATAAAACATATTTAGTAAATTAAACTTGAGGGGAGTGTTGAATAAGATTATCAAATTGGCTTTTTGTATGGTACAGAACTTAGTCCCATTAATGCATCCTCCTCTTTTTCTTTGTTGTTCTATTTTCCCTTTCTTCATATGGATGATCCCCTACCCTTCAAATTCCTTGTACTTCTCTCATCTTCTGCTTTGAAATTCTTTTTCTAAAAAAATGGTTTTATATAGTCAAACTACTGGTTTCTCTAACACTTGTACTCTCCATGTACTAATAGTTTATTGCATTTCAGTTTCCATGCACAATAGAGTTGTAGAATTGGAATACATTAAATATGCTACACAAGTTCAACTCACTTGTGCATTCCAACCTTATGGATTTTCTCTCTACTTCTCTTACTCTTGACAGAATTTTAATGCTCTCTAGCTGTGAGATTATGACCAAATTATGTAAAGGAAAAAATGTATGGAGAAAAAAGGTAAAGAGGCTATTTGAATAGCCATGTTTGTTGATGGGAATAAGCACATTACCATTGATTTAGAATCACGAGTGCATACATACAAGCTTTAAAATGAACAGAAATTGGCACTCCTTGTATGTAGTAAAAGCAAAATCAGCAAAAACATTTGAAACTAAAAAGTACAGACATTACTCTTAAAGAGCCTAATTGTTATAAAGTGGATTGTATAGTTGTATATAAATTTGAACCTGACCCAACTTGAAAAGTACGTGAAGCAAAAGAAAAAAAATTGCGGAGATTAGTCAAGAAAATGGAGGTATCGGCCAATAGGCCTGTGAGTACAGCTCAATAGTCAAAAGGAAGCGGTGATAAACTAATTTCATTTCAATGGTTGAAAGGAAATCTTACCTAACATGCCGACCATCACCATAAGCATCCTTAACGACGACAGATTCTGCATTGAGTTGTTCCTTTATCTGTTGGGGAAAATTGACAATTAAAAGGTATGGAAGAAAATGTTGCTCCGAATGGACCGAATACCTTGTTGTGAGTGGGAAAGAATACCTTGTTGTGCATGGACTGAATGAGAGGCAAATCGACGGAGCCAGCATCGTTGACATGGGTGGCGCGTGAAGTGAAGTTGCGGAGAGAATTGGTGGGGAATAAGTTGAGGGGTGCAAGAAGTGGAGTACTGCGTGGGAGGGTTTGTGAATCAGAGGCAGAGAAGAGGAGGAAGGGACGGCGGAGAGCGGTGGTAGAGAGAAGGGCGTTGTAGGGTTTGACGAGAACAGGAAGAGCTTGTCGCAGAAAGGTTGTGTTCGCGGAGAGGGAGAACACCTGAGACCGCATCTTTATTTCCGATCTCCAATTTCCAATCTTTCTTCGATCCCTTCTTCCAAATCGACTCAACTCCACCAACCGTTTAAAATCTTATTTCAAGACTCCTCTGTGCTTTCAATTACTTTACTTTTAAATTTAATTTATTTTGTTTGCAAATGAAAACAACTTTCTGTCCATATAAAATTTCTCGTGTTACTAATTTTTTATATTTATGATTATAAATTATTATAAAAAAATTATAATATTTTTACTACGTTAATTTTTTAAAGATTTTAGTAATTTTCCACTTTTGTTCTTTACGTTTTATAATTATCTTTATATATATATATATATATATATATATATATATATATATATTTTAAGTTAAAAACAAATTTTATCTTGACTTGGTTTCATGTCAAACATCTTGGTGTTTTATTTTTAAATAATTAATTTAAAAGAACCACAGAGTGTTATAAAATATATTATATATTCAATCATGAATAATAATTATTTTTTAAGGTTTATTTGACTTAGTTTTATTTAAAATTTTAAAAATATTTTTAAAGATTTTTTTTAAAAGTATAATTATGATTATAAATATTTGTAAAAAAAAAAAGAAATTAAAATTCTAAAAATATCACCGCTCCGGTATTGTGTATATCTTAATTAACTATGCAATGATAATATAAATAACTCTTTACATTCAAAACACAGTTTTTTTTTCTTTTACTTTCACGATGGAATCATGATATTAAGGCTTTCATATTTTTTAATATAAAACAGAATATTTATTATTTACTATTTAAAATTATCCAGCATCTTTGATTTGTTAAAAAAAAACGTAGAAAACTATAAGAACTAATAGACTAGAAGACTCATTATATTATTTTAAATTTATCGATATTTATTTATATATTTTTCATTTTTTATCTATTTATTTTTACGAAATATTTTTAATTTCTACATAATCTTTCATTTAGTTTTTATTCTAATAAATTATTTCATTTATTCTGATCCAAACAAAATATTGGATTTTTGTTTATTTCTTAAAAGGCAATGCGAATGTACCAACCACCACGCAAGTATTTGGCCCACCACCAAATCCTTACCTAATAAAGCCACCAACCGCAGCAGTTACTATTCATATTTAAAAATAAAATTCAAAAGTAATATGGAAATTAATAGCAGTTAAGCCCAAACATAAACTCTTATAATAACAAAGATAATACAAGTTTTCCACGGTAATTTATATATTTCTAAAGTTGAAACTATCAACTCAACCTATTTTTTTCGTATTTTAAGAATTTGTAATTATAATATTTGTTTTTTCTTCCATGAATCATGACTTTTAAAGCGATCACAATGGAAACTCTTAATAATTAAAAGGTATAAAAGAGAAAACAAAAATTACACTAAATAGCCAATTTCAAAATGAATTATAAAGAAACGATTATATGAAAAAAAAACATTTTTTATAATAAAAACTACTAAAGTAAAATTTAAAAAAACAAAACCAAAAATTCTAAAATTTTAAAAATAAATAAAAACTTACTTTAAATTTATGAAGTAATTTATTAAACTTTAACAACTTATATAAAACATTAGATTTTATAAACACAAGAACTTACGGGAAAAAAATTCGTAATTATTGTTCTATTTTTATTATATAAATATATTTTTTTCAAATCTTAACTTTTTATAAATTAAATTTAAAATTTAACAATAAAATAAAAATAGCTATATAATTTTTTTAGAATTCAAAACTGAGAAGTTCTTTAAATAAGATGTTTATTTTAGTCCATTATATGTTTTATTAATGATGATGCTAAGATTAATGAATCATGAATTGTTTGTAAGAATTTGTTAAAAGAATATGTCCAAGCTTTTGTGAAGTAACGTAAAAAATAATGGCGTCACCTGTCCCTGACTCACCCATAAATTAAAATCCAATGTGGAGAAAAATTGAAAAGGGCCGGTAGCCGGTTGCCACCTACTATCCTCACTCAGTCACAGATCTACCTTTGCAACTGTGTCGTTTCGTCTATATATAACCACACTTTCACTCCTTACATTGCGCGCTTGCTCTCTCTCTCTCTCTCTCTCCCTCTCTCCCTACCTCACCCTCACCTCCCAAGGTACGACTATTGCTCTCGTTCCGTTCAACTTTTCCTTCCCTTCTTAATGCCATATTTATAAAATGTTCACAACTCGGCTGAGATCTACATGCACAAGTTACACGCAAATGATTTTACTTTCAATCACTCATATTTATCCTTTTCTGTACGATTACATACTATAAGTTTTACCACTAAGCTAGCAATTATGTGATGAAGAGAGTTGGATACATAAAATGTTGTTCTTTTAATAACCAATCTAATGTTTTAAAATTGAGTGTTGTTGTTGGATCTAGCTGATCTGATCTACTCACTGTTTTGGTTGGCCTGGCCTCTGATCTACTCACTGTTTTGGTTGGCCTGGCCTCAGGGATAAAAAAGACGTAGGTAGAAAATGAAGATCGTCGAGAAAATACACGCAGCCGCAGCTGATCCAAACAGGGTGGTGTTCTCGTTTGAGTTCTTCCCGCCTAAGACTGAGGATGGGGTGGACAATTTGTTTGAGAGGATGGACCGGATGGTGTCGCACAATCCCTCATTTTGTGACATCACCTGGGGTGCTGGTGGAACAACTGCTGATCTAACATTGGAAATTGCTAACAGGATGCAGAACATTGTCTGTGTGGAGACCATGATGCACCTCACCTGCACTAACATGCCTGTCGAGAAGATTGACCATGCTCTCCACACCATCAAGTCCAATGGCCTTCAAAATGTGCTTGCTCTTCGAGGTGACCCCCCTCATGGCCAGGACAAATTTGTGCAGGTTGAAGGCGGCTTTGCCTGCGCACGCGACCTGGTACCAATTCCGATCTCTTCCAATTCTCCTCATATTTATATAATTCATTCTATTTTTGCCAATCTCTGCTCGGATTTTTATAGAATCATATCACACTCACTCAGGTTCTATCTTACCAATTCTAGGCTCCATTTGGCATGACTTTGATGGTTTGTAGCTATTTTTGTAAAAAACCTTTTTTAAGAAAAGTTTTCAACTGTGTTCAGACCGACTCTCTTATAACTTTTCAGCGCCTCCTTTTTTGTTCCAAATGATTTCTCCTGGATCAGCAAGTTGTTGGTTGGACTGGTACTTCTCACTAGGTTCCTTGAGCTACATCTTGGGTTCGAGTCTTGTGAACCGAACAAAAAACGTGTTTGGGAGGGGAGAAATTAATCATCAGCAAAGCCTGTGGATACTCTCCACAAATAACATGACTAGAAAAAATTGACTTATTCTGGAAGGAGATGCAATTTTTCTCTTACTCAGAAAATGTTTTAAACGACTGCCACTATCAACATAGAAAATATACCTGAAAATACAAAGAATGAGACTTTTTTAAACCAAACTTTCAAACATGTAGACAACATTTTCCATTGAGTTATGGAACGTTATACCGCATTCTTAGTGATGATAAACTTTTGGGCTTAGTTTTATAAAAATTGATATTAGCTGTTGATCCTGCTATTTGAGTTCTGATTTTGTGGATGCCAATTTTTTGTTTATTTTTTTAATTTTTTTGTAGGTGAAACATATCAGAGCTAAATATGGTGACTATTTTGGCATTACAGTTGCTGGTTATCCAGGTTTTGCACTGTCATTATTTTCAACTTCATTTAGACATTTAGTTAAGTGCTTTTCTGCTCCTTTTTCCGCGATCATTTTGTCTTACAATCTATTGTTTTTCTCTTCAGAGGCACATCCGGATGTTATAGGAAGTGATGGGTTGGCTACAACAGAAGGTTATCAAAATGATCTTGAATACCTGAAGAGCAAGGTCTTGTCATGGAATTAAGTCCACTCATTTTATGCGTTAAAACTTTTTTATCAGTTCTAGAACATAATTTAGGGGATTCTTTTAATCTGTGACTTTCAAACTTAAACAAGATGGGGATAAATGCTGCAGATAAACATGGCTATTCTTCTTCTAAATGAAAGTGAAAAGTAGCAAGTGTAGGGTAGGCAGTGGAGAAGGATACTTTTGCAAGGAATTTGTTGTCAATCTTGATACCTTCTTTTCAGGCTTCTTATTCTGAGTTCGTGTTCATTTTGTAGGTTGACGCTGGAGCAGATCTGATTGTCACCCAGTTGTTTTATGATACAGATACATTCCTTAAATTTGTAAATGACTGTCGCCAAATTGGAATAACTTGTCCGATTGTACCTGGAATTATGCCAATTAATAATTACAAGGGCTTTCTCCGCATGACTGGGTTTTGTAAAACAAAGGTAAGACCTTTTTTTTGTATAGACGTAGTATTAAGCATTGTAAAAGTTTAATAATCTCTAGTACATTGTGGGATTGGAGTATCAAAGGAAGCATAAAAAGTCACTTGGACGATAAATATTGATCTTTCTCTATACATGTATACTGGAAAATATCAGTTGTGCCCCTTGGAACTGTTTAGAACTTTAATAAAAGTTAAACTTCTACAAGTGTATAGAAATTACATTGGGAGGTAAGATGTTACTTACAATTAGAGAGATAGTTAACTACTTGAATGTTGTATAGGACGAGTGAACATATTAAACTAGTATGAGGGATGAATGTTTAAGAGAAAAAGTTTCACATAATTTATCTTTGGTATGTAAAACGCGTGTACTTGCCACTTTTTACCGACTTGTTATATTACTCAAGTGTCATGGACACTAATGCATTGTTTTATTTTTCAATGACATAATCTAGATACCAGCTGACATTATGTCTGCTTTAGAGCTTATCAAGGACAATGAAGAAGCTGTCAAGGCTTATGGAATTCACTTGGGAACTGAAATGTGCAGAAAGATTTTAGCTCATGGAATTAAGACATTGCACCTTTATACACTAAATATGGAGAAATCAGCATTAGCAATACTCATGGTTGTCTCCTATGACATGTGATGTGTATATTTTAATTGTTATATTTGCAAGACTTCAACTAATTGAAAGTTGATGTTGGCGTTATTGCTGGCAGAACCTTGGCTTAATTGAAGAGTCCAAAATTTCTAGGTCCTTACCTTGGAGACGACCTGCAAATGTTTTCCGTGTTAAAGAAGATATCCGTCCAATCTTTTGGTATGAGCTTTTGTAATTGTCATGCCGTGTTCCAAAATTTGAGTTTTTCTGTCTGAATGATTTCTTACTTTCTTTATGCAACTATCATAGGGCAAATCGTCCAAAAAGCTACATATCAAGGACCATAGGATGGGATCAATATCCACATGGGCGTTGGAGTGATTCCTGTAACCCATCATATGGTGCATTAACTGATTATCAGGTTCACATGGTTATTGTGTTTGTTATGTTACACTCTTATTTTCTTTCCCAGAGGATAAAAAAGTCTTTACACTTTCGGTAGATCAAAATCAATTGTTTAACGGTAGATCATTTATCTAAAATTAAATGTTAACAAGATTTATTAGTAATTTGTGCAGAAACTACAAGTGCAAACTATTGATCCAAATGTAAAACATATTGCAGTGATGCATCTTAGAAGAAGAAAAGTCCTTTTTGAAACATAAACTCTTTGCATATTTCTCTTACAACGAATAGGTTAATATCAAGGTTCTAAATTGTTGTTACAATTGTGTTAATGTTGAATTTGGAAAATTTGTTGACAAATGTAGTTGATGCCGATGTAATTATGATTGTGATGCCCTTTGTGGAAACTTCCAAAACCACAATATTGTGGCTGCAATTATGGTTGTAGTGTAAATTGCAATTTGAAACCTTGGATTTCATGTGAATTATATTGGGTGCCCTACATTGGAAAACAAGGGTTTGTTAGTCTATTTTGTTGTGTGTGATTATGACTCTGTATAAACTCTTTATTTTCAAAATATGAATAGAATAATATGAAAAGGAAGGTCATACGTGCAGCCTAATTACTTTGTTCATGGAATACAAAACATGGAAAAGAAAACAAGGTAGAAGTATGAAAACTAGATTGAAGCTTTTAGAAATTGGTACTTCTTGTAATTTGCTGGTTCTATAATTCATCATTTTTCCTTCCAGTTCATGCGACCACGAGCACGGGACAAGAAGCTTATTGAAGAATGGGCAGTTCCCTTGAAAAGCGTTGAAGATCTATATGAGGTGGAGTTACTGTACTTAGAACATTGCTAGCGTAATCTTGCTAGCACTGAAACATCATCTAAATTGCCCCTATTGTTATTTATCAGAGATTTAGAATGTATTGCATTGGAAAGTTGAGAAGCAATCCTTGGTCAGAACTAGATGGTCTTCAGCCAGAGACAAAAATCATCAATGAGCAGCTGGAGAGGATTAACACTAAGGGCTTCCTCACCATTAATAGCCAGCCAGCTGTCAATGGGGAAAAGTCAGATTCTCCAACTGTAGGTGGGTGTAAAAGACGTTTGTTTTTATCTATGCATGATATTTTTTGGATGTAGGTTTAGAGTATTCCAGTTTGTACTACCTATAGAAAGATGACTATCTTTCTGATACAAGTCAGATAGTTGGATATTTCTAGAGGTTTGCATTTTGGAATGAATTAGAAACAGGTGCTAGGTACTCGTGGCAGGCTGGAGACAGCTACAGTTACTTGTGTCTGAACTATGGTTATGGTCAAATGTATGCCATGATATAGGAAGCTTTCCCCATTCTGTCCTGACTTAAACATATTGTTAAGTTGTTCCACATTGGTTAGGAATATGATCAGAATACTTGTTAGAACAAGATTTTGACAGTCATCTACTTTAAAGCTAGCATTTGGGGTTGAGAGCCTAAAATCTTGATGTGAGGCTACCTGCAGATATCTAGTTCTGGGATTCAGGAGTGTGCTAAGATGTCTAGCTAGCAATATGGCCAAAATATTCCCTACAAGAATTGCACAATCGTCTTCCATTAAGCTAGCTTTTAGGGTTGCGTAAGGCCTGGTCCATTCCTAATGCATATCTTGTGATCATTAATAATGGTAAGTTTTTCATTTCCTTCCCCAAAATCTAGATTTTGATTTATTTATTTTTTAATGAGAAAAGAAGGCTATTGCATTGCAAACCTAACTAGGCTAGCTCTACTACTTGTATCAATAATAAAATCTAGACTTTGATTACTTTTACTATTTCTATCATTAATCTAGATTTTGACTACCTCTACTATTTCCATCATTTACTTACAACTCGTCAAAGGGGTTTATAGTTGATTTCCCTGAACATGGCCTTCCAGAAGGGGATCTTTGGTTCGAAATTTCTTCAATGATAAGTAGGCATGTTAACCTTTAGCACTGGCTGTCTTTAATAACCTGAACACTTAAAGCTTGTGAACGGGTTAAATAGGAAACAAATCTAAATTTAAAGCATGGAATGTGTTATTTGTCTCTGCAGATCTGTTCTTATAATTTCCTAGTAATTTCTTTTTCCATGTTTCTCGTTGGTTTGTGCATGCTGGTTTGGTTCGCTAAATCTGATGTTGTTGCCAATGGATAACAAGTTATAGTAAGGTGCCACAATTCAGAAATGTGACCACACATGGGGAAGTTGTAGTTCTGTTTTATTTCTAATTTCTTTTTCCTTATTTTTTTGTTGGTAAAAGTTACATTGATGTTTACTGATATCAAATTTTGTTGGTAAAAATTACAGTTATCCGTGATCTGGTGTCTTATTGATCAGTTTAAATTGTTTATTGCCTAAAATCCTAAACTACATTTAAACTTATTAGGAAATACTATTCTAAAATTACTGAACTTGTGGCCAGATGACGGGAAGGGTTTTGTTTCAATTTTTGGATCGGATTCTTGTAACATGAACAATGAAGATTGAAAAGAATACTGAAAACAAAATAGGGATACAGAACATATATTGAGATTTCATGAGCAGAATGTCCAGTGCATTTTATGACTGAGGGTGTTGATATCTTGTCCATATTGGTGTGTATGCGTTAAATCATACACTAATACTTTGTTTTGATAAATGGCCTAGGCTGGGGTGGACCTGGTGGGTATGTTTATCAGAAGGCATACGTAGAGTTCTTCTGCTCCAAGGAGAAGCTGGATGCACTTGTGGACAAATGCAAGGATCGAACCTCTTTAACTTATATGGCTGTGAATAAAGACGGGAGCTGGAAATCTAATGTGGGTCAAACTGATGTTAATGCTGTGACATGGGGTGTCTTTCCAGCTAAGGAGATAGTACAACCAACCATTGTAGATCCTGTCAGCTTCAATGTGTGGAAGGATGAGGCATTTGAAATTTGGTCAAGAGGATGGGCCAGCTTGTACCCTGAGGGTGATGCATCCAGGAAATTGGTTGAAGAGGTTGGTTTTTGAATCTATGGTCCTGTAAAACCTGTGTATATGCTTGGAATGCTGTATTTTTGTTTTTCAGCTAGATGCTAGAGCTTTGATAATTCATTCTATTTGTTACAGGTGGGTGGAAGCTACTTCTTGGTCAGTTTGGTCGACAACGATTACATCAATGGTGATCTTTTTGCTGCCTTTGCAGATTTCTGACATGAGCTTCTTATTTATTAGTTCTGTAGCAATGTCACTTGTGTTGGTCGTCATGTTCCTTTTTTTCCTCCTTCTTCTTCTCAATATGATCAGTGACACATAGTTCTAAGTTGAAGTTGCAAATTATTTTTGGGCTATGTCAATGTCCCATACGTCTTTATTTTATTATTCTTCAGTGTCGCATGAGTAACCTGCACGTTGAATTGAGGACAGGTTACCCCTTCCTCTGAATTTGATGGTTGTATCCGACCGAGTTCCGGTTTCTTAAAAATATATGATTGGACTGTGCAAGTAATAGTTAAAGTCTCGTTCGTGCCTTTTATTTCTGCCCACTCTGTTTATTTGTTTCCGCCAACCTCGTCCTCTTATATGTCATATGCTCGCTTTAGCTACTTCCGTTGGCTTCTTCTACTAGGAATTTTAATACTCCGATGTGAAAAATCTATGAACATAAATTAACAGGAAAGATTTACAAACAAGATAAGGGCTATTAAAGCTTCGATTTATTTATTTATTTATTAATGTATTAATCAGTTTTCACCTTTACTTGATACATTCTTTTATTTAACACTAGATCAAGCACCGTGGTAAAGGAAATATATGAAAATCTTCTTAACCTTTTGTTTTTTAAAATAATGCCAAATCAGTTGAATAAAATATTCTAAAAAATATAATTCGAGAAATACAAAAAAAAAACGTGAAACAAACTCACGTTAAACTTAATAATGAATAAGACATTAGAATACACTTGTTACAAAACATCACGTCTCTTTGTCTTCTTACTCCAAAGCTTATAGTAAAAAACTCATTTATTCCTAATGTAGGAAAACATGCACCAATTGAGTTTGGATTGTCAACTCATGGTGCAACCAATAAATTGAACACTTGATACATCCTTAAAAAAGGTAAGAAAGGGAACAGTTACTTGTGAATTATGTGGGGAAGAAAAGAGAAAGGGTTTGTAGTGTAATGAGTCCCAAAGACGGAGCAATTTGGAAGGCTCAACAAAGTGTTTTGGCACTTTTGAAGCAGTGTTCCAGCATGAAGCACTTGAAGGAGATGCAGGGTCGTGTAGTCCAGGGTGGGTTCGATAAGACCCCGCTTGTGGTGGGAAAGATCATTGAGTTTTGTGCGGTTTCGGGTCACGGAGATATGAATTACGCTGTCAGGGTTTTTGACAGAATCGAGAAACCCGATACGTTTATGTGGAACACTATGATCAGGGGCTTTGGGATGGCTCGCCAACCAGAGAAGGCCATCGACTTGTTCAGGAGAATGCAGCAGGGAAAATGTGATGTGGCAGTAGCTGACACTTTCACATTCTCTTTCATTCTTAAAATCATTGGTGGATTGAGTTCAGTTACATTGGGAAAGCAACTGCATTGCAGCATCCTTAAACTTGGACTCCAAACTCATACTTACGTCAGGAATTCTCTAATGCACATGTACGGTATGGTGAAGGACATAGAAACCGCACACAACCTGTTCGAGGAAATTCCTAATGCAGATTTAGTGGCTTGGAACTCTATCATAGACTGTCACGTGCATTGTCGGCATTATAAGCAAGCTCTCCATCTGTTTGCCAGAATGCTGCGAAGTGGCCTGCAACCCGACCACGCCACTCTGGTAGTGATCCTCTCAGCGTGTGGTGCAATAGGAGCCCTCGATTTTGGGAGGCGAATTCATTCTTCTCTCGTACAACAACATACTAAGCTTGGTGATAATACATCGATCTCCAATTCCCTCATACACATGTATGCAAAGTGTGGAGCAGTGGGAGAAGCTTACCACGTATTTAGCAGCATGAAAGGGAAGAACGTGATTTCATGGAATGTCATGATTCTCGGTCTTGCGTCCCATGGTAATGGAGAGGAGGCGTTAGCCCTTTTCGCAAAGATGGTACAGCAGAATGTGGAGAGGCCGAATGATGTTACATTCTTGGGGGTGCTGAGTGCTTGTAGCCATGGAGGATTGGTCAATGAAGGTATTCAGTATATAGATATTATGGGCAAAGACTATAGCATCCAACCCACAATAAAGCACTATGGGTGCTTAGTGGACCTTTTGGGTCGAGCTGGTTTAGTTGAGGATGCATGCAATTTGATAAAGAACATGCCAGTGGAGTGCAATGCAATTGTGTGGAGGACTTTGTTAGCTGCCTGTCGACTTCATGGACACGTTCAACTTGGTGAGATGATAAGGAAACGTCTGTTGGAATTAGAACCTGACCATAGCAGTGATTATGTTCTTCTTGCAAACATGTATGCTAGTACTGGTCAATGGAGTGAAATGACCAAAGAAAGAGGATTAATGCAGCAAAGGCGAGTTCGGAAACCAGATCCTGGAAATAGCTTCATCGGCATTCCTGGATCGGCGCTGGAAAAAGAGACTATTGAAACATCGTTATAACCCTTACATTGACACAAAACAGCATGGACTGAAGGTTTTAACTGACTGAGTCAATGTTTCACAATATAAATGCAAGAATTTGAGTAGAGGATGCCTGATGACTGTATCCTCCTCATTAACCAATGTGGCTTAAACAAAATGAAGCCAACACGTGATAGGAGATTCATTTGATCAGACAAAATTGATAGGTAAGCGAAGTTTTAGGAACCTTCTAAATCTTAAGTGACATAATTATTTTGCTTTAGATTATGTCGGGAAATAATGACTCTCTGAAGTTGGACTATTTATATATTAAAGCCAAATCGAATGAAATAATTCAACTCTTATTCTTGCTTGTATTAGTTTGTTCTGAATTGATAAATATAATGTCTGTATACTCTTATTTTGTTACCATTACTAGTGGAACTTGTAATGCATGCTTATATCAAAAGAGAGTTCTTTATCGTGTATTTTTTTTTTTTTTTTCACAAAACCTATTGTGATTCCAATTGATATTAAGAATTGTGATTAACTTACAAAGAAAGGATAAAAACTAATGAAATTACTTATAATTGATCAGGAATGCTGATTTTATGACATTATTTTTATGAACAAGAAAAATTAAAAAAATTAGCTTGAATTATAATACATAAATAGCTTAACAGTATCAATAATTAAGATTTAATAGGTCGACAAGTTCTTTTTCTCCTTGTTTGCCATTCTATTGTTCTGTAAGTTGAAGGGATATTTGTTGTAATTCATATTACTAATATCTATCTCTCCTGTATGCTATGAATATGTTATTATTTATGTGGTCTGAGGATCTATGATTTTTATCGTTTCAGGCAGTAGGTGATCCCATATGTTAAACACCCCGCTGTTCTTGGTGCCAAATACCATGACATAGATTGGACGTCAGTTTTTTATCATCCGACTTCTCCAAGTGATTGTATAAGAATAAATTTGTTGAATATTAACTTGAAATTTAGGAAATCGGTAAATAAACTATGAAGCATGTTCAATGAACAATATGCAAAACATCTGGAGAAGTCCCAGAACTTGTCATTAAACACAGATGAATGCAAATAGTTTGTGCAATCTCAGTCCCGTGAAGGTATCTAAATAATTCTTGTCCTGATGTTGAAATTAATGGGAAGTCTAAACAGAGAAGCCTGGGATGACTTTGGGAACAAAAATCTCAATACAACCCTTAATGAGATTCTTCTCTGCAAGATCATGGCTAAGCTGGATGCCTCCCAAAAAGGTCAATTGCAACATGAAGGGTCCTCAGATGCAAATGCGAATGCGAATGCTCATGGGTATGTAATTTCTCCAAGACATAAACAAAAGCAATGTCAAAGTCAGTTCTAAATGAGACTTAAACATATTTCTTGCTGATCTAGTATTTAATTAAGTTTTAATTTCATAATTTTTCCTTTTGCTTTCCTCCACTATCCTTCTTGAATTTTTTTTTTCATATTTTGTTATTATTTATGTTCTATAGTCTTAACCAATTGTACAGGATTTGAAGAATCAATAAGAATTTCCTTGTTCAGTTTCCTTTCCAGTTTCTGAAAGAATTGTGAGTGAGTGCAATCAACATTGGAACCAATCAACTTTGACACTAGTATCAGTTAACTCGTAACGTTTGGGATTGGTGATGACAAAGGAAGTCAAAACCTACATCGAATTATTTGAGCATACGTTCACATACTTGCAAGAATCAACAAAGAAAACTTTGGAATCGTTGTAAAAAACGATATTCTCGTTTCTTTCGGAGCATTCATGAATGGCAACAAGAAAATCTTGACAAATAGTGAAGGCATTATAGACACACCAGATTTTGGTCAATGCATAATTTGCACTTAAATTCAATTCCTTACATTTGATGGAACTAACCTTTGTGATTTGAGAGCAGCAAATTTTTTTAATTATAGGCTACATCGGTAGCACAACGTGGGAAGTTATTGCTTTTATCCATTGGTGGCAAAGGCTTCTCATGGCAAATACATCATCACATACAACAACTTAGCTTCTTTTTTTCTTGGATAGAAAATTGAGCTAGAAAAATCAATAAGGATCCATAAATCACAGTCTTCACAAGAAGTCGTGTATATAAGACTCAAAGAAGAAATTCTAAGAGAATTGAAAAAGAAGATGGAACAAAGAAGAGTTGTCAGTTTTAAAAAACAAACAAGATACATAAGGTCTTGGTAAGCACTTGTTAGCTCACCGAGGAGCCACACCACAAGTTTGCAACAAAATCCTTCAATGTTTCACAAGCAACTGGAGATTATAAGGTTAATACATGAACTTCTATTTCTAAGAAGGAAGTTATTGACAAAATTTCTAAGGGATTGTATAGATTGTGTGGTGATTAGTGAGATAAAAATCATAGGATGAAATCTAAAGTATGGAGTAGATAAACGCAATTTTCTCTGCTCAAGAAGAAATAAATGCGGATACAATGCAAGTTGCGAGGAAGAAAAAACAATAGTAGATGGCAACATGACCATGATTCAAGATGCAAGATGCAGATGCTCACATCTCCCTCGATGCTTTACAAGGCATAGCATGTGGCAATGCTTTGCAACTTAAAGGATTAATCAAAAAGCAAATGCTTTTGTTGATATAGACACACGGAGTATTCATAATTCTTTTAGTGACAAGAGGGTTAAAATTGATTATGCTGAAAATGTAGTTTGTTAAGGATTTTTTAGTAGTGATTACTTTAGATAAAAAAAAAACTATTGCTAACTACGAAGTGTGAGTATTTATAATAAATATACTTCTTAGTGGTACAACAAATTTGGGATCATATTAGACATGCAAATAATTCAGTATATGGATAAATTTACTAGAGTTGTGCAGCTCCTACAATGAGATTTCAAAAAAAATATATATATATATATATATATTAAAATTTAAAATCAATTTATTATTTAATTTCTGATAGATGAACTACTTTACCATAAAACACAATGGTTATGTAGTCCAATTATCCAAGTGGTGCTATTTCCAATAAACGAAAGTGAGCTTTAGATATAAGCCCAGCAAGAAGAAGGTCAAAGCGGAGGAATTGTTGAATTACTAGTAATTTAAAAATTTATTACAATTTCTTTAAATATATGAAAAAGTTACTTATTTTCTTCAAACAAATTGTAATAAAGAAGCCTAAAAAGAAAAACTCAATTATGAACAAAATATTTAAAAAATTCACAAGATAATAAGAAAAAAAATTGTCACAAAACATTATCTTAGTTTTTCATCCAAAAATCATATTTTTTCTAGAATCATTTTCATAAGATTTTTCTAGAATTAAGATGACAAAATAGATTAACTTACCTTATTTTAATCAACCATAATCTACTTAAAATAAGATGAGATAGACTAATCCGTCATAGTTAGAATATATTAGACTCAAACCTACCTTACTAGGGAATCAATTCACCAATAATTCTTTTTATATGTATTTTTTTAAAAAATATGTCTTTAATTTTATGATTTTTTATTTTTTTATTAATATTTTTATTAAATAAATTAAAAAATATATTATGTTTATGTGTTAAATAATTAATTATAATTAATAATTTAAATTTTATTAATTAATTTTTATAATTTAAATTATAATATTATAACATATTTATATATTTCAATAACATAATACAAAAATATAATTTTTTATTTTAATTTTAATATATAAATTTTTAAAACAAGTTAACAAACCAACACACTCCATTCTTAACCACCAAACTTACGGAACGAGTCAAAATGACCGACAAAAGTAAAACCACAATCAGAGATCAGCCCATCAGTCCTAGTCTATTTTACCATTCTTACCTACAATCATATTAAACTAGTAGTCGAATATAACTAACATGGCGTTTTATGAAATTTATTTTGTTTTATTGAAAAAAATATAAATGATATTATTCTCCTTCCACTGAAGTCTACATTATTTTTGTTTTCATTTTTTTTCTCTGTTCATTCAATATTTGATAATGAAACCCAAAAAGAGAATCTTGAAAAAAAAAAAAAATTTCCTTTCCTTGAACACATTTACATGGATTGCCTAAGTTTTAATTCTTCCAAATATAAATTGAAAGGCTAGTATCGGAAATTGCCTATAAACTTGTTTTTATCGATACACAATTTACCCAATCTCTCAGTATATATACATATAACGAATTCCTCGTCAACTCCACATATTCCCTACAACAAGGATATACTCATGGGATTGGTGAAAAAATGCTCTCGGCAAATCAACTTCTGTTGGCTGGATTTGCTTCCAATAAGATTCTGAAGGACGGTGGGACCCCCGTCAAAAACATTTTGATGCATCTTCCTCACAATAAGATGTTTATCGAGAACCATCAGTTCCAAGAGAGTTTTACAGTTCTGTCACAAAACTCAAATCAGCATATACGTTTAAAACTAACACAGAAACACAGGGTAACAAAAGCACTGACATCATTGACAAAATCATTATAATAGTATAAAGCCTTCCATAATGCCTATGATCTTTCCTATTATATTCTGCAGCTCTATCTAATAAAAAACATGAGTTATAGTTGACAATCTTCTGTAGTTTCACAGTATACATAGATCCTCTTTTGTCAGCTTCTAACCACCTTGTATGCAAGGATAGAATCTGTGACTGCAAAATACACATGCGCACACAAGGTGTGATGTAGAAATAGATTTTGCAGGACATTGGAATTTTTCGCATATCTCAATAATAAACACCTCTGGAAATGGATCATTGACTTAAACATATCTTTAAATTATTCTTTAAGGGAACAAAATGGACACAAGAGTCCACAAATGTTTTTAGAATAGAAGTCAGCACGTAACTTAGTAACAAGCAATTTCAGAATTGAACCGCAGAATTTTTGAAAATTTAGTAGAATACCTGTGGATTCAACACGTGCATGTGATGTAGAATATCATCCTAACAAATACAAAAGAAATTATCAGTAGTTTTTCCATTTACCAATGAAGGATTAAAAATAGTAAAACTTGATTTGCACTGCATCTCAAGTTATTATTTTTTATATAATCACTTATATTTAATACAAGAACTGCCATCAATCTGCAGTACAACTTTTATTTCAATATTTGTCGTTATAATATTTCTATGACGATTCTGGCCAGCTGCCTGTTTGCTCTGTTATTACATTAATGAGGGATCAGGAGCAACAATAAAGGAAACAACTAGCAGCATGCATAAAATTATCAAAACTTGAATCCTTTACTCCTTGTTATATACAGAATAAAATCCCGCGGAAGAGTTATTATTAGGGACATTTCTTTTCTTTACTACTTCCTCGTTTCCCGTTTTATGTTAGGTTCCCCCATTTCCCGTTTTATGTCCCCTGTTTCCTTGAAAAAGTTTAGCTCTTTAGCCCATAAAAGAGGATTAAAGCTAGTATGGCACACACTCCTTCAGAACATAAATAATCAACTATATTTATGTTATATAATACATAAACTACTGGTCTCTATGCTGTAAAATAAAAACACTTACGTATAATATAATATTGATAATGTTGTCTGAATGTTATATCAGCAAATAATAAACGGGAAGAAAAAAAAAAAGAGTAACAAACGTTAGAAAATTACTAAAGCCAAAGAAAGAAAGCTTCCATAGCAAGAAATCACAAAGCAATGAAAGTAGGGGAGTGTGAAATTGAAACTAAATAAGTCACTGGAACGCAACGGAAGTCAAGAATGTATCACCCAGAAGAGTCGAGAGCCAAATCTCACACCAGAGATGAAGAGGGAACAAAGGTAGAAGGCATACACGAGAAGTTTTTTATGCAATCTGTCTCTTTCTAAAAATTTCTTAAAAATAAAATTATAAACTTAGTGTTGTAGTTGTGTCTTCTTTCCACTAAAGCCGAAAATATTTTTTTCATCCGACACCGCAAGTGAGTCTGTCTAACATTTGTTGGTCGGGTGTTAGTCTGTGAAAATGCCTGTTGAATAGCAATGTGCTTCTGAGGCAGAACGACAAGATTGGAAGTGATGGAGAACGCCCAGCAATAAAGAAGGCTGTATACTAACAGGCAGTAAATAGAATCCTCCTATAATTTGAATGCATTGATGGAAAAGCTGTTTGTTTTCTATTATATTTTTTGCTTTTAATAACATCCATTCTGTCCCAAGTAATCAGTAGTTTTCCTAGATGATAGATATAGTGTGTACTGTTACATACTTTACTTCTCTCTTTTTTTTGTAAACCTCGCCTTTATATAATATACATAAAAACATATAAAATGTTTATTTATTGAAATATTGATCTAAACTTTTGTCCAATTTTTGTTTTTCATCAATTTTTCTTCTTTGCAAAATTCATTAAATTCTTTGTAGTGACAATTTTAAAGAATATTTTTCCTCTTTTTTTAGTAATGATGGAAAAGTTAACGAAGATGTAACACACAGAATGCAGACAGGATGATTTAAATGGAGAAAGGTGTCGGAAATTATTTGTGACCAAAAGGTACCCAACCGACTCAAAGGCAAGTTGTATTGCATGGCTATGTCTAGCTACACTATATGGTAGTGAGTTCTAGGCTTTAAAGGGACATGAGAGGAAAGTAGGTATAGCCAAAGGTAGGTGTGTGGCCAACATGTGTGGCGCACCTCCTGGCCCACCCCACTAGCCTCAACGCCAGAAGTAGGGAGGGTAGTAAAACAAGGATAGGAGAAAAAACCAAATAATTTTTCATTATTCCTTTAGGCCCTTGTAATATATTAAATATATTAAATAAAGAAACATGGAATGAGTTGCATACCTCCAACATCCCTGGGTTTTGCATCACTATCCCAAGAACACGTCGTCTAAGTCCTCTGTAAACAATGGTGTTGATGGTCCCGTCTCCATTGATCCATGGTAATATTGGCACACATGACTCACCCGAGGAAAATTTGAGAGTTTCTTTTTCATGATCGACTCTGGATAAGTCAAGTGTGTCTTTCTTACAGCTTTCATTCCAACCACAAGCTTGATTTTCAAGATTCACATCCTCATGTGGAAGATTGAGTATTGTCACTCTGTGCACGTTATTAATAACAGTCTTTCTTTCCCTCACAGTATGAACAGAAGACGTATCCCTTTCATTTGATTTGTAAAGCTCACATGTATGATCACTTTTCTTAGTAGCTTTTGTTGAGGAAGGTTGCACAACACATTGATGAAAATCAGACCCAGATATCAAAAAGTACTTGTGACGGTATAGGACATCAACAACGCGAACAGTATCATAAGCATTGACCTAGACAGTAATGAGAATATTATTGTAGAAAAAGGTGGGAAAGAAACTAATTAGAAAAAATAAATATGAAGGATTTAAAACCAGACTAAGAAGAAGTTATTATGATTTTCTGCATAAATCTTTCAATTTCTTCAGAGGGAAAGGTCTTGAATCACTACTATTGTAAGCAGAATCAATATTTTAATTTTGCATAAACATCCTATGTACCATGATTCTGAATAATTGAGAAGGAATGAAATATTTTCTCTAATCCTATAATATATGTGCCACAAATTCAACAAAACTAAAACTGAAAAACAAAAAAATAAAAATCAGTAAAGGCATTCGATAACAGTGCCATAGCTTCCACTGAGGGGAAGTGTATAAATAACCAATCAAGCAGAACACCTATAGAACCCCGTAATAGCTGCAGTGTCTACAACTCAGAAATATTCCAGTTTTGGTGTTTAAATTGACTTTGGACATAGATCGCACGCCCCAAATCCTAGTTTGGATGTTTAAATTGACTATGATCCATAAATGACAAGTTACACAAAATCATGGTTTGGTAGTTGGGTTGTGTGGGAAATCAAATAGTATTTTAGGAAAGAATAAATTAGGAAATTTGTAATCTGTACATATTTGAACAATTAGGAACAATCCCATAAATCAAGGGATCCTAGAATAAAATAGAATTATTATATTTCCTAAAAAAGCTTAGGTCTCCTGTATATATCTTGTATGATCTCTTTGTATTAAAATAATAAAATAAGATTTCATTTAATCTAATTTTTCAGATGGTATCAGAGCTTTCAATCTAAGAAGTTCTGTTTGGGCACTATAAATCCCTAAGACATTTTTCTTAAAACTAAGACAGCAGTCTGTATTGTTGCTCCATTTTTTTTAACCCTAAGACGACAGCCTACATTGCTACTACATTTTTGTTAACCCTACGACACCAGTCTGCATTGATGTTGCATCACACCTTTTTGCTATAATGTCAAGGGAAGAGGAAGTTGTGAACCCAATCCCAGAAACGGGGAATATCCAATCCCAGCAATCTGGAGAACTGCAGAATATCCATTCTGCATGTAGACTAAATGGAAGAAATTATTTGAAGTGGGCCCAACATGTTCGTACAGTGTTGAATAGAAAGGGGGTAGCCAAACAGAAGAAAGGAGGATCAGCAAATGTGGAGAAGAAAGGTGATGGTCTCTGGTGTACCTACTACAATAAGCCTCGTCATACCCAAGAGAAGTGTTGGAAGTTACATGGGAAGCCTTTAAATCGAGATCGAGAAGGGGGAAACAGAGAAGGCTCCTTAAGGAAAGGAGGACAAATTTATGTTGCTGCTGAAACAAATGAAGGAAATAATCCAGAAGCTGCTACCCATCTTAACCAAGAGGAGATAGAAAGGGTGATAGCCGTTCTTAGTAAGCTGAAAAAACCTACTGCAGATAGGAGAAAACTTGATCCTAGAGCCTTAAAGTGTGTCTTAGTTGGTTACTCACCCACTCAAAAAGGCTATAAATGCTACCACCCCCATCCAAAAAATTCTTTGTGTCTAGGGATGTTACCTTCAATGAACAAGAGAGCTATTTTCATCAACCTTATCTTCAGGGGAAGATAAGGAAAGTAGTAATTCTGGTTTTCCCATTCTTCCAAACTTGATATTTGAACTTAAATGAGGTCATATTGAAAGTAGTAATTCTGGTTTTCCCATTATTCCAAACTTGATATTTGAACCTAAACGAGATCAAATTGAAGCTGTAACAAATGAAACAAGTCAAGGAATTGGTCAAGAAAAGGAAGTTGGTCAAGAAAGTGAAATTAATTGTGAAGCTGATCAAGAAGATGTTGAAGCTGGAAAATTTGGTAAGAAGTTGGTGTACTCAAGAAAGACTAAGGCCATTCCAGGATCAACCCATGTTCAAGAATCCAACTCGACTCCACAAAAAGAGGTAACAATTTTTTCTCCATCTGTGCAGGTTAAAATTGAAACCCAAAATGATCTTGACCTCCCAATTGCCATTAGAAAAGGGACAAGAAAATGCACCAAACAACCACTCTACCCTCTCTCAAATTACCTGTCCTTTAAAAATTTCTCTCCTACCCATAAAACCTTCCTAGTAAAGCTAAACACTGTACTTCTACTTAATACCCTATCTGAGGCATTGTGTGACAGAAAATGGAGGCAAGCCATGGATGTTGAGATGGAGGCATTGGAGAAGAACAACACCTGGGAGTTAGTCACCTTACCAATAGGAAAGAGACCAGTTGGATGTAAGTGGGTCTATACAGTGAAATACAAGGCTGATGGATCAATTGAGAGATATGAGGCAAGACTAGTTGCCAAAGGGTTCACCCAAACCTATGGAGTTGATTATTTGGAGACCTTTGCTCCGGTTGCCAAAATGAACACAGTTAGGGTGATATTTCCCCTTGCTGCCAATTATGGTTGGAACTTGGAACAATTTGATGTTAATAATGTTTTCCTACATGGAGACCTTGAAGAAGAAATTTATATGGAGATACCTCCGGGATATGGTAGAGATGTTGTTGTCAACACTGTTTGCAAGTTGAAAAATGCATTATATGGGCTAAAACAGTCCCCCCCCATGCATGGTTTGGCAGGTTTACTAAAGTTATGACAGGTCTGGGTTACAAACAAAGCCAAGGGGGTCATACTTTGTTCCTTAAACATTCTAAGTCAGGGGGAGTAACAATATTATTGGTGTATGTGGATGACATAATATTAACTGGAGATAATAAAGAAGAGCAACAATTGTTGAGCCAATGCTTAGGCAAGGAATTTGAGATCAAGACCGTGGGAAAACTAAAATATTTTTTAGGAATTGAAGTTGCCCACTCCAAGAAAGGGATATTTATATCCCAGTAGAAATACATCACTGACAAGGCAGCTTGCAAACCTACTAGTACCCCATTAGAACCAAACCTAAAGCTTGGAAATGCAGAAGAAGATGTTGCTATTGAAAAAGATATGTATCAGCGATTAGTGGGCAGACTTATATATTTGTCGCATACCAGGCCAGATTTGCCTATGCAGTGAGTTTAATTAGCCAATTTATGCATAACCCAAAGGAGACCCATTTACAAGCAGCCCACAGAATTTTATAGTACCTTAAAGGAACTCCAGGAAGAGGGATTCTATTTAAAAGGAATGGTCATGTGAAGCTTGAAGCCTATACTGATACTGATTATGCAGGGTCAATTGTGGATAGGAGGTCAACTACAGGATATTACATCTTTCTTGGAGGAAATCTTGTGACTTGGAGAAGCAAAAAGCAGGGTGTAGTGGCTCGGTCCAGTGCTGAAACAAAATTCCGAGCCATGACACAAGGTATATGTGAGTTGTTATGACTTAAAATCATCTTAGAAGACTTGAGGATAAAATGGGAAGAACCTATGAAACTCTGTCTTTCATCAAAGAAAAGCTTGATAGTGGCTTGATATGCACTCTATATGTGTCCTCTCAAGACCAAATTGCAAACATTCTTACCAAAGGACTGACCTGCCACAATTTTGAGAAAATTGTATCTAAGCTGAGAATGGAAAACACCTATTCACCAGCTTGAGGGGGAGGGTGGGAAATCAAATAGCATTTTAGGAAAGAATAAATTAGAAAATTTGTAATCTATACAAATTTGAACAATTAGGAACAATCTCATAAATCAAGGGATCCTAGAATAAAATAGAGTTATTATAGTTCCTAAAATAACTTAGGATTAGGTCTCCTGTATATATCTTGTATGATCTCTTTGTATTAAAATAATAAAATAAGATTTCATTTAGTTTAATTTTCCAGAGGTTGCGTTTGAACATGATTTTAAGTCTCAAACAATGGTTTGAGTAGAAGAAAGGGGAAATAGAAGTCTTTCCATTGGTCAAACCATGAGTTAAAAGGAGACATGCTATAAACTATTGAAACAATGAAAGGGGGAGGAGGAACCTTTGACGTTTTCCCAAATGCTTGAAGAGCATCTACAATCAAGTCATCTACCTCTGCTCCTGAAGACAGCCAGAGAACAATAAACAATCACCAAGTTTAAATAATTGAAAATCTTTATACATATTAGTCCATTTTCTACTTCTTTGAATAGCTGAATCCATACCTGGAAGATTTATAACCTTGGAAATTTCTCCCATGCTTAATCCTTGGTCACCAGCCTTTTGGATGGCAGCATAAACAACCCTGAACACCTCATCACAAATGCCATATGCATGTTCTTGATTGGAATACTCTGACAACAATCGTCGTGTATAGCCTGCCATAGCTTCCCAGGGTGATTCAATATGATTTTCTTCTAGAGGTATAGGGTCACAAGAGTTAACAATTTCCAATATACGGTCAGAATGAGAATAATTACTGCTTTGGCCAATGCTTAATTGGAAATCACCTCCAAAAGGTTGCCCATAGTTATCATTACCCTTGAACAAATTTATAATATCAGCTCTTGAAATTGCTGTTCGGTATGCAGAAATGGTGATACCAGGAAAACCTTTTTCCCGACGAGAAATAATTTCACCTTCCACTCCAAACAATGATTTTGGTTTTTTAGCTTTATCACCATATGCAGGCTCGGTAACATCAGATTTACGCTTTGCACTTCTCAATTCTTCAGCCTCTCCAACACCATTATCTGGTAGGCATGGCAAAATTGAAATGTCACCCAACGAGACTAAAGCAAACAAATGAAAAATGCCTCCACATTGTAAATCCTTAGCAATATCAGTGCCCAGTTCTGTGAGATCTTTACATCTTTCCTCTAGCCACTTAGAAAATTTAACAGCTTGCTTTCCAGTATTATATGGAAATGGTGACTTGGAAACACTTTGCAAGAACTGTTGTGAAAGTTCAAAACGTTCACTGCCTGTGCCACCAACCTGTCAAATGTTAAATTATAACTTGTCGGATAACATGCATGAACACACACACACACTAAAAGAATTCTATATCTACAGGGTAAGAAATTTTCTGAAAACTATAAATTGTGTTTCTCTAATTTCTCAGCCTGATAGAATCGATTTATATACATCAATGAAGCTTGTAATGAAAGATATCCTAACTAATCAGCTAACAGAAAACCAATACTAATTAGTTACAAAAAATCAGTTGTCTCAAACTGTGCTAACTAAAACTATGACAGAATAGCTAACTAACTTGCTGATGTGGCAGAGACCACTTAGTTCACAAAGAAGAGCTTTACTCTTTTTCTCTACTATTCTATTACTCCCCCCACAAAATCAGGCAGTGAGGAATTCAAAACCTTTAGCTTGTCCCTAAAGGAAATAAGCTGAGACATAGATAAAGACTTTGTAAGAACAATAACAATTTGAACTGAGGCAAACACATGGACAACAAGCAATGATTAGATAAATTCTCTGAAAAATGATATCTAGCTCCATATGTTTAGTTCTGGAATGCAGTACTAGATTATGACTGAAGCAATAGTACTTTGATTGTCACAGGAAATAACAGGAGTAGGAATAGTGACTTGAAGTTCAGGAGAAAGATTGAGTCTGAAGAACTTCAGAGGCTGCCAATGCTAAACTTCTGCAATGGACTTGGCAACAAGAGTTTGCGTGTAAGACCACCATGAAATAAGATTTGGACCCAAATAGAGATATACCCCTGAAGTGGATTTTCTGTCATCTATATTAGAAATCCAATCAGCATCAGAATATGCTTGTAAGGTAAGAGGAGAGCTAGATATGGTACGTTAAAAATTTAGACCAAGATCAAGTGTACCTTTTAGCTATCTCTCATTTACATGTGCTTAATTCTAATACTAACAACATGAAACCAAACATTTTCTTACAAAATTCAGTTAACATTGACACAAAATTTTCTTAGAAGATGCCTTGATATATATATTGGACAATGAAAAATATCAACAACCCAAAAATCCTTTATGAAAATATATCAGATGCCACAATGGGTTATGACAAAAGCATCTCAGAAAAAAATAAAATAATACAATATATACATATTAATATCGAAATGCAAAAACTTTTGAAAGACAACCATATATTTAATAACAATAGCAAGTCTAGAATTTCAAATAACAATTAACAAAAAAAAAATCAAAGCAAAACATCACCAAGTTCAAGTTCAAGACTTAAAATAACAACAAAACATAAAACAAATGTCCAACATTTTTAATCATATAGTTCTTTCTTAATCCCAACATAATTATCTTCAATGTTCTCCAATGGGGTAAATCCCTTCACAGAGAGACTTGCCAAAATTGAAGTATTCAATTTCTTCCAACTCAGTGTCAGAGCTATCAGTTTTTTTCTGATATATAAACTGCAACTCTCTTATAAGATAAAGATTACTCCATTTACAACAAGTTTTAGTGTTTGGATAGGTCACCTACACGCCAACAAACATTTTATGATGAACTGTTCCAGAGACAATTAGTAAAATATGGGCAAAATGATAGGGAAACATAATCATCAGTGTATGCATTATGAGGCTTACTACTATTTCACAAGATTACTACATAAAGTAACAGCACAGGAATATGATAAGCACATATTCAATCAAATTCACATCTGATGCATTTAATACAAGCAATGAGAGATTGAGAACAACTTACCATAATTTTTTTCTCTCTAAGATAGTTAAAAGCAGCAAACAGATCATGCTCTGAGTATCGCCGAAGAATGTCAGCTAGTAAATTTGGTGCTTGAGGACTGATTGAGGTGCTTAAGAAAACAAGTTTAAATAGCTCTACAGCATTTGCAATAGCCAATGATTCATTTACTTGTCCATAAACATTAGCCATATTATTCAGAAACCTAGTAAATTTTTTATCAAGCCGTCTCCGACGTGATCTTCGGGTAGAAAATGAACAGGGCTTCCCATGCTGACCTTGAACAATGTCACAAGCAATAGCTGATGTAATTTCTTCATTTTCTCGAGATTCCTGCCACAAAAAGATTCCTTTAGTTAGTCTGTGAAACAGATTTCAGAATACCTGAAGATGATAGAGCATAAGTTAAAAAAATGAAAAAATATTCATCCAAGAAGGATAACAAGAGGGGAAAAGGAAAATTATGAAATTAAAACATAAATACTAGATCCAGCAAGAAATATCATTAAAGTCTTAGAGAATTACATATCCATCAGCATTCTCATTTGCAATGGAGCACCCTTCATATTGCAATTGACCATTTTGGGAGGAGGCATCCAGCTTAGCCATCATCTTGCATCGAAGAATCTCATCAAGGGCTGTCTTGATATTTTTGTTCTCAAAGTCATCCCAAGCTTCTCTGTGTAGACTTCTCATTTGAATTTCAACATCCGGACCATAATTATTGTAGATACCTTCAAAGGATTGGGACCGCTCAAAATGGTTGCATTCATCTGAGTTTAATGACAAATTTTGGGACTTCTCCAGATGCTTTGCATATCGTTCACTGAGTATGTTACAGAGTTTATTTACTGCTTTCCTAAATCTCAAGTTAATATTCAACAAATTCATTCTTCTCATACAAGCGCTTGGAGAAGTTGGAAGATCAGAAATTGATGTCCAATTTACACGATGATATTTGGCACCAAGAACTGCGCGGTGTTTAGCATATTGGATCACCAACTGCCTGAATTGATATAAAATCATCCATACCACATAAATAATAACATATTCAAATCCTTTCAGGAGAAATAGACAATGCGTAATCTGAATCACAGCAAATTTGCCTTCAACTTTCAGAACAATATAGAGACGGGAAAAAAAAAAACTTGTTATCTTATTAAATACTGATCATTGATACACATCATAATTCAAGCCAGTTTTTTTTTTTTAAATAATTTCTTGTTAATAAAAGATTGTTTCTTAAAATCAGCATTTATGATCAATTATAAATAAATTCTTGAGTTTTATCCTTTCATTGCAAGTTAATCACAATTATTAAAATAACTATTAAATATCAATTAGAGTCACAATAGTTTTTGTAAAAAGTTATCACAAAAATACATATGAGAAAGAACTCTGTTTTAATTTATTTTTGCATTGCAGGTTCCACTATTAATCATAACAAAATAAGAACAAACTAAAAATACAAGAATGAAGAAGAGCATAATTATTTCTTCAATTTGGCCTTATTATATAAATGGTCCAGCTTCAGAGAGCCATTAGTTCCACACATAATATAAAGTAAGTTAATTATGTCACTTAAGATTTAGCAGGTTCCTAAAGCTTCTCATACCTGTCAGTTTTGTCAGACCAAATAAATCTCCTATGTCGTGTTGGCTTCATTTTGTTTAAGACACACTGGTTTATGAGGGGGATACAATCTTCAGGCATACTCTCCTCTAATCCTTGCATATGTGTGGCACACTGTCCTGAGTGCACACCCAAATTATGTGATTCTTCAAAGTGCATATCCACGACATCAGTTACTGCATCAATTCTTGCACGCTTTGCTGGCCTGAGATCAATGGATTTGTTTTTCCTACGAGAAGAAGAATTGCCCTGGCCTTCAGGTGAATTATCCTCTTTCTCTTCATCTTTGAACTGATTAACAAAATGGCGACGATGCTTACAAGAATACATGCTAAGTACCTATAAGTGCCATTAAATAGGAAAGAATTGCAAGAGTCACTTGTCTTGAAATGGTGTTAATAATATTCTGTGCTAAATTTTTACTCTACTAAAATAAAAATAGAATTCACTTTTCCATTTAAAAGTTTTCAATTCTGAGAGTTCATTTCCATTTGCAGCTCTCAATATAATGTATCAGACTGAGTCTCAAATTATAAGCAGCAACAAGTTCAAGAAACAAAGTGTGTAATAAATTCATCCAAGATTAAAGCCATTAACTTCCATTCATAATTGATCAAAGGTTTACTTGTCAATTACAATTACACAATCTTGCATTCTTGGATAAATGCAGGAAATAATTTTATTTGTTAGAAACATACTAAGCAAAAAACATATTAAGCAAGATAATCTGCAATAGTGTCAATTTAACTGAGAAGACAGGAGCTCATGATATTATATCCTCAAGGATATACTCACCGGTAGATACTGAATTTTATTTTTTATGGAACAGGGGGTTACAGCACTGAAATTGCATTTTCCTTTCCAAAAAAGATAAACAACAAAACCAAGACTACAACTTGAAACAACTAACCTGTTCCATAGTAAGATTCAGATCTTTTGCAATCTTCTCAGAGTCCCTATATGAAATTTTTTCACTGACATTATCCTTCATTACATGCTTTAAAAGCTCAGCACGTTGTTTGGCTGTCATAACATGAGTAGATGCCCATGAACGGAAGCGGAAAAGCTAACAATATAAACAAAAAATTACTGTCTTCAGAGTTTGAACTGATACCATGATATCAAAATATAATATTAGGTTGGATATAAGGTATTAAAACTAAGAAAATTTTGAAATCACTCGTGAAAACTTTGGAGATAACCTCATGGACCACAGATCCAGGAAATGCATATGAAGCAGCTTTTTGATCAGCAGTAGCATAGTAATACTCCAGTGTTTTCCAATATTCATCAACTGCATCTCTATTAGAGAGAATAAAATCATGCCTGACTCTTGGTCGGAGATCAAGAGATTTATAATTTAAAGACGCTGCATCATTTGAAATGGGTTCCTCAATATATGGCCTAAGCTCCATGGTGTGAGTATGAGGGGTTTTGACTCCATCTATAGATTGGAAGTCAGTAACCATGCGAATCAACTACACAAACAAATCCACATCAAGCTTGCATCCTTGAAATTTTAAATGTAATGGTAATCTTACTTATTTCCTTTAACTTTTTTCCCTAACAAATTCTTATTTTCTGTTGTGGTTGACCTTTTTCCCCTCTAATTACCAATTAGCAGCTCTTGGTCTTTCAAAAACTTATTTTAATGGTGGAAAAAAAGGAATAATTGAGTCTTACATACAGCATGTTATGACATAGAAACAAGATGAACAAAACTAAGTCACAACTTTAACACCATCGTCAGTCAACTGCTCAAATGAAAAAGAAAATACAAATTCCTTAGCAGGGATGAAAAAGTGGCAAAAGTAGCCATGTTGAGAATAGCTTAAATACGTACAAGTTTTACCAACCATGAGCAGGAATACAGAATAAGTTTGAGGTAATCAGTTTGAGACGAACTTACAATGCCTTAGCAGCTTGTTAAGTAAAATGGTTTTCTTTTACTTCAGTTTTTGCAAGTATTTCATTAACATTTTTAACGATGGTAGTGCTGACAATCAAGTGAATAAAATATTAATCTAGTTGGCTTCTTTATCATATGTGTGATTTTGTGAGAGAAAGAATAACTCTAAATATATTTTCAGTAATAAAATAATTACATATATAGACAAGACATACAACTGTCAACATTATGCATAAGTATCTTGAATCAGATTTAACTAACCATAGGTTATCCATCAATCTATCTAGTTTCTACCCCTTCTTTCACTCTTATAAAAGCACAAATCATAGTACATGACATAAAATAAAAATGAGTAAAATTTCTTTATATTGTTGTCAGAAAAACATCTGCAGTAAAGGGAATTCACAAACTCAAATCAGTGGGTTGAATGTGTCCAATTATGCACTTCCATCACTGCTTGAGTAGCTCTCCCAACTCCATATCACAGCCGCATTGATTAGGGATGAATGGAACTAACTGAGCTAGGAGATAAACATAAAACATATGAAAAAAGGAAAATCCTTAACTTTGAAAAAAAATGTTCTGGTGACAATGTTTCCTAAGAAGAGTGTTAAGATTCCAACATAAAACCAATTGGTAATATGTGGAGTAGCCTAACATGTATTTAAACCATACCAAATGATATGAGGTAGGCAATGTGGACTTTTCAACACACCCCCTCCAACGGGTACTTTTGACCCAACTAAAGGACAACTTTTGGCCCATGACAATAACCGGAAAGATGTTAGGCTTTGGCTCTGATACCATGTTAAGATTCCAACATAAAACCAATTGGCAATATGTGGAGTAGCCTAACATGTATTTAAACCATACCAAATGATATGAGGTAGGCGATGTGGGACTTTTCAACAAAGAGATAAAAAAGACAGTAGTTTTCTCCACTAATGATGACTGCAACATGTCAAGGAATTAATATTTTTATTTGGTAAAGATGACTCAAGGCTCTAGCCTGTTAAGTGGTTGCATACTACACCCCCAGTCCCAAACCTTCAGAAGATGGAACAAGCAAAACAGAAGTAACCGTGAAAGATAAATTCTAAACAATTCCAATTATAAAAAAATACTTCAATTTAACTCAACAGGTATACCTTTAATCGCCGTAAAATGTCAATTACTAATGAAAGCCTTCCAGTAGCTTGACCATCCATTAAAGACTTATACTCCCCTAGAGGGAGATCCGAGAGACGTAAACCCATCTTGCACTTTTCGATCATTTCTTCATATCTTTTAGTAGACCCAACCACTTGTAAGAATAGTTCAACTGGCATTTCTTTAATAGTTGCTTCTAGAGAAAATAGTTTGCTGCTACTATGAGGAGTATCAGTTACCTCGTTTTCACATATTTTAGATGATAAAGCATCAACATGGTTTGTTGACCTTTGCAGACAATCCCAAATATAAGTATGCAGCAGCTTTGCCCGAACCATTTTTGCCGATACAAATCCATTGACCCGCATGGCTTCTGCTTTACTAACCTGCCCATCTGGAACTATAAAACTTTGATTTTTCTGAATATCCTCCATTACAGGTATCAGTTCATCATTTTTTTGATGTGCAGTACTTTTGCTGCGAATATAATTATTAAATGATCGTACTCTATCTTGAATTTCATCAAATAACTCAGGAGATAGGCTTATAGACGGACGCACAACTACCACACAATCTTTTGTCCTGGAATATTCAGAAATAACAGGCGAATGTACTGTTATGCATTTGACCTGCAGTTGTTCTTGCAGTTTGCTTAATATTCGGTCAATAGTCTTGCGGTCCACTTTTGTAGGCTTATCCTTCTCAAAGCTATTAAGCCACCTATTTAGCTCAGGTTTCAAAACGAAACTTTCATCCTGCATGAAGAAAAACACAAAATATGTCTTGGGAACGTAGAATGTAAATTTTAAGGAAAAAACATTTCTTTATTTGCAAGAGGATTAGGAAGGGGAAGAAACACAGACCTTTAGTCTTTCAAGTATCCGATTTGCCCTTCTAATGTTGTCCACACTTAAAGATAAACTTGCATATCTTTGATGTGATCCAGTAGAGACTGGTCTCAACACATCAGATGGAAATGCTACTGATGGTGCATTGTTTGTCTCCACTGATGAACTGACCAATTTGCAGTTAGAAACCGTACCACTTTGATCAAGGACCAAACCTTGCAAGTTCGTTGATGTTTCTTCAAAGTTTGACTCAGTATTTCTTGGAGATACACTTGATAGTTCTGCTCCAACTCTTCTATCTTCCAACTTTTCATGGTCAGCAAGTTCCCCACTGTTTGTTGAAGCCACAAATTCAGATATTATTTTTGAATTGACAGGCACATGGCTTAAAGTTTTATTTTCATCAAGCTTGCAAATAAGTTCAACTTCTGGTTCAGGGTTGAAATTTTTAGAAGTCCAAACTCGAATTGTCTTAGATTTTAGGCACTGTTCTTCCTTCACTTTCATTCCAAACCTATAGCACAAATTTACAAGTCGAATGTGGCTCTTTTTCAGTTCAATCCCAAGCCTCTCACATATCTGTTTACAAAAAAACCCAATATATTCAAAGTGAAAAAGGCAATAATATTCACATTTAAGGATGTATCATTGAGAAGCTGCCCCAAAAAATGAAACTTCATTTGAAGCAAGAAAGATGAAAAAGAATGGAGCTCATTTCAGTCAAAAAGTTCACAAGTGAATACATGAGACAAACATTCCAAACAAAGAGAAACGTTGTCCAGCAGTAGATATTATGCATTAAATGTAAAATATTCATACTAAAGCAGATTTAAATCCCGCACCTCTGCTCCATCTCAATTCATCAATGTCATGAACAATATACATCAATGACTCCAAATTTTGTTTATTCTTTCTCTTTTCATGGAATTGACATCTGTTTATGTCTTACCAAAGAAGATAATATAAGGATAAAAAATGTACCTCCTTCAAAGTAATGCCACAAGATCCTGCAGCATCAATAATATCAAAAATTTGATGCTCAATGGGAAGCTCCACAAGCTGATCAATAACTTGACACGTTTTCCCAGAGTTCAACTTTTTATCTTCATTTCCAGATCCAGCAGTTATTGGGTCAAGAAGCCGCAGGCAAGCATCAATCTGCAAACACAAAAAGACTTACATCTACATTATCACAATAACAAAGTTATGCCTAAGAGGGGGAGGGGGGAATTGGCTGATTCGCTGATGGTATAAAGTGCAATATGTTCAATTGATATAAAAAGTACCATTTGACCGTGTAACCATGAGGTATAAGCATGAGATATATCAATCTATATTAATCTAAAAGGATGAACAATAGGAGCCGAAAATGAGATTTGGTTCCTCAGACATTCAGTATTATTAATCTCATGACATGAATAGGGGAGAATTTGTCATCACTGCCATGTTTTCTGAAGGATTGTGTTAAAGCACAGAACTAACAATTAACCACATTTTATGTTTTCAGCCAATTAATCAATCACAATCAGGTTCATACTTGTCTTGAAACAGTAAAAATATGTTATACTTAAAAATTAAAGGGCAAAAATGATACATTGCAAATCCTAAAAATCTGTTTTTCCCCTTAATGTGATTGTTTATTAATTATTTATTTATTTTTTACATAATAATTTGACTGAAAATTTGAATTTGCTTCCCATAAGAAGATGATTTGTAATGGTTGCCAAGAAAGACATTGCAGAAACAATTCCAATCTACAGCAGAGACTAAACGCCATCAAAATGAGGTATAAAAGAAATTATTTAGTGTAAACTAACCAACCTTGCCATTCACCTTAGCATCAAACTGCTGGACAATACCATCTGCTTTCAACCTATGAGAAATCTGGTCACACGAGCAGTAAGGCAATCTGCACATAGCAGAAGACAGTTATGATTTGGTAATTTCAAAGTTAGAAACATACTTGTCTCCAAGCCCTTTGCTTTGGACGCGATCCACAGTAACCAAGATCTTTCTTAATATCCGACAAAAGAAGAACCTTGAAGAAATAGATCACAATAATAAAAAAATGAGCATAAATTATGAGATTAGTTGGTTGGTAACATAAAAGAGAATTGAACGAATATGAACCTTGCCATTGGCTTTTGCAAGTTTTTCACAAATAGCTTTCATTTGAGGTGTATAATCCTTAAGATGAACATCTGTTTGAACCGTAGTTCCATCTGCATCCTCCTCCTCATCATCAGGGGAGTTGAATTTGGTAATTTCAAACTCAAATCTTTGATGAGAGGCAAGTTGTTTCGCATAGCGACGTAAATATACTAAATGGGTAGTTACACATGGGTAACTTTTGGATTCACCGAGACTGGAGATTTGTTTCTTCTTCTCAACCGCAGAGCGCTTGACAATTAAGCCTTGACACTCAAGACTCCTCAGCACATAGTGGAAGTTATTGGGATCAATGTGCAACTGTTTAGCAAGCTGCGCTTGAGTGATACCATTGTCTCTAGCATTAGCAAGAAGGTGAAGGACACACGTTTGGGCATGTTGGAGAGATTGCGAGTCGTAAAGACCAACAAAGTTGTCAACGAGGCTCGGTTGAGCAAAGACCTTCAAATTGAGCTTCTCAGCATCCTCCAATTCCGACGAAAAGGGTTGTGGTTCAAAACGGAGAGAGGGAATGCGAAGGAGGTTCATCCATACGGCTCTTTTGACGGTGGGATTGAGATGGAGATTGGAGGATGAAAGAGAGGGTGAGCCTTGAAGTTTGACCCATAGGGCTGCAAGAGTGAGCCCATCTTCGAACCCACCACATATCTCTTCCAACGCTGCATTGATAACCGAGTCCATTATCTTCACTAGACTCTAGTAGAGATTCGGTAAGATGAAATTTATGAATAATACCCAAAAATGTGACAAATGAGTCAAACCCCAAAATTGCTTCTTACTTTGTTCGATGTGACTTGCATTTGTGATTCTTGAACCCAGAAACTGTAACTCAGCCCGAAACCTAAAAATACGAAACCTAAATCTACAAGAGCATCAAGTGTGAAAACCTATTTGAGTTTCTAGTTCACCTTACGAAACCAATAACTCTCTGAAAGTCATAAAGGAAATTGTTATCCCTGAAATTTCAAACATGAACGATAGAATGCCCTGTGAATTAGAATGGAGGAGTGGACGAAAAAAAAAAAAGAAAAACGTGTGCAGAAATAAATAATTTTGATTTCATAATGAAATATTTTTTTATATTTATATTTTTTAATATTACAGTCATTTTGATAAAATATTGATTATTTACGATAATGAAAAAATATATTCATAATTTTTTATTATGATGCATATATATTAATAAATATATACGATAATAATGATTAAATAAATATTAATAAATATCATTTATTAATTTAAATATATAAATAAAATATATTTTTCATTGCACCCTTTTAGGATCTATAGTTTATTTGCTTTCTTTGTAGCAATAATTTTACATTTTTAGAACTCAGTTTTTGTAGTTACACCAACAGAAATTTCTGCAATTTTTTGTGCTGGGTAAGGACATTCAACTACAGTCTTTCAAGCTTAATTTTTTATTTTTCTACTAGTTTTGTGTTGGGGAATTTTTGTAATAAAAAAAATTTCGCTACACTCTTTCAAGCTCATTTGTTTATTTTCCTATTTGTTTTGAGCAATCTTTTTACATTTTAGGATTTTAGTTTTCGCAGTCATACCGGTAAGAAATTCGTACAATTTTTTGTGTTGGAGAATTTTGTTTTTTTTTGTCTAGAAGTTTCTCTGCGACATTTTTTTAGTAAAAAAATTCCACTTTGGTGTTTCGAGCTCATTTTTTCTATTCTTCTATTTGTTTGAGTAATATTCTTGTTTTTTAGGAATTTAGTTTTCGTAATTACTCTAGTTAGAAATTTCTACAATTTTTTGTGTTGGGGAAAATTCTTAGTAAAAAAATTCCATTGCATTCTTTTAGACTCTATAATTTATTTGCTTTCTTTGTAGCAATAATTTTACATTTTTGGAACTCAGTTTTTGTAGTTACACCAGCAAGAAATTTCTGCAATTTTTTGTGTTGGGTAAAGACATTCCACTACAGTCTTTCGAGCTCAATTTTCAATTTTTCAAGTAGTTTTGTGTTGGAGAATTTTTGTAATCAAAAAAATTTTGCTACACTTTTTCAAGCTCATTTGTTTATTTTCCTATTTGTGTTTGAGCAATGTTTTTACATTTTAGGATTTTAGTTTTTTCAGTCACACCGGTAAGAAATTCGTACAATTTTTTGTGTTGGGGAATTTTGTTTTTTTTTCTAAGAGTCTCTCTCGGAAATTTTTTAGTAAAAAAATTCCACTTGTAGTGTTTCGAGCTCATTTTTTCTATTCTTCTATTTGTTTGAGTAATATTCTTGTTTTATAGGAATTTAGTTTTTGTAATTACTCCAGTTAGAAATTTTTACAATTTTTTGTGTTAGGGAAAATTCTTAGTAAAAATATTCCACTACACTTTTTTAGGCTTTATAATTTATTTGCTTTCTTTGTGGCAATAATTTTACATTTTTGGAACTCAGTTTTTGTAGTTACACCAGCAAGAAATTTCTGCAATTTTTTGTGCTGGGTAAAGACATTCCACTACAGTCTTTCGAGCTCAATTTTTTATTTTTCTAGTAGTTTTGTGTTGGAGAATTTTTGTAATCAAAAAAATTCTGCTTCACTCTTTCAAGCTCATTTGTTTATTTTTCCTATTTGTTTTGAGCAATTTTTTTACATTTTAGGATTTTAGTTTTCGCAATCACACCGGTAAGAAATTTGTACAATTTTTTTTGTTGGGGAATTTTGTTTTTTCTTTCTAGGAGTCTCTCTGGGAATTTTTTTTAATAAAAAAATTCCACTGTAGTGTTTCGAACTTATTTTTTCTATTCTTCTATTTGTTTGAGTAATATTCTTGTTTTTTAGGAATTTAGTTTTCGTAATTACTCCAGTTAGAAATTTCTACAATTTTTTGTGTTGGGGAAAATTCTTAGTAAAAAAATTCCATTGCACTCTTTTAGGCTCTATAATTTATTTGCTTTTTTTGTAGCAATAATTTTACATTTTTGGAACTCAGTTTTTGTAGTTACACCAGCAAGAAATTTCTGCAATTTTTTGTGCTGGGTAAAGACATTCCACTACATTCTTTCGAGCTCAATTTTTTATTTTTCTAGTAGTTTTGTGTTGGCAAATTTTTGTAATAAAAAATTTTTCTGCCACACTCTTTCATGCTTTTTAGGAATTTAGTTTTCGTTATTACTCCATTTAGAAATTTCTACAATTTTTTGTGTTGGGGAAAATTCTTAGTAAAAAAATTCCATTGCACTCTTTTAGGCTCTATAATTTATTTTCTTTCTTTGTAGCAATAATTTTACATTTTTGGAACTCAGTTTTTGTAGTTACACCAGCAAGAAATTTCTGCAATTTTTTGTGCTGGGTAAAGTCATTCCATTACAGTCTTGCGAACTCAATTTTTTATTTTTCTAGTAGTTTTGTATTGGGAAATTTTTGTAATAAAAAAATTCCGCTACACTCTTTCAAGCTCATTTATTTATTTTCCTATTTGTTTTGAGCAATGTTTCTACATTTTAGGATTTTAATTTTTGCAGTCACTATGGCAAGAAATTCGTACAATTTTTTGTGTCGGGGAATTTTGTTTTTTTTTCTAGGAGTTTCTCTGGGAAATTTTTTTAGTAAAAAAATTTCACTGTGGTGTTTCAAGCTCATTTTTTCTATTCTTCTATTTGTTTTGAGTAGTATTCTTGCATTTTAGGAATTTAGTTTTCGTTATTACTCCAGTTAGAAATTTCTACTATTTTTTGTGTTTGGGAAAATTCTTAGTAAAAAAATTTCACTGCACTCTTTTAGGCTCTATAGTTTATTTGCTTTCTTTGTAGCAATAATTTTACATTTTTAGAACTCAGTTTTTGTAGTTACACCAGCAAGAAATTTCGCAATTTTTTGTGTTGGGCAAAGACATTCCACTAGAGTCTTTCGAGCTCAATTTTTTATTTTTCTATTAGTTTTGTGTTGGGGAATTTTCGTAATAAAAAAATTTCGCTACACTCTTTCAAGCTCAATTTTTTTATTTTCTTATTTGTTTTGAGCAATGTTTTTACATTTTAGGATTGTAGTTTTCGAAGTCACACAGGTAAGAAATTCGTAAAATTTTTTGTGTTGGGAATTTTTTTTTTCTAGGAGTTTCTCTGGGAAATTTTTTTAGTAAAAGAATTCCACTATGGTGTTTCGAGCTCATTTTTTCTTTTCTTCTATTTGTATGAGTAATATTCTTGTCTTTTAGAATTTAGTTTTCCTAATTACTCCAGTAAGAAATTTCTAAAAATTTTTGTGTCGGGGAAAATTCTTAGTAAAAAAACTCCACTGCACTCTTTTAGGCTCTATAATTTATTTGCTTTCTTTGTAGTAATAATTTTACATTTTTGGAACTCAGTTTTTGTAGTTACACCAGTAAGAAATTTCTGCAATTTTTTGTGCTTGGTTAAGACATTCCACTACATTCTTTCGAGCTCAATTTTTTATTTTTCTAGTAGTTTTGTGTTGGAAAATTTTTGTAATAAAAAAAATTCCGCTACACTCTTTCAAGCTAATTTGTTTATTTTCCTATTTTTTTTTTAGCAATGTTTTTATATTTTAGGATTTTAGTTTTCGCAGTAACACCATTAAGAAGTTCGTACAATTTTTTGTGTTGGGGAATTTTGTTTTTTTTTTCTAGGAGTTTTTCTAGGAAAGTTTTTTAGTAATAAAATTCTACTGTGGTGTTTTGAGCTCATTTTTTCTATTCCTCTTTTTGTTTGAGCAATATTCTTGTTTTTTAGGAATTTAGTTTTCGTAATTACTCCAGTTAGAAATTTCTACAATTTTTTGTGTTGGGGAAAATTCTTAGTAAAAAAATTCAACTGCACTCTTTTAGGCTCTATAATTTATTTGCTTTCTTTGTAGCAATAATTTTACATTTTAGGAACTCAAGTTTTATAGTTACACCAGCAAGAAATTTGTGCAATTTTTTGTCTTGGGTAAAAACATTTCACTACGATCTTTCAAGTTCAATTTTTTATTTTTCTAGTAGTTTTGTGTTGGAGAATTTTTGCAATCAAAAAAATTTTGCTACATTCTATCAAGCTCATTAGTTTATTTTCCTATTTGTTTTGAGCAATATTTTTACATTTTAGGATTTTAGTTTTCGCGAGTCACACCGGTAAGAAATTCGTACAATTTTTTATGTCGGGGAATTTTGTTTTTTTTCTAGGAGTTTCTCTGCTAAATTTTTTTAGTAAAAAAAATCAATTGTGGTGTTTCAAGCTCATTTTTTCTATTCTTCTATTTGTTTTGAATAATATTCTTGCTTTTTAGGAATTTAGTTTTCGTAATTACTCCAGTTAGAAATTTCTACAATTTTTTGTGTTGGTTCTTAGTAAAAAAATTTCACTACACTCTTTTAGGCTCTATAATTTGTTTGCTTCCTTTGTAGCAATAATTTTACATTTTTGGAACTCAGTTTTTGTAGTTACACCAGCAAGAAATTTCTGCAATTTTTTGTGTTGGGTAAAGACATTCCACTACAGTCTTTCGAGCTCAATTTTTTATTTTTCTATTAGTTTTGTGTTGGGGAATTTTCGTAATAAAAAAATTCCGCTACACTCTTTCTAAGCTCATTTTTTTATTTTCCTATTTGTTTTGAGCAATGTTTTTACATTTTAGGATTTTAGTTTTCGTTGTCACTACGGTAAGAAATTCATAAATTTTTTGTGTTGGGAAATTTTGTTTTTTTTTTCTAGGAGTTTCTTTAGGAAATTT